CGTGAGATAGGCTTGCTTTGGTTTGAGATGAGGAAAATATCATGAAGATTCACGCTAAAAAGCAACAGTCATGTATTCTGGTAATTTTACTTTTTCTGTTATACTAATAATCAAGCTATGATAATACATAGACAGTCATAAAGTGTGTGAACGTTCAAAGTTATGTGTACAGTCACCCTGTATCTGGAAAGCAGACACAACTCCAAGTAAAATCTGGTCCAAGATGAATGCATCATTATAGATTTTACGTTGTTAACAATGTGGTGTTTACATTCCAGACATAGATGTTTATGATACAGCACTGTGTTAACTTCGTGTCTTATGTTGGACAAATGCGCCACTATATGCTCGTGTAGTACCTGGTCCATTTATTATGATACATTATATTTATGGACGCAGACCGCACGCCTCAGCATCCATATGATAGCCTACATCAAATTTCACATTATAATTTATCTAAAGTGAAAATGAAAGACAAAAATATTGGAAGAAAATCCTTTTTATACCTGGTTTAATGGATAGAGCTTATGCAGATTATCATGACATATGCGGTACTCTGCATATTATCCAGTGTTGGAGAAATGCTTCAAAAACTGGACTGAAATAATCTTGTAGATGGGTAAAGGTATAAACCATGTTATACAAAATCATAATTAGCTTGGTTTCCATCAACAAAAATACTTTTCTTATCTCTCTAAACCCCCAATGTCATTTTTCACACTCTTTATTTTCTTACCAATCCTCATTACAGAAGCATTTGTCCCAAAGAATTTTTTCCCAACACACTACATCTGACTGAAATTAACTCCCTTCTGGCTTGGTCATTACATATTTAATACATTTACTGCCTTCCAAACTACCAACTCTGTCCTACCTGTTTATAGTTTTAACCAGATATAACTTCATTTTTTCCACATAATGCACTGCATAAATCTTGACAGTGAAGTTGAAGGAGGTAAGTGATAGAATCAGAAGGAGAAACTGACAAGGCAATAAGAACATTTGTTTCTTCATACAATTCCATTGGCTTGTTAATGTGATTTAGACATCAATAATAAATCTGAAACATGTTTCTTCAGTCTGTTCACCATGCATTGATGTGACATTCATTAATTTTTTTATTTAATTTTTTGTTATTGTTGTAGGCAATATTGTACATGACCATTCCATTGGTGGTAGGTCACAGCTGTTCAAAAAGTCTTTCACGCATTGTAAGGCAGCAGGTCAAAGAGGTAGGCACTTCATCACAATGGTCAAATGCACATGAAATGGAAAAGATTACATGTCCAGATAATGTTAACCCAGACTTGTATTTCCTGTAACAAGTAGAATATTGTAATGTATTTAATTTCACTACTTACAGCTGTCAGAAGAATCCCAAATTTAGTGAACTTTGATACCCCAAACTGTAATATACTTGTGTTCTTGTTTTACAATTAGAGATTAATGCCACATTATGAAGAATTGAAGACAAAAATGCCAGAAAGCTGTCCACTGAATCCAAACAGAGATGTCTTCATGATGCAGGAGGAGAAAGTGGTAATCGAGTCCACATCTAGGTACAAGTGTAATGTGTGTGGAAAAGCCTTCATCTCACAGTTCTATATTGACATGCACTTTGACAACCGCCATCCAGATTACATAGCAGAGGTATAACATACATAAACATTTGCTCTTTGTAACAGATGTAGACTTCATCTTATTTCAATTTTTTCTATATAACTTATTTATCCTGATCACATTTTGTTTTAAAAATTATCATAACAATAGAGAAATGGTTATAGATTTTTGTGTACAGTGTATTGAGAAAGCTAATTGACTCTATGAATGTATTTCTTTGTAGCGCAAAATTTATTGAGCAATACTTTGTACAATACATTGTGGTGTTGTTTCAATTTAAGGGAGAAAATACCATTTGTTATGCGGACTACTGTGACATCACAAGATGTGATGTTGTGTCGGGGCGAAAGGTTGCAGACTTCTGGGACATCTCTTTGTGTCTGGAGGATGATATGACAGATCTGCGAGAACGCTGTGAGGTGAGATTTATTAGGATCCATCTCATTTAAAACCTGTCTTACCAACAAGATCACTTTTAACACAAATCAACAGTTTCTTTATTTTTTAATATTGCTTTCTGAACCGCAAGTTATATTATTCACTTACCTCATAGTCCCCAGTATGTTAATATAAACATGAACATGATTTCTAGATTTTTTGGTGATCTTTTTACCTTGTTGTTTACATATCATCCTCTGCTTATAACATTTGATGTTGTCTTCTCCATGAAGTGAAGAAATAGACTTATTGTGAAATTTCCTCCATTTTATCACAGGGTATCATGGACCAGTGTATACCGGAGGGACTAACTAAGAAAGAGAAAGAAGACTTAAGCAGTAAGTATCATCAAGAAATAACTTTAATGAAATCTCAATGTCCTACTGCCAGCAGTATCTAGCAGGTCTAATTACTGGTAATATGTTGCTCAAAAGTCTCCCGTTAAACCTATTTTTACTATAAACCAACTTTGTCTTAAGTCTGCTTTCTTTGGTGATTTTGGTATCACAAGTTTTCGTAATAAGTTTACTTTCACAACACTGGTTAATCAATGCTGCACTATATTCCATCCGAGTCTTAATTTAAGCAATATATGTTTCTCATACTTGTTGGACATTTAAGGATGAAGTTTTTAAATCGTATATATGCTGAATAAAATTGGTTAACTGTAGTACCAATATATTTATCAATACACCTTCCCCTTCTTCCTGTTGTGAATGATTGAAGACTTTTTTCAGAAATTCATAATTCTAGTTTGATTTTACAATGGAAGCAGAATGAATAAAACCAGTCAGGAGAAAGAGCATTGTTTAGTATTATACATTAATAGTCATGTACTTATCAGGACTAAAGATGGATTTCCTGCACTTTAAGCAATCATTGCAAAGATATTAATATTCCTATACAATTTTACAGATTAGATCCAACAAGCTATACAGGAATTCAAAAGCCAAGAATAGAGAGATATAGTTCTCTTTAAAAAGACAGTTCAGGATTTGCCCAGTCTACAGTTAAGATAGTTTACGACATGTCCAGTCGGCATTTAAGAGAGTTCATATCTTGTCCAGTCCACAGTTAAAATAATTCAGATCTTGTCCAGTCCATAGTAAAGACCGTTCAGACATTGCCCAATCCGGTAGTGATAGTTCAAGACTTCACAACTCCATAGTTCAGCTACATGTAGTTCAGACTTGTCCAGTTTATAGATAAAATAGTTCGGAATTTGTTAAGGCCATAGTTAAGGTAGTTGAGAACTTATCTATTCCACAGTTAAGATAGTTCAGAACTTGCCCAGTCTGCATTTAAGATATTTCTGGACATGTCCAGTGCACAGATAAAATAGTTAAGAACTTTTCCAGTTCACATTTCAGATATTTCTGGACTTTATCAGTCCATAGTTAAGATAGATTAGATCTTGTTCAGTCCACGGTAAAGTTATCTGGTAGTTCAGAATTTGTACATTCCACACTTATGATGGTAAAACTTTGCCCTGTCTGCATTAAAGATATTTCTGGACTTTTACCAGTCCAAAGATAAAATAATTTATAACTTGTCCTGTCCACAGATTGATAGAAAATCAGTATGACGTTTGATTAACACTACTTTTTATTGATATTTAGGATGGCTGCGTGGCTCAGTTTGTCACTACCTGAATTGTAAACTGTATTATGATGGACCAAGAAAACAGGTGAGTCAAATGTTACTGTGACCTTCAAAGCAGGTAATAAATAAAACTGTACCATGAAGGGCATACTAAACAAGGGATACCTGAGTGATGTTGACATCCACAACAGTATGATTTTTATTGTTCTTTTATAAGTTGCATGTTTTCCTTTCTTTGCTTTCCTCATCTATTCAGTTCTTCTGTAGAAATAGCTATAACAAATCTTGATTGTCAAAATCAAGTCAATCCCAAACTGAAGGGCACTCATAAGATTAAGGGGAACCCATATCTGAATTTGAAAAATATCCATTTATAACTTCTCAAGACATAGCTATAACAAATTTCAGTCTAAGTCCAAAATGGCAATTTTTCAGGAATTTTTTTTCTCAGTTGTCTTGAAAGGCCAATACTAGGGACCAAGAGGATCCTCCATTTGAAATTTAGGAAACTTCAATTTCTCAACTAATAGTGATAAATGATCTTTGACAGTCAAAATTCAAGATGGCCACCTATCAGCCATTTTGTGTTTCTGATCCATCTTGAAATTGAAACCTTCATATGAAATTTCTTCACCTTGCACTTTTCATAGAATATCAGTATTAGTAATTGTTTAAAGACTGACAACAACCAAGGATGCATAGCTATACATTGCTTGTGCTCAATCAGATCTGAGGTGAAATTTCAGAAAGTAATTATCAGTTTCATCCAGCGATCTCTTATGATGTGACAATAGAATTGTTGCAGTTTTTGAATTGCTGGTCTCTATGAAAAGTATTTTTTATACATCATACATTACTGTATATCATCCCATTCTTAGTCCATTTGACAGGAAATATTGAAATGAACTCCTTCCTCCATTCTGATTAAGAATTGTGCAATCCCTACCAGAGAGAATGTTTGTGCTAATAAGATTATATTGACGAGCATGTGGAGGAGTTTTTTTTTACATAATGCAGGTTACAGATACTGAATTTGACATTCATGCTTCAGTGACTTAGTTCAAGTTGGATTTAGAAGTGCACAGTCCATAATTATGCAACTGAACTAGGTACTTTATGGATAATGGTTATTTGAAAATCATTGTAATTTGGTGTGTCTGAAAATTGAAACCTCAGCAGGAGATTATCGATGACTTATGATGAGAAGTGTAAACAGAAAAAACTGTTAAATCTTTAAAATTGTTTGAAAAGTTTAGTTGTAGGTCAAATTGGTGAAACAGGCAATGATCATTGTGTTGTATATTTGTGTTTCAGAGTCCTGACACTGTGATGATGTACTCGATACTGACCACTTTTATGATGGTGTTCTTTGTCATCTATTACTGTATAGGCTACCACTACTTCTAGTAAGTAATGATAATAATACACATTTAAAGACAATTGAAGACTGTAGCATTTAGATTGAGAATTTTCTCACAATGTGGAAATCAGGACAGGACTTTATCCTATTTTTGAGGTATAATAATGTCATGACAACCACCACATTTTAACAAATCACCAGCCCGATAGGCCGGGAAATATTGTCGGACAAATATATATTGATCTTGTTGTTAATTCTTGTACAAGTCAGCTTGGAGCATTGGACAATTTACTTCTGGTTTTAGACGTCTGAAAAACGTGTCCACTATTGACTTCACATTATGCATATTATCACATTTCCCCTGACAAATGGTATATGATATTAAGCGGGTTCCACCATATAACTAATTCACAAAGTTGACTGGAAAAAATCCATCTAGATCAAATGAAATTTTGGTTTTTTGTAAGGAAGTTAATCTGAATTCTTTTGTCATATTGACTTTATATAGCACATACAATATTTCCATGTTTCGGTCAGATTTTAAAAGTTTTGACATCTGCACAAAATATCATTTATAGACTTTTTTACATCTTATTTATAAATATACTTTATCAAAGGTTTCAATAACTTTCTCACATTTCAGCACTGACACATTTTCTGACATTTATGATGATGATGACACCAGGCCCATTCGGGTAAAGCCTATAAGAAACAGTGAATTACGTCAGAGGATGATGGATGAAAACTTAAGAAAGGAGTGGAAACAGAGACATGACGAACAAATTAGTGAAAAAATTCATAAAATGTTAGCTGAACGTTCTACAGACAGCTGAAATTAAAATTTAATTTATATTTCTGGCTCATGTTTGCAACCATTCCTTTAAATAACATCGAAGATTAGAAGCAGATGCAAGCTTTTATGTGATAATTCTGCACTTGCATATCTAACTCCTGTATGGAATTGTCAATGTGAGAAAATGATCTTCAAGATATTCACCATTACAGCCTCATTACTCCAGGGGTTATGATCAGTTATCCTCTCTTCCATCCTTGATACTCCAGTCGTTACAGTCGCTTACGGTCTCTGCACCCCTGGAGCATGAAGTGGCAAAATTGCAGGCTCATACGAAGCAATTTCATTGGTCAAGGGTGAGTTTCAAGAGAAAAAACTGACCAATCACAGACTGATATGCTCTTTTGACAATCACAAAGGAGCAACACCCAACTTCGAAGCCAGTACAACATACCATTCTGTGACCTCGAAATTTGTTTGATGTCCATCAAAGGATCAAACTTTTTGTCTTCTCCACAAGGTGTTGCTCATGGAACCTTCAATTTTGTCAGGAAATGTTCCAGGTGTGCAGAGGGGGTTAGTGAGCGAAACATTGGCAGAGAGCAATAGTGTTGTAATTGTGCTGATGATGAAATACCACAATTCTGCATGACTAATGGATTTTGATTCGATTTGTTTTGACAATTTTTTGACAATTCTGCAATCAGATGTGCAGGACAGACTAATAGATTTTTAAAAAAAAATGATGTTTTTATATCATTGTAGGTGTGTGATATTGTCCTCTCATTGTTCCCGTCTGTTATTTATGAATTTCACTTAACAGTTAGTAGAAGTCTGGAACCAGTTATCACTTGTAAACAAGATCTTGTCAAGACAATATATTAAGATTCCTAGTAACATATTTCAGTTGTGTTTTTAAGATATTTTTACATTTAAAGCACGGTAGATGTCACTAATTATCCTTTGGCTTACATAATTTTCATCTTTCCTCTATCCCCCAAACCTGTTATGTCCTTGAATGACCATGGCTGTTAATAGGATTTAAAGGATTTTTTTCTTCTTTCCTCTATCCCCCAGACCTGTTATGTCCTTCAATGACCATGGCTGTTAAAAGGATTTTTTTCTTCTTTCCTCTATCCCCCAGACCTGTTTTGTCCTTCAATGACCATGGCTGTAAATAGAATTTAAAGGATTTTTTTCTTCTTTCCTCTATCCCCCAGACCTGTTATGTCCTTCAATGACCATGGCTGTTAATAGAATTTAAAGGATTTTTTTCTTCTTTCCTCTATCCCCCAGACCTGTTATGTCCTTCAATGACCATGGCTGTTAATAGAATTTAAAGGATTTTTTTCTTCTTTCCTCTATCCCCCAGACCTGTTTTGTCCTTCAATGACCATGGCTGTTAATAGAATTTTATGTCCTTCAATGACCATGGCTGTTAATAGGATTTAAAGGATTTTTTTAAACCTGTTATGTCCTTCAATGACCATGGCTGTTAATAGGATTTAAAGGATTTTTTTCTTCTTTCCTCTATCCCCCAGACCTGTCCTTCAATGACCATGGCTGTTAATAGGATTTAAAGGATTTTTTTCATCTTTCCTCTATCCCCCAGACCTGTTTTGTCCTTCAATGACCATGGCTGTTAATAGGATTTAAAGGATTTTTTTCTTCTTTCCTCTATCCCCCAGACCTGTTTTGTCCTTCAATGACCATGGCTGTTAATAGGATTTAAAGGATTTTTTTCTTCTTTCCTCTATCCCCCAGACCTGTTTTGTCCTTCAATGACCATGGCTGTTAATAGGATTTAAAGGATTTTTTTCTTCTTTCCTCTATCCCCCAGACCTGTTTTGTCCTTCAATGACCATGGCTGTTAATAGGATTTAAAGGATTTTTTTCTTCTTTCCTCTATCCCCCAGACCTGTTATGTCCTTCAATGACCATGGCTGTTAATAGGATTTTTTTTCTTCTTTCCTCTATCCCCCAGACCTGTTATGTCCTTCAATGACCATGGCTGTTAATAGGATTTAAAGGATTTTTTTCTTTTCCTCTATCCCCCAGACCTGTTATGTCCTTCAATGACCATGGCTGTTAATAGGATTTAAAGGATTTTTTTCTTCTTTCCTCTATCCCCCAGACCTGTTATGTCCTTCAATGACCATGGCTGTTAATAGGATTTAAAGGATTTTTTTCATCTTTCCTCTATCCCCCAGACCTGTTTTGTCCTTCAATGACCATGGCTGTTAATAGGATTTAAAGGATTCCCCCAGACCTGTTTTGTCCTTCAATGACCATGGCTGTTAAAAGGATTTTTTTCTTCTTTCCTCTATCCCCCAGACCTGTTTTGTCCTTCAATGACCATGGCTGTTAATAGGATTTAAAGGATTTTTTTCATCTTTCCTCTATCCCCCAGACCTGTTTTGTCCTTCAATGACCATGGCTGTTAATAGGATTTAAAGGATTTTTTTCTTCTTTCCTCCAGACCTGTTTTGTCCTTCAATGACCATGGCTGTTAATAGGATTTAAAGGACCTGTTATGTCCTTGAATGACCATGGCTGTTAATAGGATTTAAAGGATTTTTTTCATCTTTCCTCTATCCCCCAGACCTGTTTTGTCCTTCAATGACCATGGCTGTTAATAGGATTTAAAGCAACAATAAACCAAACTAAGTAAACACTGCTGTACTGGTATGTGCCAGCTTTGAACTTCAAATGTTGTTGTATGACAGGTATCAATGGGTGATGGAAAGTATTTATATTGATGAAGGATTGAAAGGTTTTCGTATGGATGTATGATTAAGAAGTATTCATTGTAAGTTTATATCATCATTATAGGTCATGTGTTTGATATATAAACTCTAAAACTGGTATTTTTGTTTTTGTTTTGTTTACAAGTTCACATTTTACATGAACTTGTTTTATTAAATTTAAGACTCCAGTGTTTATCTTACTGGATACATCTGCAGTTAGAAAATGGTGATATAATGTTGGTAGTCAATGTAATCTCAATGTATCATTCTGTAATATATTTTCTAAGAGCTGCAGAATTTTACATACTATAGAATATTATCAGACAAGAGCTTATACTGCTGGATAAATACAGTAACTTCAAAAATGATCAGGTAACATAAATATCTTGTACTCTAACACTTAAATTAATAAACATTTTCAATTGTAATGGAAAGATACTTTAAGTTTGCTTCAATTTTAAATGGAATGTATAATTCTGCAGAAGATTTTTTGTTTCTTAATCTTGATCGAAGTGGAATTCTTACAGCTATATAGATATGCATGAAGGTAAGGAAGTACGCGATGTAAATAAAACCTGAAATACATATTACAAACATCTGTAAACACCAACAAGATAACACGATTGCCAGCAATCATAGAATTTTCTTCCATGCGAGAAAGATTTTTTACTTTAGTCAGCACATTCTGCAATATCAACATTCATACCAGTGTTTATGCAGTGCCATTAAAATCCTTTGACCTATTAACTAAAAAAGCAACCCCAAATATTCTATCCAGACAAGCAACATGTGTACCAAATGTGGGCATGATGGGGGTGGGGTGGGAAGTTACTGCAATGAGACCAAGTTGACAGACAGAACAAAAACAATGTCTTCCTACATTATATTGACTAAAACATTACTAAACCTGCTTGTAAGTCTTTTTTTTTTTTTGGGGGGGGGGGGGGGTTGGTTAACGGAAAGCTGTTTATATATTCTTCTGTTGGTGTTTGGAATTGCAATGAATGGTTTTAACAAAATTGATTCCCAAAGATGAAAACTGGGAATATTAACTGAACTCTTGCTGTGATGTACCATACTGTTGAAAAGATCATTTGTTACACCTAAACATATCTGTGTCAGCAATGCATGGTGAGATAACTTTTATTTTCAAAAGAAAACAAAAAGATTTCAGGTTATCAGTTTTTATATAAAACAGTTGTGTAAGAAGCATTGATTGGCAATACAAGCTCTCTAAGTAAGAACCTGTTTGTTAACAATAAGCATTCATTCTTGAATTCTTGGTCTGCTCATTCGCCAGAACAGACCTGTTTACCACCAGTTTAATACTTAAGTGTTTGCAAATCAGTTGTATATTGAGCACTGGATCTTTGATGTTGATGGTTTTGATTCTGCAACATCAGTATTAGGCCATCTGATAAAACACTCTGAATCAGGATAAATCAAAAGAGCACTATATTTGTATTCATTAGTTCCAAGAACTGTTCATCCATACATAAGCTTTTGATAATAGTACACATGATATTCAGATAGTTGTGGATTTATATTCACAAATCTTCCTGCCAATCTTTGACATCATGAACAAATTTTCAGGGTCAATAACTAATCTACATTCACAAATCTTCCAGCCAATCTTTGACGTCAAAAAACAGTTTTTCAGGATCAGTAACAAGGTCACTTTTTTGGCTATCAGAATCTACCACCTGTCCTGTCTCTGCATTAACTATACGTATTGGCTCGTCCTGGAGAGTGGGCGCCTTTACCTTGCTCTTTGATGGCCTTGCAGCAGGATGAGACGTTAATTGTAACTTGGTTTTGCTAGTCCTACGATTATATTGTTCATCATCACTGCTGCTATCCTCGGAGGGTTGATAGGTCTTGTCCTCTTTCTCCGACAAGTCAGCATCATCTGTAATACTTGCCTGTAAAGAAGAGGAGGATTTCTGTGATGGCGCTGTAACCTTTGCTCCATACATAACATATCCAGGATTTACCTGTGAGGAAGGCTGATTAAACTTCTGTCCAGTAGAGTTACTTCCTCTTTGTCCACTTGTAGGAATGTGTGGTTTCTGTGATGGTTTAGTCAGGTTACTTGAAACGTCTTTGGGCAAGCTACTGGTTAACTGTTTAACCTGGTTACTTCCCTTGTTGAGTATTATCCCTGTAGGATATGGCCTTTGTGTTGGTAAACTTCCTCCCTTTGATTGTGTGGTACTTTTGCCTCCTGAAACTGTACTGCCAGTATGTGATGCAGCATGATATTCCCCACCCACAAGCAAGGTTCGTAAGTTCTCGCCTTTCTGAAAGGAGCCAGGATTTCCCCCAGTTTCTATGTGTGCTCCACCTATCTGAATTGGATTGCTTCCCTTAGACGCTGAAAGATCACCACTTGTCTTTTCAGGATTGGCCTTGGCATCGCTTTCATCATCAGATGATGATATTTCAATCACTTCTATAATCTTTTTGACAGGCTGAGATGTAGCTGCTGGTTCATTTTTCTTACTGAAGTCAAACTTGGGTGAGAGTCCAGTATATGGTGTGGCAGGAGTTGTAACAGGAGATGGTGCTAAAGAATCATTGGGATTATATGGCTTAAAGCCAGAAGCTCCCTTTCCACTCACTAATATTGATTTACTTCTTGTGTCACCTGTAACTTTTTCTTTTTCTTTGGGAATGTTTGTCTTGATGTTGGAAAACAAACTGGATTTCTGAGTACTTGGTGAAGATTTCTGTACACCACTGATGGCTGGTCTACCTGGCCCTAGTTGGTTTCCAGGCTTTCCTGTCGACTGTTTCACAGCTCCTCCACCAACAGGGCTCAGCAACTGTTTCTGTTTCCCTACAAATGATACTGAAGCTGGTGTAGCTTTGTTGACATTCTCCTGCAATTGTGGGGTGGAAACTTTCTTTTCCTTTTCCAATAACTTGGACCCTTGAGTCAACGTTGTGGGACCTTGATTCTGTCCCCCAACTTTGCTAAGTGAGGAAACAGGTTTTTCCGGGGAGAAGAGAGAAGAATCTGACTGACATCCATCTTTTCCAGATGTGTCTAAGATGTTTTTCCCAGCAGACTGGAAGACATGAAATATTCAAATGATATTTTTATAAAATTTTATGATGAGTGAATGTTATCTAAAAACCTTATGAAAGCTTTAATGACATTACAATATATGTATTTGAATAACAGAATACTGTTATCATATCGAAATCAGTAGCAATGGGCCTTATATATTTATAGTGAGTCATTTACTATATCTATTGGGTATATAGATAGATTATAAGTCCTAATATCATATATGCTACAGACAAGTGACACTTACAGGTTGCCATTGTCTAGCCTTGTGACGTTGCACTTCCTCTTGACAAAAGCGTATAGCCTGTTCAAGAACTTCCTCATCATCCAGTACCTGTAAAGGTCAAATAGTTAAAGGTCAAAACACAAAGTAATCCTGACAATATGTAAATGTTTTTGGGATTGATGAAATAAAACGGACACTGTCGTTATATCACCAATTACATCTGTATTGGTTTATATTTTTTATGTCACAGATTAAGACATCATGCATGTTTACAAGCCCTACTTGATATTGCACAGGAGCAAAATCAATATAAACAAAAACCGTTTTATATATATTCTTTTTCATCAGTGCCTTATTCTCCTGAAATGTAAGGCAAGAATTTAATCTGAGAATTTTATTTGAGAAGTGTTAAGTACCTGCTCTTCAATGGCAGAAAGATCACATCGATAAATTGAGATACTCTAGTTGTGAAACCAAGTGGTAAGATTTCCATGTGGTGAAATAAACACAATATCCTAAATTACACTCTAATAAGCCTACTTTTTTGCCCATGACAGCCTTAAAGGTGTCCTCCAGAAGTTCATTAGCCTCAATCGTTTGACTGATATCCATCTTGAAAGAGATGTAGTTGTACACCTTGTACACTTCCATCAAACATTTCACTGCTCGAGTGTAGTTTTCACATTGCCGAAGCTCTGGCAAGCGTCCTCTGATGGCATCAAGACAGTACTGATGGGCAAGACGTGCAAACTTGATTCTCTCTGCATCACGCATGTACTTTCTGTAACAGAACATTTCAGCTACTAAAACCAATTTGATCATTACTTTTTTCTGTATCAGTGTGTGATTTTGCAATATAACAACACAGTATTAACAACAACTGCGATCACCACTATAATCCGTTCTCCTATAAAAGTTAACAATATGGAAAGAGCTCTGCCTTACCTATTGTCTGTATTAGCATTATAAATAGTATAATTGTTTATACAATATCACATCAGCTAGACAAACTTATTAACAGAAAAATCTTAAATATACTTAAATGTTAATTTCAGGGAAATTAGATAGTAACAACAAAAAGTCTGGGCTTTCATAGAACAGAAGTTCTTATAATACAACCAGTAAAAGATTTATGTGTGATGCTTTAATGACTACATGGTCACCTTCATCAGACAAATGACCATTGTGATGCGTATTAGCACTGACATATTAACAGAACACAGACTTATGTCCTAGGAACACAAGATACATTTTTACAGAACACAGACAGATGTTCTAGTAACACTAATACATTTTTACACAGCACAGACTTATGTCCTAGAAACACTAGATACATTTTTACACAACACAGACAGATGTCCTGGAAACACTATATACATTTTTACACAACACAGACAGATGTTCTAGTAACACTAATACATTTTTACACAACACAGACAGATGTCCTAGAAACACTAGATACATTTTTACACAACACAGACAGATGTCCTAGAAACACTATATACATTTTTACACAACACAGACAGATATTCTAGTAACACAAGATACATTTTTACAGAACACAGACAGATGTCCTAGAAACACTAGATACATTATTACAGAACACAGACAGCTGTTCTAGAAACACTAGATACATTATTACAGGACACAGACAGATGTCCTAGTAACACTAGATACATTATTACAGGACACAGACAGATGTTCTAGTATCACAATACGTTTTTACAGAACCCAGACAGGTGTCCTGGTAATGCTGGGAATGTTTTTATGGAACACAGGGATATAACCTTAAGCCTCTAACAGTAACACTATGTCCTTAATGGTGACTATGTTGTACTTACTTCCTCCCATCCTTATAATGAACTAGATGGAGGTTATATCTGACTGAGTCACTTACTTTCCAGAGTCGGGGTCCCTGCTGAGCTGAAGAAAAATACTGTGTAGTTTAGGGACATCTTTCTGATCTTTTAGAACCTTGAGGAGAAGTTTGACTGAACGAGTCAGATGTGATGGGAAACTGCCGGACCGATCAATCTCATCAACTGGAATTTTCCAAACACCCTGCCCAAAACATAAGATTTGCGATAAACATTAATCTTCTAAAATAAAAAATTAGACCAACATAAAATGTATAGCTGCATGGTTTGCCTGCACTCAAGTTGATAGAATTTGGGCCTAGTTATGATAATATATCTTTAGGAAATCTCATAACACTTATCTTTTATCTTTTGTCTATCCAACAATATCATTTATGACCTAACAGAAGAATGTATGATTTCAAGACTGATCACAATTTTGATCTTCTAACCTAAATGAGGTTAAAATTAAATTCACCAGGAGGAAATGCAACAAAAACTAAAGGCTTCAGATATATGCACAAAAGGGATTGAGACACCCGCCACACACATGGGTCCAAGATTCTTTACTACATATACCTGGAAGAAATTGTTTGGTTTCCTGTCCACAAACAATCCCTGTGCAGGCATGTGTGCCATCATCTTCCAGTCAGGGTTGCCTAGCAACAGGTCATGGGCATACTGCAAATTCTGAAGAAAACATATTTATTGTTATAACTAGGCATTTAAGAAAGTAGATATTAATGTTATATAAAGTAAGTTCAATTCGTTGAATTTTACTTACAACAGTTTGATGGGCCTGCATCGCTTACCTGGTACCAATTAAATGTTATACTAAATACATTTATTTATCACATCATTGAAATTCAAAGTGGGCCTCAATCTTAAACCAAATTCAAAAACTGTCATGCCATCAATACAGGTTAAATACCATTTGTTTCAAAATGGACAAATCCTTTACTGAACAACTTCAATACATATAAATCATGGGTCAAGTTTGACCCCAGTGACGATGGTGATGATGCCATTTAAGATATTTCTATTAGCCAACTTTCATAAACCTAGTTTAAATGCAAGCAATTTGAAGTTTTGCTCGAGAGACAAAATTTTAACAAAGGGCAATAACTCTGCAATTAAGGGATTGCAGGCCCTGAATTTGGTACACTATACTTCATATGATCAACATATACACCAAGTTTTGTTATCCTAGTGTATACACAAGCAAAGTGATGCTCTAGACACAAAATTTAAGAGCAGTAACTCCGTTATTGAATGGTAGAGGGCCCTGAATTTGGTACACTGCACATCCCTTAGTATGACCAATTTATATACCACATTTCATGATCCTTGCTTATCCCTGGGCAAAGTTATACTCAAAACATGAAAATGGCAGACAGACAGATGGACAAACATAGCAATGACTATATGCTCTCCTGAAAATTTTTGGAGAGTGTAATAAAACAAGGGCCATCAGAGACATGTTATGCTCCCCGAATGGAAACATAAGTATGAAAACATAGGGTAATTAGAGAGTTATGATTCTTGTACACTGCCCTCCTTCTCGTTAAGATTTATCTAATTATGTAGTTTCATGTTGATACTTATTCTTGTTTTAGTGTAATGCTCCAGGTATGAAAAGTATGAAAAATAACAAAGGACAATAACTCCTAAATTATGCCAAAGATAGTGATGGTTCAACTGCACTGCACTTCTTGATGGGATTTATCTAGCTATGAAGTTTTATGTTGACACCTCATAGTTTTATTGTAATGTTCCAGACAAAATTTAAGTTTCAACAAAGGGCAATAACTCCTAATTATGCATAAGAAAGTGATGGTTCTGATGCACTGCACTACTCCTTGTTGAGATCTATCTATCTATGAAGTTTTTTGTTGTTACCTCTTATAGTTTTGTGTTATGCTCCAGACAAAATTATGACGGTGGGACAAGCAGACAGATTGACAAAGCAGGGACTATATGCTCTCCCTTTGAGGAGTATAAAAAGCTTGATATAAGAGGTCCTTTCAAGAAGCTGACAGACAGACTCTATAAACGTTATTTGTAGAGAACTAACAATAATAATAAAACATGACAGAGTAACTTTTCGTGGGGGAAAATACATACCTTATGGTACGGAGAGTTGACATAGGTATATGCTAATCTATACAGTGACTTGTAGTGGGTTGGGAAACGTGCCAAACACAGACAGAGGGCTGCCATACATTGCTCAATCAGCTGTTTGTGCATTTTTGAACTTCCCGGTTTGTTACTGGTAACTTTACTTTTATTGCTTTCTGTGCTTATTTTGTCTTTTTTCTCCTTCTTTTTCTCCACTGTAACTGGAACCTCTTTCACATCCTTTGTGTTCAGTTTTTCTTGATCACCTTTATTACTTCTGCCACCAACCACTGAAGTGACGCCTTCATCCTTCTTACTTACTGAATCCTTCTCCAACATCGCACTTTCTTTATTGACTGACTTAGAACTACCTGTGTTTAACTTCTTTTTATCACCATTGTCATCAACATCCATTTTCACATCATCCATTTTTTGCTCTGTACTGACTGAGCTTGTCACATTACTAACATCCACTTTCACATCCTCTGCCTTTTGTCCTTGATAGGTTGTAGAATCTTTCACAACTGAATCAATTTTGCCATTGTCCACATTTTGTCCTTGGTTTGTAGGATTTATTTCAGTAACATCCATTTTCTCATCTATTCTTTCAGTTATATTGCTTTTCAAATCATCCACTTTTTCAATAACATTTATTTTCTCATTATCTATTCTTTCTGTAAGGTTATTTTTCCCATCAACCACTTTTTCAGTAATGAGTGTTTTCCTGTCATCCACTCTTTGTCCTTGGTTGGCTGTTGATGCTTGATGTGAGTCTTCTTTCTCTGGAATCTGTGAGGGATTCTCTGTTTCATCAACAATCATGGCTTCCTCATCCTTGTTATCACATGTATCACCAATGTCTTCACACTTTCCATCATCCAAATGTCTGATCTGGTCAACCTCCATCTTACTTTCTTCAAAGCCAATGTTCTGTTGATCTTCCATTCCAATCTTCCTAGATTGCTCATCATTTTTAAATGTCTCGTCCATTGATGAGGATTCTTTCTTATCTGAATTTTGATTGGCCAATAATGTTTCAATCTTATTATCCTTTGAGTCATTGTCATCTCTATTCTGATTTGTTGAATCATACTGTGTTGAATGCTTTGAACTGAGATTAGAAGAAAAAGATGTCAAGTCCTCCTTTATACCTTGAGAACTAATGGTGTCTTGCTGTGAGCTAATCTTAAGTCCAGTATCAGCATCTGATATTAAAATTTGAGAGGAAGGTGATTGTGACCTTGAAGCCTTCAAAGATGAACTCAGACTTTTTTCTGGAGAACTTTCTGAGATGATATCATCAGGAATAATATTTTTTGATAAAAACTGGTTGAACTGGGCCAGAAATCCACCAGACTTTGACAAAGAATCACCAGACTTTGACAAGGAATCCCCGACTGATCTACTACGTGATTCAAGAGTCTCTGGGATTGAGTCTAAAGAATCAGAGAGGAAGGAATCCTCTAAACTTTCCCCTAAATCATCCCCATCTGACAAGCTGTCCTCAGATTTCTGATCCTTCCTGGTCTTGGAGTCAGTTTCCATGCCTACGACTGAAGGGCCTTGTTCACATTTTGACACAAGTTCACCCTCTAGTTCCTGTGCCATTCTCTCTCTCAATCCTTTGGACAGTGACAACTCACTCGGATCTGAAACCAATGAATATTTCAATTTGAAAGATATATATTTGAGTACAAGCTGCTCCTTGATAATCATTATCATATCCATTTTCTTAAATGGCTGGACCATAACGTGTTCAATACCATCATTCAGTTTTTACAGGATCTGGTTTACACAGAGTATTCATAGTGGCCATGAACATTCAGAAAGAATATCAAATTAAATATACTATGAAAAGCAGGACCAAAGGATGATGAGAAAACAAAGAGAATAAATTGTCATTTTTATTTATTTATACAGAACATGTGGAAACATTTGGGAAGTTTAATCACTCTCAAGATACAGAATAAATATGAGATTAAGTTCATTAAATAATTGAAGAAGGTTTTGTAAATATTTTGAGAATAATGAGTTTTATGACACTGATAACAGAATAGCTATGAAAAGATTATAAATAACAAAATAACAAAATAAATATTACTGGCACCAAGCTTTTACACTGATATAATTTGTAAATTCTAAAACTCAAAACTTGTCCAAGATAATTTGATGCTTATAAGTGTGTAAAGTTTGATGAGAATTAATCAAGGAATGCAGCTACAATCAGAAGAAAATAATTTGTAAGGGTTTAAAATTTCATTAAACATATGTAACCATTATAAAATTCCTTGTTTCACTATTGTCTGTATTAAGGAAATGCTTGACTTTCAGGGGATACATACCAATGGCTGTTCCACCTTCCTGATCCTCTGATAGATTCATGTCACCGTATTGTCTTGTCTCAGATTCCATACTCTCATTTCCTTGACTTAACTCCCGGACATCAGAATGGTAAGATTTCTCCTCTTCCTGTCCATCCTCTTCCTTATGTGGACTAGACTTGGCATCATTCTTTGGACTCTCGGACTGAGGAATGAGGTCATGTGACTTTCTATCCTCCCCAGGTGACGGAATATCCTGATCTTGTGATAAGTCTGAGAGTAAAATATCCTCATCATACTCAAACGGAGAAGAATCATTATCTTTTTCTGTTTTTTTCCTGTCAGGTTTGTCTTCAAACAGAATCCTGTCCTCCTGGGAAGACACCTCCATCATTTTACCACCAGACATGCCCTCAAGGGATGACCCCTCCACTGTTTTAACAGCAGGTTTGCCCTCAAGGGAAGACCCATCGACTATTTTATCCGCAGATTTGCCCTCTAGGGAAGACCCCTCCATCGCTATATCATCAGACTTGCCCTCCTGGGAAGACCTTTCCATGATCTTGTCCACTGATTTGTCCTTGGTTCCACTTTCAACACTATCACCTCTATCCAATTTGTGTGATTCATCCTTCACATCAAAACCAAATGAAGTTTGTTTAACAATGCCAGTGAATTCATCTAGAAAGAAACCATCACCTTCAACTTCACTATCAACAGCCATGTCACCTTGACCTTGCTCATCTGATACAGCTCTCTTTTCCACAGACACAACTGAACCAACTTTCTCTTCTTTCTTCTGAACATTTTCAGCTACATTCAAATGTTCATCAAGATTCTCAGCAGATAATTCCATCATGCTCCCAGCTGCTTTAGAAGAGTCAATTACCTTGACCTCCCTGTGTGTAACCCCGGAAACTGGTTTAGGGGTCACAACCCGGTCAACGTCAGGGGCTGCTGGGTCAGTGCCAGAGGCCTCTACCAAGTTTTTTTGCTTGGAATAAGTGTGATCCATCGACATGACCTTAGACTTCTTTCCTCCTGATTTTGGTCCTTGTCCGACAGGTAGCGATGTACCTTCCACTGTGGACATACTGAAATTAGACAATTGCATTCATTGTAATTCCCTTTTTAAATTCATCACTGATATGGTAACATAATCTCTATGTGTATTTCAGTTGCTACATCCTAAGATCTATATCCCTGTAAAGTAAATGTATTTTTAGATGCTATGCTTTCAATTTTCCTGTCAGATAAATAGCATCAAATTAATCATAAATAGCTGTTCAGACCAGAAACTCCATTTTAATATAAACTTTCACTATTCCATTTCAAGCAATAGTGAAACAATCCCCTTGTAGGTCCAGATAGAAGTATGTGAGAGTAGGAAACTACAGTACCCTTTGAAAATAGATATACTTGGGCAGATGGCTCCATATTTCAAGTCAAATGGGGGTTGATAGTCTGGTTGCTATGGTGAAAGTTGAGTATTTAGCCCCCTTATCCTTTCTCAAACACAGTTTATCTCTCCTGTTGTTTCTCTGACAATGTACTAACCCTTCCTGTCATTTCTCCAACACACTACTTACCCCTCCTGTCATTTCTCCAACACACTACTTACCCCTCCTGTCATTTCTCCAACACACTACTTACCCCTCCTGTCATTTCTCCAACACACTACTTACAACTCCTGTCATTTCTCCAACACACAACTTACCCCTTCTGTCATTTCTCCAACACACTACTTACCCCTCCTGTCATTTCTCCAACACACTACTTACCCCTCCTGTCATTTCTCCAACACACAACTTACTCCTCCTGTCATTTCTTCAACACACTACTTACCCCTCCTGTCATTTCTCCAACACACTACTTACCCCTCCTGTCATTTCTCCAACACACAACTTACTCCTCCTGTCATTTCTTCAACACACAACTTACCCCTTCTGTCATTTCTCCATCACACAACTTACCCCTCCTGTCATTTCTCCAACACACTACTTACCCCTCCTGTCATTTCTCCAACACACTACTTACCCCTCCTGTCATTTCTCCATCACACAACTTACCCCTCCTGTCATTTCTCCAACACACTACTTACCCCTCCTGTCATTTCTCCAACACACTACTTACCCCTTCTGTCATTTCTCCATCACACAACTTACCCCTCCTGTCATTTCTCCAACACACTACTTACCCCTCCTGTCATTTCTCCAACACACAACTTACCCCTCCTGTCATTTCTCCAACACACTACTTACCCCTCCTGTCATTTCTCCAACACACAACTTACTCCTCCTGTCATTTCTTCAACACACAACTTACTCCTCCTGTCATTTCTTCAACACACAACTTACGCCTTCTGTCATTTCTCCATCACACAACTTACCCCTCCTGTCATTTCTCACATACAGTACTTACCCTTCTTTTCATTACTCTAACACAGTATTTATCCCCCTGTCTTTCTAAGACAGACAAAGTCTTTTAAGACGAATTATTTACACCTCCCGTTGTTCTCAGACAAATCACTTATAACTCCTGTTGTTTCTCAGACAAATCACTTATAACTCCCGTTGTTCTCAGACAAATCACTTATAACTCCTGTTGTTTCTCAGACAAATCACTTATAACTCCTGTTGTTTCTCAGACAAATCACTTATAACTCCTGTTGTTTCTCAGACAAATCACTTATAACTCCTGTTGTTTCTCAGACAAATCACTTATAACTCCCGTTGTTCTCAGACAAATCACTTATAACTCCTGTTGTTTCTCAGACAAATCACTTATAACTCCTGTTGTTTCTCAGACAAATCACTTATAACTCCTGTTGTTTCTCAGACAAATCACTTCTAATCTATGTTGTTTCTCAGACAAATCACTTATAATTCCTGTTGTTTCTCAGACAAATCACTTATAATTCCTGTTGTTTCTCAGACAAATCACTTATAACTCCTGTTGTTTCTCAGACAAATCACTTCTAATCTATGTTGTTTCTCTAACACATTACTTACCTTTCCTGTCTTTTTTCTTGACATCGGGCAAATGGACTATTAGCTGCCTCCTTAATATATTGCTGGAACAGCTGCATATCTGACTCCAGAATTGTTTTGTTCTTCAGCAAAATCTTCATGATGGACACATGGATACGGTAAAACATCTGAACAGAAATGAATGCTTGTAAGTAAATGTACAGTAAGCAAAGGCAACTTAGAACAAAAACAGAGCAGTTAGGGTCCAGATGTATGCTATATAGCTACAGAAAGACCAGGACAGTGATGGAACTGAAGTGTTAGTATAGCTACAGAAAGACCAGGACAGTGATGGAACTGAAGTGTAAGTAGAGTTACAGAAAGACCAGGACAGTGATGGCCCTGAAGTGTTAGTATAGCTACAGAAAGACCAGGGCAGTTATGGCCCTGAAGTGTTAGTATAGCTACAGAAAGACCAGGGCAGTTATGGCCCTGAAGTGTTAGTATAGCTACAGAAAGACCAGGGCAGTTATGGCCCTGAAGTGTGTTGTACAGTCAATCAGAGTCAGAAGCTGTTTTGAGCTATCTTGGCATATGATCTTTTCTGATTCTTCTTTATAATTACCAACCAATCACTATTTATCGCAAAATTTGCGCAAAATAGAATATATATAGGATTATATGAAAAACATATTAAGTAAATAGCACTTAGTCACAAAATAACACGAGTATAATAAATAATCATCACCAAGGCTCAAAGTACACGGTATATCAAACTAATCCTACAGTAACCCTGAGTTGTGTCCTCTACTAACAGTAACCCTGAGTTGTGTCCTCTACTAACAGTAACCCTGAGTTGTGTCCTCTACTAACAGTAACCCTGAGTTGTGTCCTCTACTAACAGTAACCCTGAGTTGTGTCCTCTACTAACAGTAACCCTGAGTTGTGTCCTCTACTAACAGTAACCCTGAGTTGTGTCCTCTACTAACAGTAACCCTGAGTTGTGTCCTCTACTAACAGTAACCCTGAGTTGTGTCCTCTACTAACAGTAACCCTGAGTTGTGTCCTCTACTAACAGTAACCCTGAGTTGTGTCCTCTACTAACAGTAACCCTGAGTTGTGTCCTCTACTAACAGTAACCCTGAGTTGTGTCCTCTACTAACAGTAACCCTGAGTTGTGTCCTCTACTAACAGTAACCCTGAGTTGTGTCCTCTACTAACAGTAACCCTGAGTTGTGTCCTCTACTAACAGTAACCCTGAGTTGTGTCCTCTACTAACAGTAACCCTGAGTTGTGTCCTCTACTAACAGTAACCCTGAGTTGTGTCCTCTACTAACAGTAACCCTGAGTTGTGTCCTCTACTAACAGTAACCCTGAGTTGTGTCCTCTACTAACAGTAACCCTGAGTTGTGTCCTCTACTAACAGTAACCCTGAGTTGTGTCCTCTACTTACAGTAACCCTGAGTTGTGTCCTCTACTTACAGTAACCCTGAGTTGTGTCCTCTACTAACAGTAACCCTGAGTTGTGTCCTCTACTAACAGTAACCCTGAGTTGTGTCCTCTACTTACAGTAACCCTGAGTTGTGTCCTCTACTAACAGTAACCCTGAATTGTGTCCTCTGCTAACAGTAACCCTGAGTTGTGTCCTCTACTTACAGTAACCCTGAGTTGTGTCCTCTACTAACAGTAACCCTGAGTTGTGTCCTCTACTTACAGTAACCCTGAGTTGTGTCCTCTACTAACAGTAACCCTGAGTTGTGTCCTCTACTAACAGTAACCCTGAGTTGTGTCCTCTACTAACAGTAACCCTGAGTTGTGTCCTCTACTAACAGTAACCCTGAGTTCTGTCCTCTACTAACAGTAACCCTGAGTTGTGTCCTCTACTAACAGTAACCCTGAGTTGTGTCCTCTACTTACAGTAACCCTGAGTTGTGTCCTCTACTAACAGTAACCTTGAGTTATGTCCTCTACTGATTTCAAGATCCCTGTCTTATCATTTCTAAAGTTATGACATCAATCAAATGACATTTATCATTGAAATAAATACTGATAATGAGAACAACACTTTTAAGCAGCAACTTCTTTCAAGTAACAGTGAAATCTAAACTTGGGAAACTTGTTAAACCTCCAAAGCAATGTTTATACAGCAGAGTGTAAGGATATACAGTATTAGGGAGACTGTCATTCATTTTTTTTCATGATTCAAATTTTTGCATTTTCATCAAATGCTTAATGCAAAAGGGATGTATTTTCCTTAAAAGTCAGGTAACCTGCCAATTTTTTCATTCAAAATATTGATTTTTATTTTTAAGATACTGTAAGCATACTTATTTTTATACAATCAAATTTTAGCTCCGTATCAATTTTTAACAAATAACTGCAAGGATAACTTTTGACTTCTGCAATAAGTGCTATATTGATGAGATATGCCAGGGCTCTTGATCTGCCAGATTTGGGGCTGAATATTCGGCCCCGTTCCCAATGCAAAATGGTATCTTTTTTTCCCAATTTAGACCCCAAGTTTTCTCAATTCTAAGGAAAATGCTGCTAGTTTTCCCAATTCGAAAGGCCCCAGGCCCCAGTCCCAAAATGGGGTGTGAGAGCCCTGTATGCACACAGAAACTTCCATTAACACAATCAGATTAATTCAGCATAAAAGATGCTAAAATAACTACTGAAGTATATATGTTTACCATTGTTGAGAGTTTTATTCCATACTCAGAAATATCCAAGAATAGATATCAGTTACAGCATTAGATAAAGATTTCACCCCAGAAACAAAACACCTCAGCACTTTCATTGTTGATATTAACGTTGCTATTGAACTTTAAACCTGAATAAAGATAATAACATGGATTTAATTCATATGTGGTCACTTTGACTTAAAAGGTTTTGCTCATTATTTAGTATAACAAACCTTTTAAATGTGATTTAACTAAATACCTTTAGTTAACAAAGCAGTGCTGATTTATTCTAATCCTTAAAAGGTTGAGAATATTAAAAATCATTTTTTACCTCAAGAGATTCCACAGCCAGGTGGGGGGTAGTGTAAGCATATACAATCTTCTTAGGGAAAGTGGCATTCTCCTCATACAGATATCCTGCTGCCTGTCAAAAAATATATATAAATATGCCTATATTTCATATTGGTTTCTTTAATACCTGTGTATACTTAATAATGCAATTTCTCTTCAACCGAAGTATACAAATATAAATGATTTAGGTATAACTGGTGTACCTTTTTGTAATAGTCTAGATATTCTATAACTGGTATACTTTTTGTAACAGTCTAGATATTCTATAACTGGTGTACCTTTTTGTAATAGTCTAGATATTCTATAACTGGTATACCTTTTTGTAATGGTCTAGGTATTCTATAACTGGTGTACCTTTCTGTAACAGTCTAGATATTCTATAACTGGTATACCTTTTTGTAACAGTCTAAGTATTCTATAACTGGTATACCTTTTTGTAATGGTCTAGATATTCTATAACTGGTATACCTTTTTGTAACAGTCTAGATATTCTATAACTGGTGTACCTTTTTGTAATGGTCTAGGTATTCTATAACTGGTGTACCTTTTTGTAACAGTCTAGATATTCTATAACTGGTATACCTTTCTGTAACAGTCTAAGTATTCTATAACTGGTGTACCTTTTTGTAACAGTCTAAGTATTCTATAACTGGTATACCTTTTTGTAACAGTCTAGGTATTCTATAACTGGTATACCTTTTTGTAATGGTCTAGATATTCTATAACTGGTATACCTTTCTGTAACAGTCTAGGTATTCTATAACTGGTATACCTTTTTGTAATGGTCTAGGTATTCTTTAGCCGGTTTCCTCATCTTTTCTAGACACTTGGCCATCATATAGTGTTGTAGCCATTCTTCCTCATTCTCGTCGCTCTCACATTCACTCGCCTTCTTATAACAGTTAAATGCAGTCTGCAGCATCTCCTGTCGACTGTCTGATGCTATTTGTTCTAGTTCCTCGGTCAATGGAAACCAATTTTTCTAAAAGGGAAGTTAGTAAAGTAGAAGAAGCTTAAAAATTATTTTAAAAGTTGTTTCTACCTATGCACTGCAAAAACTGCACAATTTTTTTCAATTTTTATTTATGAAAATCTGCTGGGTAGATTTATGAGGAGAGCTCAAAGTCTTTCAAATATATAAAGGTTGTCCAGAAAAAGGATGTTTGCCTTGCATATATAACCAACTGTGTTTTGGACAGAAAATCAGGCAACATCAATGCTAGACAAAAATGGTGACAACAATGTCAACCAGAGATGTCAACAGCACAGGATGATTATGTAATCCTATATTGTGAAATATTTTCTTTAATAGGTAAGTATATATAGAATAGATATTTTTTTAAGTTCTAAGTCAAGTCTGGTAGGATATTTACAAGTCAATTTCTTACTGTGATAATAGAACTTGTCTGAATACACCCTAGTTACCCATTTAAGCTGGCGTGAAGCATGAGAGTGCAGCTGATATGCCAACGATCCATACTCTATCCACAGTTTGGCATTAGAATCATCAATTTCCACAGCTCTACGGAAACATCTAAGGGCTCCAATAGACTTCCTGTAGATAGGCATATCCATCTTCAGGGCCGTCTGAAAGTCACAAAACAAGTGGTATGTTTTGTAAGTATCACCGATCTGTTTTATTTATGTTATTGATATCTAAGATAAATCTATTTAAAAGTCACACAAAATCTAATGACAGAAGTTTAGGTAAAAGTTTTAAGTGTGCAGCTGATTTCAGATAAAAGTGAAGAAACACTTAGGCTATCATTATATGCACCTATTTATAACAATGAAAAAATCGTTAGTTTCTACCAAGTTGCACATCCTGAGGCAAGGATGGGTTACCATGGTAATGGGCAGCTCCCTGTAACATGTTCAGAACCATAAATGTTCCATCAGAAAACATCAGATATTGCCTGAAAATACCCTACACTGATCAGCTGAGTGTTTTCTGTTTTCCCAAGTATCTTGGTCATTCCTATGTCTAAATTCTATCACTGAACAGATTTATAGTAAAAAATCCAAATACAAAACAAGTGAACAGTTAAATACAAAACACCAACTGTTAGCAAGCCTCAGAAGACACAAAAAAATGTTACTAACTCTGAAAAATATCCAAATAAAAATCACACATTATTAATATCAAAAGGGATATTCTGCTCAAGTTTCAAAATTTCTGGCTGTTCTGTACCATTCCAGAACTCATTTAAATGACTTTTAAAGCTATCATTAGCATCAAATATCTCTCATGCAATCAGTTTGGACAGGTGATCACTGAATCAAAGTATTGGGTAAATACAAAAGTGTGTATGCTATTCAGGAAGATTTCTGCTGGGGTTGTAAATTCTTTTTACATCATTAGGCTTATTTTCTATTACTCTAATAATTTACACAATATATAGTTCTGTTTGACTTAAAATAAACAATGAAAACCTGTTATGATGCAATTAGGGGTGCGTGAACATATGTAAATTGATGTAGCTATATCAGTAAAGAATTTCCGCAAAGTAAATATGACATATATAATTATATAGTAAATTGCTAATATAAGTAGATAATTTTGTACAATTTTCTTAAAAAGCATCTGATGAAATCCTAACTTGTGTGAAATATCCCTTTTAGTACATGAACGCATGAACGAACTGGTATATATAATTACGTAAGTAGATTTCGAATCATCTTTTCAAATCTGTGTTGTATTACGATATCATTCAACACCTCTTCATAAAGATCATATATGTCACACTGGTACCAAAATATATACGACTGCTTAGTTACAATGGATCTTACACGTGTCTAGTGTTTACTATGAAATTTATTTAACAGTCAGGAGCAAATGACATCAAGTGACATATACATTGAATCTAAAATTGAAACCAGGTTATGGAAAAGACTTCATTGTATTAAACATGATTTCCTTCAATTTCATATCCTTAAGAATTATCTTCATTAGAAACAAAAACTTTCAATCTGAAATCCAATAACAAAACAATAACTATATGGCTTGTTACAAAAATACCAACTTCACATCAGAAGGTAACTTTTCCACAGAAAACACGTGTTACTTAATAGCTAAGTTACCTCGGACTCTTCTGTTTCAACCTGTACACATAGATAACCCATAACACATTCAGTCAGTAATTAAATCTTATACTACAACAGCTATAAGTTAGAACATGTTAGTCAAAGAAGTGTATACTGTAATTTATCTAAATGAAATGTTTGATTAAATAACATTATAATCATAATAAATTCCACATTTACTTTGAAAATTTTTAAATCAATTCAATCTTTGTATAAAAAAAAAAGATATTTTGATCACATTAAAGTGGTCAAGTGTTACCGACAAGTGTTTCTCATTTACCATCTGTCTAAATCCTCACCTGTCCAATTGACCACCTGTCTATATATAGTAAATGTCCACATGCCAAAATCATCACCTGTCCAATTGATCACCTATCTATATATAGTAAATTTCCACATGTCTAAATCCTCACCTGTCCAACTGACCAACTGTCTATATATAGAAAATGTCCACATGTCTAAATCATCACCTGTCTAACTGACCACCTTTTTTATATATAGTAAATGTCCACATGTCTAAGTCATCACCTGTCTAACTGACCATCTGTCTACATATAGTAAATGTCCACATGTCTAAATCATCACCTGTCTAACTGACCACCTGTCTATATATAGTAAATGTCCACATGTCTAAGTCCTCACCTGTCTAACTGACCACCTGTCTATATATAGTAAATGTCCACATGTTTAATTTGCCATCTGTCTTATTGACCTACTATTTAGCTAATTGTCCATCTTCACACAACTGTCACGTATGTTTAGATATCATTCCTAAATCTAAGAAAACAAATCAAGTACTGATAAATATTTAGCTGCAGCAAGAAACTGATAACATGTCATTTTACTCACAGAACTCAGTTTTTGTTCCAATTGACTCATGCGTGCAAGTCCCATGCCTGCCCACGAGTCCAGACGTGTTGGATTCATACATATGTCACTCATGTAGAACCGCACTGCTTTCCTGTATTAAGATGTACAGATAGAAAGTTATTATCTTTCTTTACCTAATGTAAAATTCAAACTAAGCCTTACTAAATCATGCAATCTGGATTTGAAATAAATAATAATGGTTTCCAATTCATACATTTATCACATGAGTGAAGTTTGATGCTCTCATCAGCAACTTGTAAGAGAACATCTAGAAATCTGATGACTCCATTCCAACTTTAATTAATAGAGCTAAATGTAATATTTAACTCAAACTTATTTCTTAGATCTGGGCTGAAAAAGTTAAGTTCAATACATGTTAGAAACCTGGAGTACAGTAAACGGAGAAATGTTTACCTTGTGAGGTTTTTCTTGCCGAAACAAAAACTTTTCATTTTCTCCTCATGAGAAATTCGTTCTTTAGACAAATAATAATCAGATTTAATATCAAAATTATCCATCTATTATTATTGCCAAGGAGCAAAACAGGCAAAAAATCAAACTGAGATGAAAGCTTTCCATTATACAGTTATCAAATTGACCTTGTAATATCAAGGTGTACCATAATGTAGCCTCTTTGTGACTAATACATACAACAATGGAACTTCTTGGTGACTGAGGTATATCACGATGGAACCTATTTGTGACTAAGGTATACCACAATGATGGTTTAACATAAAATCAATAAAATCTTATCATGTGATAATTATCAGCTGTAAGGTATCTTTAAACTGATAAACTGTAATAAAGAATTACTGTGAAAACTTACGCCTGCTCCTTATTCTTGAAATAGTAGTCTGCCAGTAAGTAGTACAGTTCCTTGGAAACAGTTCTGTAATATAAATTATTAACAATGTATTTTACTGATCTGTGCCAGTGGCAAATCAATGTATCAGAACCTTATCAGACATTTCCTATTTATGTTTATACCATCAGAACCAACACAGGTCAAACATGCCATTCTATATATCTACAATATTCCACGGAACCAACATAGGATCCTTCATTCTTGTACCTTAAACTTAAAATATTTCCATGGATGATATATCCTATTGGTATACATTTTAATCAATGGTAATTAATTATGTGATGGTGTCAAGAGGTAAACTGCTGACTTACCCTGTGTGTAATACTTCTGACAAATGTCTGGTGTTTGGGTTAGATGGTACACTGGTGCAACCCTCTATTTAACACTTACAAAAGGTTTTGGTGTCTGAGTAAGGTGGTGTGTTGGTTATACTTACGACAGATGCTTGGTGTCTGGATTAGGTGGTGTGTTGGTTATACTTACGACAGATGCTTGGTGTCTATATTATGTGGTGTGTTGGTTATACTTACGACAGATGCTTGGTATCCGGATTAGGTGGTATATTGGTGTTGCCCTCTATATAATCTTGTAAATTTTCCATCAGTTTTGCTGTAAATGAAACATTATCTTTTATTAGAATATCTCATAGTGCTATAGATAAATAATCCCATTTCCTTGGGCCAGAAACAATCTTTCCCAAAACATGTACAACAGTCACAAAATACTGTAAACTTGGCATAATTTGTCTGCAGCAATGTAGGCTCCAAATAATCTCACCTGGCTTTTCTGATTCTGGTACAAGCTGTGCAATTCTTTTCAGCAAAGATTCCACCTGTTTTGAAGTATTAATGAGTGTATTATAGAAAACATGTAATAAGTGATGACTGATTACAATTCTCAAACTGCTTGACTTCATTTTAAAAAATTAATTCAGACTGAAGACAGAGTTTACATTCATATTATAGATACAGGCCCCACTTTCATGAATCTTCCTTAATTCATAGGCAATTTTAAGTTAAGGAAGATTCATGAAATTGGGGCATGGAGGATTTTATTGATCATAAAAGAATTCGGACATCTAAGATATCACAAATGTCATCAATTCTTATAGGAAATTGAGATTTACTTCACAACCCCAACTTTCTGTATTCAATCATCGTAATGTGTGGGAGTAAAATAATCAAAACCGCTGTGTTAGGTAGACAGAGATATCTCAAACCTTGGTATTCCTGTCAACATCGCAAAGAGGTGAAAAATTCTGTCATAAAGATTATCAAAGAGCAAGGCCTGTGACATTCTTCTACACCGGAATCTTTTGTGCAACAAGTGTTTTTCAATATCAATAGGATGAAAGCGATGAACCATGTAACAGCTATAAAATATTACCTTTAATTCATTACTGTAAAAACTGTTAATTCCTTTCACTAATTCAATTCTTACGTGTGAAGAAATTTTGACTTTAGTAATAATTCCACTACAAGGTTAGAAATAACAGTACAATAATCCTGCCTTGACATCGATGGTAATAAGACTATAGAATCATAAACTATTCTGAAGATGATGAAAATTAAATGTTTTAAAATCTCACATCTGCTGACACAGCATCAGCCTTATAGCTATCAAACTCCGGCACAGAGTTTGGTTTGAAATATTCAAAGATTTTCTGAGCGCTGTCCCAGGTCAGGTCTATCTGGGCGGAGTTGTGGTCCATCAAGTGACGGGCACGCCCCTTCTTGTTCGGGTGACCAAACAGACAGTACACACATTGTTCATAAGACTGTTCTAGATCATGTTTGAATTGATAAGATCCAGTCAGGAACTCCTGAGCCACATCAAGATAGAACAACAGTAGAGATCCATTTGACTTTGTACACCAGCTATGCCTGCAATATCAAATGTTAGACTCATTATCAGTCTGGACACAATAATGATAAATAAATGGTACCAACAAAAAGCCTCTTACAGTACACAACATTCTAAGTTGTTAATGTTGGTATTCATCAAAATAAAAAAAAAATCTTTTTATGAAATCTTTCTAGACAACACATTAAGAGTCTCATGAATACCTACCTCGCCAGGTACTCATGTGCTATATTTAGCAACATCAGGTAAGAGGGCATGCCATCAAACAAGTCTGCTTGTCTAGTTTCTGGAGTGGACACTTGCATGGACCTTATTTTGTCTTCCTCACTATAACAATTGATGACACAAAGTAATTAATGTCAAATGTGTTAAATCCATATATGTCAAAGAGTAAATCTATGGACAAGAACTGATAAAAGTTAAATCTACTGACTTTTTAATCTGGATGTCTGGTAAACAATTCTACTGTTTACAAAATTTTGATGTTAAACATTTAGGTTTAGGTTTGATAACTAAATTTCAATTTATTTGTTACTCTGTTGATATCTTACAATTTGATTAGCTTGTACAGGAGTATCCATGGTAACACAGTGCCTATTGGCATTTCCACAGCACTGTCTGGAGCTGCCATTGTAATGTCAATGATACTGATCAAATTCCTTGACAGTCGCGTGAGGTTGACCTTTGGAACATCTTTCAAAACATCTTCCTTTTTATCTAGTACTCTGTAAAACAACAAGAAGAAAACATGCTTGGAAGTGGAAGTGTAATATTCTACCTTTCCTAGATTAAGCTAACTAACGATGCCCAGATTATTGTGTTACACTCTCAATCCAACATTCACTCTGCAGACTCAAAAATCCTGTGAATTGCTGACAAGAAAATATACTACAGTCACTGTAGTGTTCTTGGTAAGTTGGGCGACCTTACAACAAGTTCATCTGATGACATTCTGACAGAGTCAGGGTGACAATATTCTGGTTAAGTGGGGTCACCTTACAAATTTATCTGATGACATTTTGCCAAGGTCAAGGTGACAGTATTTTGGGTAAGTGGGGTGACCTTACAACAGGTTTATCTGATGACATTCTGGTGACAATATCTTGGGTGAGTGAGTTGACAATATCTGATTTACCTGATGAGGTTTTGACAAATCTGAGTCAAAGTTGTGCTCCAAGCATCTTTCTGCTCTGAAGTGGTAGCTTTTCTATAACACTGCACAGCTTCATTGAAAGACACTTCACCCCACACCATACCTTTCTGAAAACAAACAGAAAATCAGAATCACCATTACAGTCAGGTGAGATATCTGAAAGCAATGTCAATTTAGGAACAGATGTGAACTACAGAGAAACTTACAGTCCAACCAAGCATGGATATCAAAACAATTCATTTTAAATGAAGGACAGAGAAAAAAGCATTGTAAAGATTCGGGATCTTAAACAGTTATATCAGAAAAAAATCACTTTACCAGTAAATGGGTTTGTTAATTGTGATATATTTTACTACAGAGATCTAGCCAATTTTAGAACTACACACATGGGAAAACTCTCACTCAGATCTTTTAACCTTGAATGAAACTGAAGTAACACCAAATTTAAACAAATATCTTATGTTTCATCCTATTGGTCAATGGGAAAAACGATTTAACTGCAGGAACTATTTCTATGAATACACTAGATTGTGAATTAATTTCTCTATTCAACTAAAATGATGAGGACTTAAATCAACTTATAATTGTAAAGCAATCTTGAACAGGTAGACTAAACATGAACGAGGAACAGCAACAGTTACTCTGAACAGCTATTGTGACCCTGAACAAATGGAGTGACCCTGAACAGATGGAGTGACCCTGATCAGATGGAGTGACCCTGGACAGCTAGTATGACCCTAGATAGATGGTGTGACCCTGGACAGCTAGTGTGACCCTAGATAGATGGTGTGACCCTGAATAGCTACAGAAATCTAAACAAACCAGGAAACAATCAGACGACTAGGACATACTCACCTTGTGGGCGTCCATCTTGTATAGTGAGTCCTGGAGGAGAAGGAGTTGTGATTGTCGCTCGGGTATAGCTGCACTGAATGCCACTGTCTAGTAAAATATTTATAAGTTATTAGCCCATTACAATAGGGTCTGTGATTTTTGCAACATTTCTAAGTAAATTTCACCTGAGTTGTACTCATCCTTGACTCGGAGGTTCCTTCTTATCCATGACCTTTAACTCCCCTACCTTGCTTGACTCTCTCCCTTCTTAATTACAAAATAATGACATTAAACTCTTAAACTTGCTTGTCTATCTATTACTTTTCAAAAGTAATGCCATTTGACTCCTCACTTTGCTTGTCTCTTTCTCTATCTCTCTCCCTCTTCCCTATCAAAACAGTGGCCTTTAAACTTATGTGCTGTTTCTTTTCTTCTGCATATCAAACAATATCAATTCACCCTTAAACTTACTGCTATCATGTAATCTGTCACCTTAACTCATGTAATATGACCTCTAACCCCTCACCTTGCTTGTCTCTATCTCTCTCCCCTAACCAATCAAAACAGTGACTCCTATGTTGCTTGTTCCCTTCTTCACATCAATCAATACCAATATACTCCTAAACATACCACTATCATGTGATCTGTCACCTTATTCATCATAGCATGACCTTTGACCTCTTACCTTGCCCTTGAGTTGAGGTTGTGTAAACGTTTGGAGTATAAAGTCCACCACTTTATCATAGTTGCCGGACTCATACAGCTTCTGTGTTTCCTCGAGTGACTGACATCTATGGAGTGACTCTTGGTGACTCTTGACCTGATCTGTGTAGGCAAGGGGAAACAATAAACATTTGTTTATTATTGATTTGTTTGTTTGAGAGTAAGAAATCAAAATTTGTTCTCTGATGGTTTACCTATGGATATGGTCCTGTCCATTTTACAGTTTACAAGACATATCTTGGCAGGATCCCCCTGTTTTTCAGCATACTCCAAATACTCCAAAGTCTGAAAAATAACAATACATTTAATTTTCTCATTAAGAATCAGTAATAATTTTGAAATCTCAAAATGACTTATATGTTTGAACATAAAAAAGAGGGCGTTAAGGCATAGAGGACGTAGCTGTGTTAGGTGTCCAGTAGTATATTGACAAGATCAACATAAACTTCATATTCTTTCTAATGACATATACCTATTTTGTTGAAGTATTAAAGACTACAACTCCTATCATAAGAGGTAATCAGATGACCAGGACAGTAAAATGATTATCAATTACTTCTAGGGTAAAACCATGAATTTAGCAATTGACAACCTTTTCAGTATAATAAGTTAAGTTAACATTTAATGAAATAATAAGACATTAAAAAAAGACAATTGAATTCCATTTTGAGGAAGACTAGGTTACTAGCTCACCTTTTGAAAACAAAACAGGGCATCATCCATCTTGCCTTGCAGCATGTAAAACCTGGCTTTCATCCAGTATACTGAAATTTACGTAACTATAGCTATGAACTCATGTAACACAATACTGTATTGGTCAATTTTACATCCAATACAGTGAAATTTACATAACTGCACCTATAGACCACAATGACAAAATATTTTCGATATGATATCGAAATTAAAGTGAAATTTTCACATTTTGAGCAGAAGAATTTTTTAAAAACATGATCATATTATACAAATATATTACAACAATTAGGGCTCAACCAATTGACAACAAAGTTGTTGATGACGATGTTATTAAATTACAGTTTATAAATACCTCGTATACAATGAGGGAGCCAGTTTGAGCCCATGACCTCACCACATCCTGTCAGCCCTGTGATGAACCAAAGGTCATCATTACAGTGTGGGGGAAGGTCTGATGTATGGAGTTGTTGCGACCCTGGACTGTTGATTAAGTTTTTACATTGTCAATAAAGCATAGAGAGTTAACATTTAACTAAAGAAACTTCCACAAAAACATGACATCAAATCAGTTAATTAAATTATCATGAAGCAGGTGACAAAAAATTACAGAATTAACATCTACAGACCTGGAAAAACTAACACAAAAATGTTTTGCTATAAATCAGTCTTTTTGTAAATGTTTCTCTGTAAGAATAAGTTGTCTGTCACATTCTGGAAGCAATGTTTGACAAAATACACCAAGAAATAGGAGGGCTAGTAAAGTGAACTATATTTTACACAATAGCAGATCACAGCAGGAGCCCAAGCTAATATATATCTCACCTCCTTGGAGAGCTACCAGGCGAGAGAGCCAATCTGTTATTGACAATCCAATGGTCCAGCTGGAATTCTGCTGCTAACTGACATGTCTGTTAAAGTGTATACAATCAGAACAAAACCGAGTCTCTTTGCTCTTCGTTACATATAAGAAAGGAGATTTTCTCATTAATGTAATTTATGAATTATAAATATTAAAGATTATACTACTTGCATATCAACAATTTTGTGATCTTAAGCTCTGTGTGCATTAAATTTCTGATATGTAAAATGGGCCATAACTCTCTTTATTAAAATTTGTTCCTTAGGCTTTGCATGTTTCCACCATGTTTAGAGAGAATAACTCATGTGCCAATTGTAGATATGAATAAGTTCATTTCAGCTTTCAGCACTCTTGTCAAATATGTTATAGTTTTCATTAACAGTGGTAACTTAGTAACAGATATGTATCGAGTCTAACGTAAGGCAATGTTTACAACAAATGTTCTTACCTTCCCCAAGTTCTGTGTGTATTCCTCAGAATCACTCAAGCTAAAAAACAGATCATTTAAATTGAGAGTATTTTCACACAGCAATCAGTGTTACTATATCGTCAGCATGACTTATTCCCACGATGAAAATACAGTGGATATTAATACCTATATTTTTGAAAACTGATTTGATTAACATAGTGCTGTTATCTATAATAAAGAGAAGGAAAATCAACAGATTCTGATCAATAAAGACATCAATTTTGTATCCAGTGTAAACAAACTCATTTTATCATTAACCTAGCCTTTGTCCACAGATTTGTAACACTAATCATATAACATGTTTACATAGAAAACTGTCAGTTTTCATGTGAAATATTTTTTTTTAAATTTTGTCTCCATACCCTCTATACTCATAAGATACCTTTGTGCAAACTCACCTGAAGATGTCTGGGAGATCAAAGTGTTTCCTTGTACGACTATAAACCTTCAAATACACGTCCGTCAGTCCATGTGGCCTGGAAAAATTCAATACAGCTTACAACTGATATTATCATGGACAGACAATCTTTTGCTGAATTTCCTGTCATGTTAAACAAACTTATCAAAAACCAAATAAAAGTGCTTACCACTTGGTGTCTCCACGTTTTGCCAAGGCAAAGAGATAGCGTAGCATCAGACAAATGGTGCCTCCATTTTTTATGTTCTGTTTTAAGAATTCTCTGACGTCTGTATCTTCTGTTGAGGTTAGTTTCTTTACCTCTTGGATCAGCTCTACATCACAACCTGTCACAAAAGGAGAGCCTTCTTTTAATATAAAATAGTCCTACATAGTCTCCTGTCATAAATGGAGAACCTACATCATCTCCTGCCAGAAATGAGTCTACTTTTAATATAGAATAACTCTACATCGTTACCTGTGACAACATGAGTCTACTTTTAATATAGAATAACTCTACATCGTTACCTGTGACAACATGAGTCAACTTTTAATATCAACTTTTAAATAACTCTATATCGTTACCTGTGACAACATGAGTCAACTTTTAATATAGAATAACTCTATATCGTCACCTGTGACAACATGAGTCAACTTTTAATATAGAACAGCTCTACATCGTTACCTGTGACAACATGAGTCTACTTTTAATATAGAATAACTCGTTACCTGTGACAACATGAGTCAACTTTTAATATAGAACAGCTCTACATCGTTACCTGTGACAACATGAGTCTACTTTTAATATAGAATAACTCTACATCATCACCTGCCACAAAATGAGAGTATACTTTTAATACAGAATCAAATTATCTCATCACCTCTCACAAAACCAGAGTCTATCTACTGGGTGGTGTATACCTGTGGCCTTTTCTTCTCCACTTCGTATTGACTGTTCTTGTTCCTTCATCACCAGCATTTCTGTATCATCATCTTCATTTACTTGTCTGAAGTAACAAAGCAGATACATTACTTGTGTAATACATTTCTCTCATCAGCAGGTTGGTTTATCCTGTTTCATTAACCTAGTACCCAACAGGTCAATGTTGCCTGTTTTATTAACCTGGTTCTCACAGATGGCATTTCCTGTTTATCTACATGGTTCCCACACTTAATGTCTTATGTTTTAATTTTCTGGTTTTCAAAGGTTGAGGTCTCCTGTTTTATTTACTTGGTTTTCAACTGGTTATTGCTGAAGCATCATGTCAGACTGATAAAACCTGCTTTGACTGAACCTGAGGAACTCCTTGTGTTTTATTCTGTGCCAGTCTGTTCCTAAGACCTAACCCAACATTAACAATATATTAGAAGAACAGGGCCTAAGACTAAATACAAACAATGATAAATGCCAACCCCTTACATTTGCTGAACATTGATGAATATCATTGAAAACTGATGTTAAACTTGTGCACCAACCAACTGATCAGCATCTCCTGTTTTACTTAACGATTCCCATCATGTTTTACTCCCCTGGTTCCCCAATCAGATGGTGCTACTTACTTGAGACTGGATGGCAGGAACGAGATAAGGAGCTCTTCAAAGTTTACACTTGGTTCTTCTTTTGGTTTGCTCACATTCCTCACCTACAGAAAGTGATGGAAATAAGGAACTAGAATTATTTATGTACATAGAAACTACTCCCTGCTCAAACAAGAAAAAATTCAGAAGGGCACAAATCCTTATAAGATATCAGATTATCAGTAAATATTGGTCATGATACAAAGACATGCTTAGAAGAACTGTTCTGTTATTTTCTCAAAATTTTTTGAAACAAAGAAACCCAGTGGTAAGATATGGAGCTATAACACATTATCCCTGTTAATAATTTAGGGATACTGTACTTACCCTGGCACTTCTACGTTTAACGCTGAGTCCAAAGTCTTCTGGTATGAACCCTCTCTTCCTTTTAGGTGCCTTGCCACGCCCTTTAGCCAGTTCCTCTGACTCTATAGATGCTGCACATGTGTGGTCATGGAGGGCTGGGGAGATAAATACTGAACAATAAATACTGTTTACTATCATAATACTGTAAAATTATATATTATTGTGGGGCTTGATTTTTGTGGTTTTTAAAAAAAAAAACACTTTTCCACAGACATTTGATTCCATGGAATAATATCATAGCTCAATAAATCTACATATACTAATTCAACACTTCACAGACATATGAATATGTGGATAAAGAATATCCACAAAATTGACGAAAATAAATCACCCTGAAAATTAACAATTCCACAGTACAATGATAAGTACTTACATGAGACAGGTAAAACTAGAAGAGGTCTTTCATATCACTCATTATTTGGACTACCCACAGTACCTAACTCATTTGACAGTCCAATTTTGCATTATACTTTACAACAAGTCACTTTTGAACACCTTTGTAAGACACTTGCATATTGTAATTATCTTCCTCAATCAATGAGACTCTTATAGTCTGTGAGTGTAAATAAAAAATTGAAGCTGAACAACACTAAAATATTGGACATGGCAAAGCATAGTCTTAATTATTCTGATTTTTTCTTTATATCAGTCTATCAAACATAAATAGCAAAAAGGAAAGAGCTCCAGAGCTGTAAAATGTAAAGGAAATAAGCAGCTGGAGCACCTGGGTTGGCATTCAAATGTATGAATACTACGAAAATAGAAGGTCATTTTCATACACATATCAACAAGAGGCCCATGGGCCTTAACGGTCATCTGACATTAAATACAAGATTTCAAATTTTGAACTTGAGAAGAACTCAAAAATGTGTTTTGAAGATGGCAGCCATGTTGGATTTCGGACCAACCCGAAATTAACAAACTTTGGTCAGGATCATGTCACGATCATTTCAGGTAAGTTTCAGGTCAATGAGACATGTAGAACTTGAGAAGAAGTTGAAAATGTTTATGACGGACGACGCCGAACAGGCAATCGCAAAAGGTCATCTGACCCTTTGGTCATCTGACCAAAAAAAACTTGATTATAAAACTGTATTGGAGGATGGAATGGTATAGTTATGAATACTTTGATGTGTGATTTCTAGAACACAATGCTATCTGAGGTCATAGGTGACCTCCAGTTAATGTTTTATTAAAATTCCTTGAACAATAGTGTAACTAGGGTGAAGACAATGACTATATCCCCATCCAAAGCAAAGATAAAAAAGATGGGGTGGTAAGGAATTGAAGTGTAATATGATTAAAAAAATTCAGCTTGTTAACTCATCTTTAGGCATAACTGAAAAAAAAAAAGTAAAGCAGACATTTCATAAAATTTCTAAGTTCAAAGTGCCATAAATCTCTTTCAAAAGGGCAATAAGGACCTGTAACTTTAACTTGATGTGTAGCTTTTAACAAAGCTTTATACATTTTAGCTCATTGTCTTTAGGAATGATATAAAAAAAAAAAATGACCTGGAGAAACCTATAGTTCCCTCAACTCCAATGGTTACACTTCATAACAGCTACCCACCTGATATAGGAGATGTATGTTGCATCCCAGACACTGGTGTGAACAATGGAGATGAAGTTGTTAATAGTCCTGATGAAGGGGTTGTGAACGTCAACCCTGTTACTGGGGTGTGTACCGACATATATGTGGAGACAGGTGTGGCGACTGGTGTTGTCTGTAGGATGTCTGAAACAGGTAATGTATAGGGCATTTCAGACACCGAAATTGGTTGCAATATATCTGATGCTGATACAGTCACTGGAATGTCAGGTGAGCTTTCTGAAGTTTCAGAAACTGTCATTGATTGTGGTATCCCTGACGAAGATGTTGTTACTGGTACTCCAGAAAATAATGTTGTCTGTGGTATTCCAGAAACCGTTGTTGTAACTGGTGTCCCTGGCGACAGCATCAGTGAATTTCCTGAAACAGTTGTTGTAGTCAGTGAATTTCCTGAAACAGTTGTTGTAGTCAAGATCCCTAACGAAATATGTGTACTTTCAGAAACAGGTGTCATGGCAGGAATCTTTATTGATACTGCTGTTGAAAGTCCTGAAGCTGGTGTAGAAGATGGGGTCCCAGACATAGTTGTAAATGGAATTCCTGAAGTAGATGGGGTCCCAGGTATTGTTGTTAGTGGAATTCCAGAAATAAGTACAGCAGATGGGGCCCCAGACATTGTAGTAAGCGGAGTTCCAGATATATGTGCAGAAGATGGGATCCCAGATGTTGCTGTGAGTGGAATTCCTGAAGTAGGTCCAGAAGATGGGGTTCCAGTCATTGTTGTTAGTGGAATTCCAGAAACAAGTACAGAAGATGGGATCCCAGATGTTGTTAGTGGAATTCCTGAAGTAGGTGTAGAATATGGGATCTCAGACATTACTGTTAGTGGAATCCCTGAAATTGGTCTAGACGATGGGATCTCAGGCACCGTTGAGAGTGGAATCTCTGAAATTGGTCTAGACGATGGGATCTCAGGCACCATTGAGAGTGGAATCCCTGAAATTGGTCTAGACGATAGAATCTCAGACATTGTTGAGAGTGGAATCCCTGAAATTGGTCTAGACGATTGGATCTCAGACATTGTTGAGAGTGGAATCCCTGAAACTGTTGTTGTATGAGGTATCATCTTTAATATTCCTGAAGCAGTTGTCATCTGTGATGTTTCTGTTCTAGATATTGTTGAAACAAATGTTGTTGGCAACATTCCAGCCACAGATGCTATTTGTTGCATCTTTGAAACAGAGCTTATCTGTGCCATCTCTATATCAGTGTCTCTATCTGGCAGTTCAGATAAAAGTGACACTGGCAGTCCTGATGTGTGCATTGGTTCAGAAGCATCAGACATCTGTTCCAATGTTGACCTCTCACTTGACATTTTTGGTGAAGTGTTCATCAGTGGCAGGGTTAAAAGGTTTTCTTGTGGCTCAGAAACAGTTGACTCCTGCAGGTCAGAGACAGAACCTGTTAATGGTTTATTCTCCTTATTTGTTAAAATAGAAAGTGCCTCTTCACTGGTTGATATCTGAAGCTCTGGGACAATTGCAAGTGGCTGCACAATACTGGCTGACACCTGCAGAGCCACAGATGTAGTTGTGAATGGCAGTCCAGTATCAGCTGTTTTCTGTGAAATCTCAACATCAGCTGTGGCTAGAGGTGAATCTGTTTCACCTATGATGCTTGCCTGACTGACAGTAGGTGTTGAAAGTGGAGAAGATGGCATTTTCCTAAATGAAGCAGATGGCATAAAAGAAGAAGCAGTTCTTTCATTTTGAATATCAGCACTACCAATATCCATAGCAACATGATCATTGTCTGTTTGAGATTCCAAAGGACCAGCTGGCTCCTCAGAGATCATTGGAATATCTCGGACTTCAAATGAATTAGTTTCACCCATTTCTGTGTCATCTTTGGTTTTTTTTTCTGAGGTAACTACAGGAACAGAGTCAACTTCCATTTCCCCTGAATGTTCTGGGGACTCCTCTATAGCAGGTGATTTCCCCTGTACAACAGGAGGTCTCTCTGTACAGTTGCTATACTCTGACAAGTCAACACGAAGTCCCAGGCTCTGTAAACAATCATGTATCACGGTAAGTCAGTGCGATTTCAACATTATTTAATGTTAGCTGTTCTAGATTTTCTCGCTTGTATAACATATAATGAACTGGAACTGAAAATGAAATTTTCAAGTACATAATGAAGAATAGTTCTTAATAACCATTAATCCAAACAAACCCTTTTAAGAAATCTTTTATTCAAATCCATTCCATTTTACTGACTGAATCAGAAATATTTTTGAGTCCAATTCAACAGTAAACATTTTTACTTAACATATCTTCATGTACCTTGCTATCAACACAATGGCTATAAAACCTGATGACTGAAAAGTCAGTACTTACCAAGGGCGGATCTGCATTCCTAGCTCTATCATACAGCTCCACAAGACTTTCTCCTAAGTTCCTCCACCTAAAAATATTAAATAAATCATTGATCTTTCACTTTACACAAATGGTAAACTGAGTAAAATGTTAATAAAGATTTTGCCTACAAAAACCACAAGTGGCCAAACAGGCTACAGCTGCAGTATCTGTAGCATTGTCTACAATAATACAAATTTTCTGTTAATTTACTTTGTGTGATAAAATATCCCACTTTTAATTCTATGTTGTCCGCAGTTTTCATTATCATTAAATTATCATCAACATTAATTTCTCATCAAAATAATGTTGTTGAAATAGAAATAAATGTGTTATTACGGGTAACCTTTAGATATATGGTCTGTTAAAACATAGACACCAAACGTACGTGAAATGCGTGATGGTTTTTGAGAGTTTGATGGGGAGGGGCTCTGGTTCCTTTGCCAGTTCTCGTCGTCTGTCTCTCAAATCTAGGGCCTCATTCACATACTATTGATGAAAACAATGAACATGTCCTTAGTGCCTCATTGTTGTATCAGTCAATCTATATGATTTCTATAAAAACTTAAGCTCTAAAGAACTTAGATAATAGAAGAACAATAAATGAAAATCATAAAATATTCCCACAAGCTTATTTTTTTAAACTTAGTGCTTAATCTTCACAAGGAATATTACATATTTTTTCTCTGCTTTTTCTGTTGATTATTTCACTGGAAGGTTGTAACTCTCTTACCTCGTCTGATTCTGATGGGTCCACTCTAGCGAGAAGAACAGCCTGATCACTGTACAACATAAACCATACAGTCAATACAAGAAGGAATTAAAATCCTGTACATGTTTACGCCTTACTGCTTATCAAATCTCTTCAGTACATTACTACTAGGATATCCAGGAATAATTTTTATAACTGGGATATCCAGGAAATGTTTTTACTACTGGGATATCCAGGAAATGTTTTTACTACTGGGATATCCAGGAAATGTTTTTACTACTGGGATATCCAGGAAATCGGTTGACAGCATTTTCAAACATGCGGACCATCTGACCAGGGACAGGCATATGCAAGGCAGATATTGTACAAGTATCACTTTTTTATCACTTTGATGAAATATTTTTACTCTATAATGACTTTTTGCTGTATTCAGTTGGATATAAGCAGTGTTTGTGCCCAAAGTGAAAAGAATGGTTAAAGTAAAGTACAGAATGTAATTGATTCAATCATATATCAGTCAACTTGGTTCACTTCTATAAACCAAACCCTCCCTAAACCCCCTCCCCCACCCCCTCACCCCAATATGTATGTTCTATGCATGGTCCAACTGGAGAAATTCCACTGCACCCAAGAGATGTATTACTAACAAAAGTAGAATATTCCAGATGATAAAATAAAACACATGGTTCAATAGAAGAGGCGACATCTTACCACTGCTCAAACATTTCATCTGTATCATATTTCAGAGATGGGTGCTCCTTGAGAATTTGTTTCCTGAGTACCAGGCCCTTGGTGTACTCGGGATCCTTCAGCAAGGCTCGTGATATATAGTACAGACAATCTATAAAAAAAATTTTCAAAAGTTGTCTTTATATTGAAAAAAAATTCAGATATTTAAGACCAGTTAAAAACAATCTGATTTACATCCAATAAAAAGCACTGATCATTATTCTTTATAATTTTTTTTTTTGTTTTCTTCCCCACAAACTTTTTAATACAATTATCTTTATCATTAAAAAAACTGCTACTGGTACTATATACATGTATATATTGTCTATATATTGTCTCAGATAACTTCCAATTTGTTTCTTCTCAGGAGTATTCCAGGTAAGGCAATCTTCATGATAATCTTAATTAGGTTAAAAATCATTATTTTAATTCAAAAATATTGTATTGGAATAAAACAATATATCATCCACAAAATTGAAATTTTACAGAAGTCTATGATCTATACATGTAGACTTGTCAAAGTGTGGTGACATGTACTTACTCCAGTAATCGTTCATGGCATATAGCAGTGTGATAACATGGTCAAGACAAGGCCAGTGGTTTGGATTACAATGCAGTCCCTAATAATTACAAAAATGTCCATAATGTTAAGAAAGTCATTATGTATATGGTTATTTCATTTTACACTATTTATGTAGAAACATATTTTCTAAAAGTGAAAGTATTACCTAGTCCACACAACACACATCTGATTGTAATCTGCATAGTTGCATTGATCAAGTCACATATGCATTATGATCTACCATTATACAAAATGGATCTGTGACCTTGACCTAGATTATCCTTACTTTACTCTTATCTGATAATGCAGTAACTACCACAGTGATTTATCTTACCTTTTCAAAACCAAGTCTGGCAAGTGGGAAGTTGTACAACTTGAGAGCGATGGTTCCTATCTTGTACCAAACAGTCACTTCTGTTGTATCAATCTTCACTGCCTAAAACACAAAATCTTGTGCATAGAAAATCTGCTCAAACAAGAGGGCCTTAATGGTCATCTGAGTCATACGAATGCATCTTGTTAAATGTCATAGAAATTATTTGGTTAAAAAAGTGACCTAAAAACAATGAGTTCTAATGAAATACAACAATTGTGAAACCTTGACTTTAAATCCACATTTCTGGAAAATACATTTGTCTAGCATTTTAAAACTTAAGGTATGTGTAAGTCAAGAGAATAAGACTACACAATACATTCATTTCTACATACTACCAAACAATACACTCACCTCTATATACCACCAAACACTCACCTCTACATATGACCAGACAATACACTCACCTCTATATACCACCAAACACTCACCTCTATATACCACCAGCCAATACACTCACCTCTATATACCACCAAACACTCACCTCTATATACCACCATACACTCACCTCTATATACCACCAAACACTCACCTCTACATATGACCAGACAATACACTCACCTCTATATACCACCAAACACTCACCTCTATATACCACCAAACACTCACCTCTATATACCACCAAACACTCACCTCTATATACCACCAAACACTCACCTCTATATACCACCAAACACTCACCTCTATATACCACCAGCCAATACACTCACCTCTATATACCACCAATACACTCACCTCTATATACCACCAAACACTCACCTCTATATACCACCAGCCAATACACTCACCTCTATATACACTCACCTCTATATACCACCAAACACTCACCTCTATATACCACCAAACACTCACCTCTATATACCACCAAACACTCACCTCTATATACCACCAAACACTCACCTCTATGTACCACCAGCCAATACACTCACCTCTATACACCACCATACACTCACCTCTATATACCACCAAACACTCACCTCTACATACCACCAAACACTCACCTCTATATACCACCAAACACACACCTCTATATACCACCAAACACTCACCTCTATATACCACAATACACTCACTATATACCACCAATACACTCACCTCTATATACCACCAAACACTCACCTCTATATACCACCAAACACTCACCTCTATATACCACCAAACACTCACCTCTATATACCACCAAACACTCACCTCTATATACCACCAAACACTCACCTCTATATACCACCAGCCAATACACTCACCTCTATATACCACCATACACTCACCTCTATATACCACCAAACACTCACCTCTACATATGACCAGACAATACACTCACCTCTATATACCACCAAACACTCACCTCTATATACCACCATACACTCACCTCTATATACCACCAAACACCACCCTAATACCACCACACTCACCTCTATATACCATATATACAAACACTCACCTCACCTATATACCACCAATACACTCACCTCTATATACCACCACCAAACACTCACCTCTATATATATACACTCACCTCTATATACTCACCTCTATATACACTCACCTCTATATACCACCAAACACTCACCTCTATATACCACCAGCCAATACACTCACCTCTATATACCACCAAACATTCACCTCTATATACCACCATACACTCACCTCTATATACCACCAAACACTCACCTCTATATACCACCAAACACTCACCTCTATATATACATCACCTCCACCAAACATCACCTCTATATACCACCAATACACTCACCTCACTCACCTCTATATACCATACACTCACCTCTATATACCACCAGCCAATACACTCACCTCTATATACCACCAAACACTCACCTCTATATACCACCAACCAATACACTCACCTCTATATACCACCATACACTCACCTCTATATACCACCAAACACTCACCTCTATATACCACCAGCCAATACACTCACCTCCACCTCATATAACACTCACCTCTATATATACATACCTATATACCACCAACACTCACCTCTATATACCACCAAACACTCACCTCTATATACCACCAAACACTCACCTCTATATACCACCAGCCAATACACTCACCTCTATATACCACCATACACTCACCTCTATATACCACCAGCCAATACACTCACCTCTATATACCACCATACACTCACCTCTATATACCACCAAACACTCACCTCTATATACCACCAAACACTCACCTCTATATACCACCAAACACTCACCTCTATATACCACCAAACATTCACCTCTATGTACCACCAAACACTCACCTCTATATACCACCAAACACTCACCTCTATATACCACCAGCCAATACACTCACCTCTATATACCACCAAACACTCACCTCTATATACCACCAAACACTCACCTCTATATACCACCAAACACTCACCTCTATATACCACCAGCCAATAAACTCACCTCTATATACCATCAAACACTCACCTCTACATATGACCAAATAGCTGACTGTAGGTCCTCTCTATGCAGTGCCATACTGGCCAGGTTTTTGTGTATTGAGTACAGAAGTCGAAGCCCATCCTGATCAGCACCTTCTTCCTCATCCTCAACCAGTTGTGCTGTCTGTAACCAAAAATAAGTAATGAACTTTAAACTACAGAAAACTCCTATTAAACATCTACCTTTCCCGTATAGTCAAATATACATAGCATTACAATGTCTAATTCATTATACCCAATGGTGATTGGAAAATCAATGGGAAAGTATTATCAATATTCATATTACAGAAAAGTATACAACACTTATAGACAGTACTCATAAAGATTCACTTACCTCTCTAAGGAAGCCATGATTAAGCAGATCCTTGAAGGCAGTCTCTGCCAAAGACACCTCGCCCTGTCTCTGTAGCCTCAGTGCTGCGTCATACAGAGTGAATGCCTCTGACTCCTAGTAGGTAACAGTTATAACTTATCAATAAACAAATTATAAATATAAATAATTATAACAATTAACAGTGTAAAGATTTGTGTTATTTGCCATTAACTAAATTTTAGTTTTAACTATTTCTATGGCAATGAACAACATGTGGTATGGTTAAAATTTACCATATTCATGTTAGACACTTTTAAAGCTTTAAACACCTGTTATCTCACCTTTGTTAAAACTGGTAAGTATCTTTTATGTGATCTTGAAAACAAAAGTCAAGAACCTGTATTGCTCACCTGTTCTGGAGCTCACTTGCCTTTCCAGCAAGTCATGAGCGATAAAATGTTCTATGCTTGTATGCCAAACAGTGTATCAAATTCTCATATATAAAGATCTGTTGTATTTAACTCTTTGCATCATGCATATTTTTCCCTACGGTATTATACGGTAATGCAGTTACTATATAGATATCGCATTTATACCTTTGCCTCCTTTGTTCTTCTTGCAGGAGTTTTTGGGGCTCGACTATCATCTTCACTGCTTGAATCGTTCAGAGCCGCAATCCGAATCTAAGTCAGAAACAAAAAACTTAATACATTCAACGATTCCTATTTTCACTGAAGTAAATTGCAGGTATTGAATCTACTCTAACAATGTTAAAAGTTTATATGGTAAGACACTTTTTTCAGAATATGCCATAATAATGCAACCAAGGACCTCCACTGGTTTACAAGTCTTCAGGTCAACTGTCTTTAGACGATGATCTATATATATATAGATACTGGCTGTAGATAGATTCAGAAACCTTTTGCACAAGTCTATATACATCAAATGCCTAATTAATGAATGCTGATTAGTATATATGTTGTAAGTACTAATACTCTGCTGGGGTGTAATACATTAAGAGGAGATGGGGTAAAAGTATATTAAGCTCGATGCTGTATCTGAATGATGCATCAGAACTCCTTGTCCTCTCAATGTGGAGAATATAAGTCCTCTGAATTTGACAAAATGGTGTGTAAGTAAGTCATAAATTGGATTTTTTTTAATAATAATTGGATAAAATTAAGGCATTTTTTCATTTTCTATTTACAACATGGTCAGATGTTACTGATGATATACTCCCCATAACCCCAGATGTCATAGCTTCTCAACCAATCTGGTTAAAAAATTTTATGAACATTTATGAAATGGTTGTGATGTATACACACTTGTGTGTGGAAAACATAGCAAAATTGATGTACTTTTATATGCTACTCATATGAATTCAAATATTGTATTTTAATTCTGTGTTAGAACTGCCTACAACAGCCTTCAGTTAAAACTGTAAAATATTGATCAAGATGTGAATAAACAAAAAAAAATACATTTGCAAACAAAAAAAATATTGAAAATATGTTGTCTAATTTTCATACAAGAAAAGTGTGACCTGGCCTCACTTGCATGTTTACATTTGTCTTATATCCTTGGTGCAATAATATCAGTCCCCTTAAGAATCATGTCTTGCTAAATATGCTACATCATTGAATTACAACCTAACAAATACATAGATAAATTGAACTGTGTTCATACTATAAGATTTATTCAAAAACCTGATCGATGACACGCTAGACGGTTTCTTAAAAAGATATCAACTAATACGACCCAAAACTTGCTTACCTAAAATGGCCGACATGTGTATCGAAAATGAGACTGCACTTCTGTTACTAGTCAATGAATTACAGTCATGCTTTACTTTTATTTTTATGTCAGTCTAAAACTCACTAGATAAGTCATCAAAATCACAACTTTCTACAATAAAAGATGTGCATGTTTTACCAAAATGGGGGAAAATGCTGGGTGGTGTAACTTTTGTTCTTGGTCGATTGTTATTCAATTGACAATGACAGCTAAACACTGGCATCCGATGGCGAATTGATGAGTTATTTCATCAATAATAGTCGGAACCTTTCGAACTACATTTCAGGGAGTGTGACATGTTACAGAAACCAAAATCATCGGATGGCGAGACGATATACATGATTTGGTCAGCTGTAAAATGTGAGCATGTCATTTTGTGTGTTTATTTCTTAACGCATTTTATGACTTATTGGTAAACCTATGTGTCTGGATTCTATATGGAAATCCATTGGAGTTCCAGACAATCTGACTATCGGTTCAAATCCAACATGCACATTAACTCTCAAGACTCCAGTCAAGACTCAAGTTATAGACCATTTGCTTGATTCAATGATTGCAAAAAACTTACCATTTTCTGTCTTAAAATGATTCATATGACTTCTCTACGATGACAGATATTACGGTATGCACGATCCACATGAACATAAAAGATGTCAGCGACCTTGTCCAGATTCCAGAATATACGAAGGACTAAGCCTACAGAAAAGAAAGAGTCGTAGTCTGTTCATTTCAACAACTGGCGCCATATTATTATCATATAGTTTCGCACTTTTTCATATTTCGGTTAAAACATAAGATCTGCTTTTAATTCAATTCCATTAAATGAGTTAGATACGATGGAAATAGATTCTATATAGCATTTAAGTATTTCTTATGCTATTGTTTCCTTAATTCATCAACTAAATGTTTTCGTATTTTCTTGCGAAGGGAGATAACTGGTGTCAATCCCATTCAAGAGGCACACCACCAAATTATTCCTTCACTTAAAAAAATGATATAAAAGAATCAGTTACGTTAACAACAGACGAAAAAAGCTAGAATTAACGCAGATATCCTCGTTTTATGCCTAATAGGACATTTACAGGCTTAATTATTCAAATATTAGACTATAGGATGTAAAATGTATTTTTCACAAGGACCTAGGATAAATGAATATTTATTGATTACTGTACAGTATATATCACCATTAATTTATTGATTTCTCAATGTCTATATATAAATGTGTGTGTGTGTGTGTGTCCCCGAACTGAATGAAGCAATTGAATTACAACTTTATGAAAAAAAAAAGGGGGAAAATGTCAATTCAACAAAAAAAAAAAAAATATAGGACAATATTAGAAATGAGTAAAATCCATTGGAATTTTCCAGCATTGTACAAATTTATGGTATTTAAATTATCTTCATAATAATGATATATTTATGACCAAAAATGACAGAGTTTAAATGATAGTTCCATGTAAAATATATATGATATGTTGGATAAATAAATTTTCTGAACCCAGAGATTGATTAATATATATATATATATATATATATAAAATGTCTATCCATCCGTCATATCAAATTAAATAAAGTTGCAATCTGAAGATGAATTCTACATCAAACTTCTAACTGATGAACATTTTCATTTTTAGAGAATATACCCATATATGATTCTGTAATCATAATTTTTATTAAGAGCACAATATCTGATTTTTTCGATAAGAAAACGATATGAAATTTGAGTTGGCACAAAACTGATATACATGAATAAAAGTAAAAAACCTTAAAATCAATGATACATATTCAAAGGAATCCTGTCAACAGGAAACTATCCATCAACAGAAATCAAAAGTTTGTATGATAATAAGGAATGGATCTAGATCTCTACATTGGTAGTATATATAACTTTGCCTGAGTTGTAAGTTAAATCATATAATGTTAAATTATACTTAAAGACAGTAACATTTTTAATGAATTTCATTATTTGTTTCTTGGATTACTTCTGTAAAAGATTTCATTGATTGTTGGCATAAATGTACAGTTACTACAATGTCTGAAATATGATGAAATCAAGTTCACCATGTTTCAGCGCATATCTTTGGTTCTCTAAAGTTGAAATGTCATCACTTTTCTGGCAGCAATAACATTTCACTTCACAGTTCTGTATTTTGATTTGTTGCTCAAAAAAATCAAACATTTAACCAAACTTAGTATGTAGAGTCGAACTTCATTAACTTGAATAAAGAAAACTTTAATATCCCGCCTATCTAGGAGAAATTTGTCAGCCACAACAAAATTTCTTTCAATATCTTCATAATAAAGATTCAGATTTGGAAAACTCTAAACATTTCAGGTAATTTGAAGTAAAAAAACCCACTGCTTTAGAGTACCTCTTGACATGAACTTTTGAATTTTAACCACAAACACCGTATTGAAAAAATTGATTTCTGACGAAGTGTTATGACATAAGTCTTTCGTTGTCTCAGTGCATTGTTATCACCATGTTTCATTATGCAACTTAATATATAATGCTCTGTTATCACTTCAATTTAGAAAAGGAAAATCTGACTATGGTCATAATGTAATTAGATCTTATAGTGAACACCTCAAAACACCTGTCATTTACAGAATGTCTTCCAATTTCATGGTCAAGGTACTCAAAAAGAGGTGCTTATAAACTGGACTTGTACTGGATTTTCAAAGTTATGAATTTAATGCAGTTCCTTATACATACAAGTGCTCTTAAACCTGAAATGTAGTTACATTGTAATTCATAGTGTGGATGTCTAAGCCCAAACCCTCTAAACAGATTTCATTGATTTTATTCATTTGTGTATTTTTTGTTAATTCTTTATTTTAGAAAAAACAATAAAATCTTAATGGCATGGTGAATTCATTTCAGACTTAGCGGTTTGAAATAATGTTGAAACAAGTATATCATAACTAAGAAAGAGTATTAATATTATCTTAATGGGAAAAAATGTTGTTTTGACCTATGAGGATATTTTTGAAAAAAATGCATTTGAGTTTAAATGATGCATTAATACGTAAGCATGACATCAAAATATCAAAGGTGCTAGGTTGCATGCTGTTAATTAAAATTTGATTTAAAGTTTTGGTGACTTTTTGTGATAAAAAAGACTTGAATTTAGTGTATCTTGCACTGTCATCATGATGACAAGGCAATTTTTAATGACGTCATATAGTTCAATTGATGATGGTTATGGATGCTCATTATAGGCCATTTAAGTGATCAATAAGGCACAATAGAGTTATTCCCCTTAGGTCCCTTGTTGAAAAAAAAAAATCATTTTCACATATAGGTGTCCTACTGGTTGTCTATTACTGTAATTATTAGACCTAATGGTTACATTAGGCACAAAATGAGAGTGTTTGAGTGAATTCTTGGTGTATTTAAGTAAAAAGTCAAGCCCATGACTTCCATAACTGTTTACTTTTGTCAGAGACGTATATATCATGTTATATATGTCTCTGCTTTTATATATAAATTTTCTTCGTTCTCTTTGTTGATTTCCACTTGCCTTTTCTTTTTAGTGTATTTTGGCTTTATTTTAGATACTGGAGTAGCAGACCATGTCTTCAATGATACTTGACTTCTCTTGGTTGTTGCATTATCAATGTTTTTTAACTTTGCTGTAAATCTGTTTTCATGTAATAAATGAAAACTTCCTTGCTACGATGTTTATTCAACTCAACAAGTCACATGTCACAGGTACATCTGATTTAAGTAAACCGGTAAATGGTAACCCATTATCCTGGATCAGTTCATAAAACAAAATGAAACATTACCATAATGATATAATTTTCAATTTGATAATCAATGTTGGACCATGCCACTAATAATTTTAACAGATTATCAAGCTCAACTGAATTTCACAGGTTAATGTTTGATCAACAAGACTCATATTAAACCGAAAGAAAGTAGCCATTATGTTTGTGCAAGCCCCATCTCCTACACTACAAACACTGGTACTTAATGCTTGGTGGATGGGTTCATGTTTGTGAGACAGTGTGTTGGCAGGGGACTGTAATTGTCTTGATTCTATATCATGTCATGTCACCACAACAAACATAATATAGTTTTGATAGAAGTTAGGTGGCATTTAAGTCCTTGGGCCTCTCATCATCAACGTACGATTATGTTCGGTCATCAATGGTCTTCACCAATTACCAGGTTCCATTGAATTTAGTAGGTGAATGTTGCATTATCAATAAAACTGATATACTATCAGGTTTCATTGCACCTGATAAGTTAATTTTGGGTCACCTATAATCTTGAAATACTACCCAGCTTTACTGAATTTACTAGGTAAATTTGGGTCACCAAAGATCTTGAAATACTACCCAGCTCCACTTAATTTACAAGGTAAATGTTAGGTCACCAAAGATCTTGACAGACAACCCAGCTCCACTGGATTTGATAGGATAATGTTTGGTCACCAAAGATCTTGAAAGACTACCCAGCTCCACTGAATTTACTAGGTAAATTTGGGTCATCAAAATTCTTGACAGACTACCCAGCTCCACTGGATTTGATAGGATGATGTTTGGTCACCAAAGATCTTGAAAGACTACCCAGCTCCACCAAATTTACTAGGTAAATTTGAGTCATCAAAGATCTTGACAGACTACCCTGCTCCACTGAATTTATAAGGTAAATCTGGGTCATCAATAACGTTGAAAGACTACCAGGCTCCATTAAATCTGAAAAATCAGTCTTGGGTCACAGTCCACCAGCTCAAAAAAAATGCAACAAAAAATCAATGTATTTTTTATCAAATATATAATTTAATTTTAACAAATGTATTAACATACAATTTCATTGCATGCAAAATGAACATAAGTTGAATTAAAAACTTTGTAAACTTAGTGAAACAATTTAACTATTAACGTCATACAATAGCTGACAGTGCATTCAAAACTAATATGATTTTATGTATTATCACCAATTAGGACACTAATATGACATGTCACCAGTCTGGTGATAGGATGGAGATCATGAATGTCTTTGAAGCAGTGTAAACAGAAGATATTGATACAAAAAAAAAATATTGACATCTTTTTGCAAATAAATTATATGTATGATATATACATAAGAGTATGTAGCTACAAAACTTGTTATTATACTCCTCAATCAAGAAATATAAAGGTAAAACAGAGATTTCTATACAATTTCAAAGCCTCATGATGATTTTTGCACTTCCTGGTTTTTATTTGAGTTTTCATGTAGAATTGTTAATTTCATTATAAGATAAGGGTAATCTAATAGTTAAGATATATATGTAAATGTACTACTTACTATACTATAAAGTTCTGTGCACCCTACATATTATAGTCTAACTCTACCAATTACCTGAGAAATTAAACCACCCCAGAATAAATTCATAATACAAGTAGAAACACTTTATATACTCTTACTGGAACTGGATCGAGAGGGTGAAATGCATGACAAAATCTACAGGAATTGTTTCTTTCTTATGATTTTCGAAAAGTTGGAAATGAAATAAAGTAAAATGTAAATGCTTCGACAAAAGCAAACATATAATTCAAAATCATGACTGCACATGTTTACATTACAGGTACAATTTTGCTGAGAGTTGAACATGTTTGTTACTTTCCTAAGTATCAATCTGACAAGGTGGTTGTTCAGAAACAGTCACAGATTTTATACATGTATTACAATCCTTAGTTCTCCACTTGGGGTAGTTCAATATCTATTAACATACTACAGGAAATAACCATTAAATACAATAAAAATAAATTTGATAGATAAGACATCAAAATGCTAGTGATCATCAAATGCTAGCTAAATTTACTTGAATAAAAAGGTGTCAGCTACACAGATTTTCTTACTGCTAGTGTATAGGCTAGCCTAAATTGATAAGGTGAGAGTACGTCTCTACTGACTTTGTATTATGTTGTTGCTGAACTGGAAAATGTAATGCTCCTGAACTCTTGTTCTTCTGTTTAAATTTTTAAAAATGATCTTGAATATTAAGTGTTTTTAATGCACTGTGTAGGATTGTGTTAAAAAAAGAGAAACTTTCAAATACTATATTAAGGCCACATATCCGTCTTATAGCAATAATATAAATAGAAGATCTATTTGACTGTTCATACTTTGGTATGTTGACATTTCTGAAGCTATGACTTTTTGTAGCTCAGCCAATCAAGAGGCTAGAGTGATCATAATGCATTTATCTGCATGTTCTACAAGCCAAATGCCAAATTAAATAAAAAGAACATGGACTGTGGATCTAATATATTACAGACAGAATGTAGTACAGCATGCTTTCTGGTTTACATGGACTAACTGATTAGGATCAAGGTCATCTTCTATTGTCCAGGTATATCACCATCAGAATATGGACATCTATGACAATGACCTTGAATAAACGTGAAGGCAATATTAGTCTTTATACAACGTAATCATGTCCAGAAAACAGCCAATGCAGTGCCATTGCATTAGCTATCAGGCACTTTTTGCCACCGAGCTAAAAACTGTAACTTGAGTCAGTCTGAAACATGACCTTAATCAAAATTATTAGATAAGTTTATCTGTACCATTTTTAATAGACTTGAAGAAACTACCAAAATAAATGACCATACAATTTTGAAAAGATAGTTTTTCAGTGTCCAGGTGATTTAACTGTTACTGACGGGGGTGTCATGTCCACAAGTCCATGGAACCGAAAACACACTTTAAAGAACATTTTAGTCATTTTATCTGGACAAATAAGAAATGTTTTAATAACATGATATCACATCACCATGGTTACAATAACAGGATCTTACATAACCAGGGTTACCATAACATGATCTTACAAAACCATTTCCTATGACATGATCTTACATAACCATGGTTACTATAACACAATTTTACATAACCAGGGTTACTATAACATGATCTAACATTACCATGGTAACTGTAACATGATCTTATATCACCATCATTACTATGACATGGTGTCACATTACCATAGTAACTACGACATAACCTTTCATAACCACGGTGACTTTAACATGAATTACATCATCATAATATCTATATCTTACTCTTGCATCACCATGGTAAATATAACTGGATCTTACAAAATCAGGGTAATTATAACATCATATCACCATGGTAACTTTAACATATCACGTCATCACCACAGTTACTATGACTAAGTTCTCATATCTCTATAATAGCAATGACACGTTCCTAACACTTCAATGGTAGGTTCAACTGAGCTACATATCACTGTATTGCCACTCCAACATCAAAATAGTATATCATTATCAATAAGTTCATTACTGTTGTCATTGAAAGGACATGGTAACATGTTGGACGTCGGAAACATTGATGCCTTCTGCAGTAGACTGGACAACCTCCTGGCCAAGAATAGCACTACCATCCAGTGTGTCCTGACCCTCCAACTGCTGCTGTGCTAGTTGCTATAGAAAGAAGTTTATTGTTAAGAGAATACAAACTTTATCATGATGGGCTTGATAGTAAATTACGAACCATTACATGCACTATAAATGCTTTCATTCAAATCTGAATGTTCAAGGAAATATTTGAAATATTTTAAATATGAGATTTGTTTATTTCTTTGTTGTGTATGAATTCATCTCTTTTTTTTTTTTTGCCAGAAGATTAAATAAACATTAGTGATGACTCTGTATGACATACCTGCAGAGCTTCCAGCTGAGCTGGATCAGTTATGACATAAACCTGCTGGCCCTGGTCGCCTACAGTGATTGTTGCTACGCCCTGCTGTTGCTGCTGTAGCTGGCCCAGAAGCTGTGCAGCTGTCGTCTGTGTCTGTTGCATAGTCACAACAGCTTGTTCCTCTGTCCCTGTCCCCAACACAGTGGCACCAGCCATCAGTGAGCTCTGCTGTTAAACCAACCACACATCTCTATGTACATCACTCAAAAAAGGCATCTCAATTTCGTTTATTTGTTAATTGAACTTACTGAACTTACATTGCCATCCTTCACTACAGAATCTCAAATTATTGGTGATAAGATAGCACAATAAGGGGTATATTAGTAAAACTCTGACACATCAAAATCATGGTTTGATAAATATATCCAATGGATTTCCATTATATCCAGTACCCAAGCTTCTGTTTACCCATCAGTAAATTCTACATTGTGTATACCTACACTATAAGATGCTTTCATGTGTTATCAGCTATGGGAGGGAATTCTACAAGGCTTTAGACTCTGATGGATTTGACTGTTTCTAGGAGTAAATTCTAGAGATCTGTTAACTCAAATGAATTTCTGAGTTTTCCCACAATAGGGTAAATTATCAAGGGTTAATCCTGGTAAATACTAGCTACAATATACAGCTATAGCTCATCAATAAGTTGTCAGATTAGTATGCCAGAAAACTTTGATTCCAATCCTAGCAGAGACATCGACATAAATAATGACCTCTGTTACTAAGGTATTAAACACATATGGGTTTGTTTGTTTACAAGCTATGAAAGGGAAATCTTTCTGACTCTAAACTCTGATTTTTGGTGTTTACCAGATAAATATTGAAAATTAAATTGTCTATGGTTCTCACCTCATATCACATGGGTATGCGTGTTGACCAGCTAGAGGAGTATCTAGTGATCTCACCCCAGATAGATATGTGTGTTTGCCAGCTATACCAGAAAATTCTCTAGGGTTCTCACCTCATATCACATTGGTATGTGTTTTTACCAGCTAGAGGAATAAATTATCTAGTGATGACACCCCAGACATGTGTGTTTACCAGCTATACCAGAAAATTCTCTAGGGTTTTCACATCATATGAGTATGTGTGTTTGCCAGTTATACAAGTAAATTCTCTTGGTTTTTTAAATGACATGAGTACATGTGTTTACCAGTTATAAGAGCAAACTCTCAAAGGCCATATATATATATATATATATACGTATATGTGTTTACTTACAGCCTGCTGGGCCTCTGATGTTGTTATGGCTATGGTTGCATCCTCCTGAGAAGCCGTACCCTCTGTTGTGGCCAAGGCATATGGAAACTTTGCCCGTTTCTCTGGAGGTTCATCGTCATCATCTTTGATTTTAAACAGTAAATGGTATCAAATATCAGCAATGTGAAGGAACTAGTCAGGTGTTCAACTTTTTAAATGTCAAGAAATTCATATATTTTTGAAATCCAAATTTCTTAGTAAATCATACCTTCTGGATTACGGTGTTGAGCTAGTAATTGAGCCTCACTTTCAGGAGATATGTCCTCTCCATGCGCAGTACGTTTGTGCATAGCCAGAGTAGATGTCTGTCTGTATGTCTTTCCACAATGATTGCACACATAAGGTTTGGAGTGTGTGTGTACGACGTGGTGTTTGTAAAGACTAGAATATTCTGTGAATCTCTTTCCACAACCATGTACTGTACATACATACGGCTTCTCTCCTGTAGAACATACAACATACAGGTTATCAAATACTTGAATTTTTTGTTGAAGATAAACACTGACATCAAATTGGAAATGAAATATTTGTTCAAACTACAATTACAGCAACGATACTACTGTTATGAATTTACTTTTGAGTTCCTCAGATTATTATCAGAAATGATACTTACTTTGAAATTGTTTAAAGTGTTTTAATTATTTGTGATACGTGCAGACTGTAAGCTTTAGTGCTTATTGAACAGAACAGAGAAGCATTTGCATTAAATTAAGAATGATAATCAGATATTGAAATTACGAGAATGTGTACTTAAGAATCTGTTGTCTTTTATCGTTTTGGTATTGTACACTATACACATAAGGCATTACGTCACAATTTCTTTTATCGTTTTGGTATTGTGCACTATACACATAAGGCATTACGTCACAATTTCTTTTATCGTTTTGGTATTGTACACTATACACATAAGGCATTACGTCACAATTTCTTTTATCCTTTTGGTATTGTACACTATACACATAAGGCATTACGTCACAGTTTCTTTTATCGTTTTGGTATTATACACTATACACATAAGGCATTACGTCACAATTTCTTTTATCGTTTTGGTATTGTACACTATACACATAAGGCATTACGTCACAATTTCTTTTATCGTTTTGGTATTGTACACTATACACATAAGGCATTACGTCACAATTTCTTTTATCGTTTTGGTATTGTACACTATACACATAAGGCATTACGTCACAATTTCTTTTATCGTTTTGGTATTGTACACTATACACATAAGGCATTACGTCACAATTTCAACCCTAGATTCATTTCAGGATTTTTCATACATTTGTTATTACTTATATCTTACAAAATACATAGCCACCTAACTGTTTACATTAAAGTAAGCACATTCCAGAATTATTTATCCCCACAAAATACAACATACAAAACATAGCATTAAATTTTCTTAATCAAAATGCACAACATGTCATGTTCACAAACTTAATTAGTTAATAATCATAAACAACACTGACTAACACTTAAATTGTACAATGTATTAACATGGACAGATATTTGTTCACCATACCTGTATGAATGCGGATATGATTTTTGTAGTTTGTGGCACTAGCAAATGCTCGCCCACAGCCCTCCTCTTGACATACATATGGACGCTCTCCTGTGTGTGTACGGATGTGTACTTTTCGTATATTGGATGTTGTGAATGACCGATTGCAGCCCTCAAATGGACATTTAAATGGACGTTCTCCTGAATAAAAGCAGATTATACATATATGACTACTTTTTACAGGAAAACTTTACTGACATTAACTCTCACTCATAAGGTTATGAAAATGAACTTCACAGAAATATATCTCATTTTGTAAAAAATAATGATATGAATAACAATTCCAGTCATAATGATAAAAACATGATATGTCAGCTTTTCTACTTTAACAGGAGTGTAAGCACATGAATAAAGAGTTTATATTTGTGATCTCATATTTTGTTGACTAGATCTGGTAAGGAATAAATTGGTCTAAAAATACATAATGAAATATGTCAAGAGCAAAAATATTGTTCTTATACAATTGCCAAAGTTATCAAAGAAAATGGATTAATAACAGCTAAAATTTATCCTTGTAGTGAAAGCAGTTCAATATTTTTCTGCTATAACTGTTTGTCAAGAAAATCCTAGTTTAATATGAATAATTACTGATGCCAAAATTTGATTTTATTTCTGTGGAAATGGATGCATTCTCATGTCTTCAATTTTGATGCTTCTAAATGGCTGATAAGACGGATCCATTTGGAAAGTGATGTTATATTGTAATATAACATATGTTTACTAAGTTTATTAAGACAAGATGTTTTCTTCAAGTTGAAAACAGCCTTCTTTTGTTAAAACTGATTTTCACATGCTGATACTATAGGCAATGTATGGAGGAAGCTGTAAACATACTTTTCATTAAAAAACCAATTTTACAGGTAAAAGGAAATATTCCAATGTTTATGAATTTTACTAGAAACAAAATTGTCTATTGTTTTGAAATATTGATAATACATTTGGACTCTATCATATTTATAACATTACAATAAATTTTTACTTCTAAAATGGAGTAAAAATGTTGACAAACATGTCTTTTATAACCTTCCTGGAAAGTGTTATTGGATGTGATTAATTTTATCTCTAACATTATTAATGAAAATGCATTCAGAAACATTCTGATATGTAACTTGGACAGTTAATAAAAGACATAAAGATTAACAAAATCTTTCCTATGAAATTTTCAACCCTAGAAAATGTCATCACTATATTGTTACCTGTATGTGTTCTCACATGTTTCTGCAAGTCCCCTGAAGTTTTAAATGCTTTATCACAGTTTTCCTCGGGACATTTGTAAGGCTTTTCTCCTGTGTGTACTCGTGTGTGACTTTTCAGACCATAGCCTGTGGCAAAGGCTTTGGTACAAGAGGGAAAATCACATTTAAATGGTCTGTCACCAGTGTGGGATCTCTCATGGACCTAACAAATAACAAGAAATGATATCAATATACTTGCAAAGGTACAGCAACAATTAATGCACATCAAATTTTCACACAAAGCCAATTACCTCAACTAATATAACCATTTTAACCAGGAAGACCTGAACTTCAGCACATTAAATCCTGTTGACTTTGGAGAGTAAAGATAAGACAAAAAACTCTGATCATTGGCAGTCGACAATGAAAGACACATCCCTGAAGTCACTTTATATTGTATTTATAATTCTAAATTTGAACATGAAAGGTGCTAATCACTTGTATATATTATCTACAATCTTTAACTGAAGTCGGTAGACACCCAATTTTTATTTTCAACGTTTCAGTAATTTAGGCCCCTGTTATCACTAAGATGCCCTAAACGGACAAAACAGCTGTATGATGCTGTTTATGAGCAGCTTGTGTGTCTTTTGTTCAAGCTTAGTCTGTTACCTTAAGATGATGCTGGGTGGTGTAGAGGCGACCACACCCCTCAAAGCTACACTTGTATGCTTTTTCATCAATGTTGATTGGTTTTCCATCCCCAGTCAGACCTGCAGCAATCACAGTCTGCAATGAAAAAAAGCACCAGTTGACAGGTTTGACATAAACTCTTTTCACACTTTAATTTGTTTCGAAAAAACTTTGAAAAAATAAAATAACAACTGATTTTTTAATCTTCAAAGAATATCTATTACAATACAAGTACATGTACACTGAAATAACACTTTGTATCAGCAATTATCTGATCTCCAAATGTGTTACTTTCTGTATACCCGTTATCTCCATCATCTGTTTACATTATCATTTATCTAAATTGGTGTATACCATTAAGGTAAAATTGTGAGTTAATTCTTGGCAACAGATTATGCCTTTCGAGCCTTTACCCAAAACAGGAAGGTTATTGGTTTAATGCCCCTGATGGAGTCTAATAAAATCAATACATCCTAATCCCAACTCGACTTTCACCAAGAAAAGGGTAGCATGACCAAAATAGCTCTTTGTCATTAGTCATCTTGTTGACACTCTGGCAAACATGTTTAAACTATGACAATTCAGTGACATGACACTATAATATGACTTCAGATTTATTCCATCAGAAACTAGATTTACTGTAATATATATCACATGACTTCTTAGATACACAACTTACTATGAAATGCATCACATAACCTACCATGAGACATATCACATGACTCGCTATGATGTGTATCACACAACTTACTACTGTAATACATATCACAAGACTTACTATGCTGTTCACCACTTACTACTGTAATACATATCACATGACTCGCTATGATGTGTATCACACAACTTACTACTGTAATACATATCACAAGACTTACTATGCTGTTCACCACTTACTACTGTAATACATATCACAAGACTTACTATGCTGTGGATTACATAACTTACTACTGTAATACATATCACATGACTTACTATGCTGTGAATTACATAACTTACTATTGTAATACATATCACATGACTTACTATGCTGTTCACCACTTACTACTGTAATACATATCACAAGACTTACTATGCTGTGAATTACATAACTTACTATTGTAATACATATCACATGACTTACTATGCTGTTCACCACTTACTATTGTAATACATATCACAAGACTTACTATGCTGTTCACCACTTACTACTGTAATACATATCACATGACTTACTATGCTGTGAATTACATAACTTACTATTGTAATACATATCACAAGACTTACTATGCTGTTCACCACTTACTACTGTAATACATATCACATGACTTACTATGCTGTGAATTACATAACTTACTATTGTAATACATATCACATGACTTACTATGCTGTTCACCACTTACTACTGTAATACATATCACAAGACTTACTATGCTGTGAATTACATAACTTACTATTGTAATACATATCACATGACTTACTATGCTGTTCACCACTTACTACTGTAATACATATCACATGACTTACTATGCTGTGAATTACATAACTTACTATTGTAATACATATCACAAGACTTACTATGCTGTTCACCACTTACTACTGTAATACATATCACATGACTTACTATGCTGTGAATTACATAACTTACTACTGTAATACATATCACATGACTTACTATGCTGTGAATTACATAACTTACTATTGTAATACATATCACATGACTTACTATGCTGTTCACCACTTACTACTGTAATACATATCACATGACTTACTATGCTGTGAATTACATAACTTACTATTGTAATACATATCACAAGACTTACTATGCTGTTCACCACTTACTACTGTAATACATATCACAAGACTTACTATGCTGTTCACCACTTACTACTGTAATACATATCACAAGACTTACTATGCTGTTCACCACTCCACCTGTTCCATTCGTCACACTGACTGTTTTGGTTTCAGACGCTTGAACCATATCTGAACATGTTTTCAATTGTTCTGCTGACACCTGAAAAAATCACCATCACCTTTAATCATGGATTTTACAATTTCTGGCAAAAAAGCATTTATATTTTCCTAAAACAATCTTAAGAAGACCTTCATTAAAATACCAATAACTGCTAATGGTTATTATTCTTTAATTTTTTTTTTTAAATCAATGAGCCCACAGAGTCGCCTTGATTAACTGAACATGCCTATAGTTCATAGAATCTATGCTGTAAGTATCTACTACTATCCTGCCTGTGTCATGTTGTTGTACCTGAGTTGAAAGCTGCTCCAGACTTAGAGGGGTGGAGTCAAGGTTAGCAGCATCCCCAAAGAGTGCCTCAGGTGTCGGATGGGAAATGTATGCTGTAGTTCCATCCTCTAACTGTATGGCTTGTAGTCCCTCTATCATCAACATAAAGTGTAATTATATTTTTTACCTTAAGTTTTTCTAATAGAACTTGCTCTGACAGGTTATCTTTATAAATAATGATAAATACAAAGGTTTTGACACATGATACACAGTCATATTAATAAGGATTCAAGTCATATTAAAAATGCCTCACCTTTTGGGGTAGTATGTAAATAGGCTGTGGTTCCATCCTCTAATTGTACAGGCTGGCCATCAGTCATGTGGGTGTGACTTTCTGGGAGCGTTTGACCATCCACAATATGTGTACTGTCTACAAGGGTCATCTGCTGGACCTGGAGCTGGTGGATGTCCTTCAAGTCCACCTCATCCGTAATATTATCGGGCCCTGTTTCAATCTGGCTTGGCAAGTTGGACACTGCAATGAGTCAATGCTGTTATAGTATATATAGCATCAATAAAAACACAACTTATGGTGACTTTTTACCAGGTAAGGGCTTATTGTCTCATAAAAAGAGGCGATATAGACTTTGTATCAGATGGGATTACTGACACATGAAATCTCATGTTGTGTGGATTTTTACCAGACTTGGACTTATTGATTAAAAAAATGAGGTTATGTAGACAGTTTCCAGACACAGACTTATTGACTGCCAAATCAAAGATGGTTGCCTGGAAGCTATTTTGTTTTCCTGATCAGTCTCAAAATCAAACAGAGAGAGATCCATTGAGTACTTCTCAAGAAATAGCAATAACAAAATGTACTTGGCAAAATTAAAGATGGCTACTGTCAGCCATTTTGTTTTTCTGATCAGTCCAAAAATCAAATGGGAACAACCAGGGACCAAGGGGGAACCTACACAATTCAATAGCTCTCAAGAAATAGCCATAATAAACTTCACTGAAAAAAAATCCAAGATGGCTACCTGTCTGCCATTTTGTTTTCCTGCTCAGTCCTAAAATCAAATAGTCACAACTAGGGAACAATGGGAACCTACATATATAATCTGAAAAAATTCATCCAATACTTCTCAAGAAATAGCGATAACAACAATTGCTTGCAAATAAATGACTGACCATGGACATAGAACAATTTGAATAGTCCACCATCTGTTGATGGTGTGGTATAAAGAGGTTTTGCAGACTTATTATCAGGCATGGGCATTGACTCATAAAAATTAAATTGTGAAGACTTATTATCACATGGCTTATTGACTCATACAAACAGAAGTTGTGTCATACAAACAGAAGTTGTGTGGACAGGGATTATTGACTCATGAAAACAGAAGTTGCATGGACTTATTACCAGACATCAGTTTATTGGCTCATAAAATGAGGTTGTGAAGACTTATTACCAGACACAGGTTTATTGGTTCAAAAAATAGGAGTTGTGTGGACTAATTACAAGGCATTGGGTTGTTGCCAAATAAAAACTGTATATTTACCTTGACTTAATCCTTGTACCACAGCAGTACTGCCATCCTCCAGTGTAATAGTCTGACCCTCTAAAAACTTTCTCCCTGTTAATGAAATGATGTGTTTTTTACTTGTGTGGCCAGTATAAATTTCTGTCTCTCTAAAAACATCCTACATAGGTGTTTTACTCTTGTGTAGACAGTAAGTACTTGTAAGGTTATTGCCTCTCGTTAATTCAAAGGTTTTACCCTTTCAGGATTGGCCAGGTCTCCAACCAATATTTGAATGGATAACTATACAGGCATAGTTTCAACAACAACAACAACAAAAAAACATTAGTGGGTGTTATTCCTAAAACATGACCTGATTAATCATCATCAGTGTTTTGTTCCAACAGAATTAAAAAGAGTGTAATGAGGGTTATACTCAATAAATTTCTCATTTTAGGATGGTGGGGAGGGACAGTGCCTGTCACATAGATGACTAAGGTTTTATTACAGATCAGCTAGGTGAAAAGTTAAGAGTCATCTGTTTATTCCTTGTACTCCAGGCTTCTTTGAAACTTTGACTTTGAAAACCCTGGCATTCTTCAATCCAGGCCAAGAATGAGAAGCATAAATGTTGCTTCACAACTGTTCTAAAACAACTAAGGTTGATGATATTCAAAATTGAACATCATCTACTGATCATGAAAGAGAGAGGTGTAAAGATTATGGCTGGTTACCTTTAGGATGTTGTATAAAAGCTGTAGTGCCATCAGCCAAGGTAACAGCCTGCACAGTCTGGGCAGTGGTGTCAGCAGGAATAAGGCCATGATCAGGAATAGAAACTGACACATCCAACTGTTGTGGGTCAATGTCATGTACTAGGTCTTCCTCAATCTAATAAAAACATCACCAGGTTCTCCATCAAAGACACTGCATTCTTTACATATAAATACATCATGACCTGGCCATTCATTCAAAACTCCCTATCTTGCATATGGTATTCCATTATTTTGTCCAGAGACATTATGTTAAAGTATGAATATAATGTAGGTATATGTTTGGAAAAGATTTAAATTTAGTCCTTTAAATGCAACCATGTTTTAAATCTATAATTTGACAACTGATCTGATATCAAAAGAACGATCAGAAATGGTAAATCTAGTGAAGACAAGAGTACTTATTTTAAGGAAAACATAATTAATATAATCTTAGTATTTAGCTTTACTCTTCTTGAATCCAGCGACATGTGACATACACAAACATTGACCAAGTCTTACCCCGTGGCTTTGAAGCAGCAGGCCAATCACCTCCCCTTCATGCATATCATTATGAATGCCCACACCATGGTCAACAACAATGGAATCGCCCACCCCAGAATTGTCCACACTGGGTTCAACTTTAATGACATTGTCATCATTGACTTCACACAGCTGATGGTCATTAGAGTTGTCTTCTAGAACATCTGGGTCAGGATGGTCAGGAGGGTCATCTTCAGTGATTTGGCCAGGTACCTCCCCTACATGTCCAATCCCCTCAATAACAATACTATCCATCTCTGCTGGGTGACTACATGACCATCACTAGTGAAACATTGTTCTACAAAATGCATAAATTTACAAACTTGATTAATTATTATAAATATGTGAGGGTATTCAAAATTTGAAGCAAAGCATTTTCTGCTATTTTGTAATACAAGTGAAGTAAAAACTAAAGGAGTAATCTTTTTCTACTTAATTCTCCTACATCATTGCTTATCAACCCCATTAAGGCAGTGCTACAATATCCTTTTACAATTCTATCTTCTAAACATAGAAAATATCAACACTAAGAATACCTATGTTAATTGTACTACAATCAAAAGAAATTGAACTCCACTTCTTCTCACAAGGTGAAAAATATCCATGCACAATTGAACCTGGTTATATTGAAATCCTCAGGTAATGAAAAAATACTTCAAATTAACCAGGTTTCAAATTAACCAGTATAAGTCTTTTCTCGCATCCAGGCCTATAACACGTTAATGATGAAACAAAGCATGTATACACATTCTGTCTACAATTAATAACATTTCATTAGAAACAGCTTAGAAGTCTATCTACAGCTTAAATAAGTTCATATTTTTCATCAATTGTCAGTTGTTTACACTTCTTGATGGACAAAGCCATTGTAAAACACCTGTCGCTCTCTTATACATACAAAATTTAACCAAAACATTTGTTCAAATAACAAACCCAGTTCATTGATTGATACTCATAATTTACTAGTTTTGTATCATATTTCTACCTGGGCATTGAACTAGAGATATGGACGCCCAAAGCGTGACGACACTGCTCACAGGTACTGGGTTTGCCTTCAAATTAAGCAATGTGAAAACAAGTTCATTAGAACTGTTTAGGGCCAGTATTTACCGTTCAAATAATGCAGTATTTCAAATTAACCAATTTCATATTAAATGAAGTGAAAATACTAACACATAGAAGACATTTTGATGGGGATTATTTTGATTTCAAATTAAACAGTTTTTCAATATAACCAAGTTCAAATTAAGTGGGTTTTCATGACCTTGACCACTTTTATATGTCACCAAAATAAGCAGCTCCAAATGGATAACAAAAGGACAGCAAAAATTTTATGTTTACTCATCATCACTCCAGCATGTGTATATAATGACCAAAAATATTTTTTTCTCAAAAATATTTCATAAACATTTTATATGTATACCTCTTTCTGAAAAACACACTTTCAGGATATTTTTTCTCTATGACCTTTATATTGAAGGTCACGTCCTTCAATTTGAACAAACCTGCCAAACACACTCATGTCAGCAGACTATTGTAACATGTAGCCCATGGGCCTTATAGCTGTGTGAACTATAAATATTTTCACTAAAAATCTCAATGGAACTGAAGAATAATTATGTTTAAAATGTGTTTTCAAGATGCTGACATTTATTGGATTTTATACCAATCCAAAAAATGTCAACATTTCATCCAGGCCATCTCAGGCATGACTGAATTAAATCTCATTGGTAAAACTTGAGAAGTTCTAGTTATCCTGTTAAATTGTTCAGGAAAATAAGTGTAAAAATTGTTCATGAGAATAATGATTGTGCATTCATATACAAAACAGCTGTGTTAAATGCCATGACAACACATTTTTTGCTTCCTTTACATAAATCCCCACAAATTTTCAGCTTAATGGCACTATAGTGGGAACAGAAGTGAAGTTAAAAATGTGTTTTTCAAGAGGGCAGCCATATTGAATTTTTGACCTATCAGAAGAAAAAAAACACTTGGTCAGGTCCATCTCAAGACCATTTCAGACAAATCTGAGATGAATTCCACTGATGGTTTAAAAGAGATGTTCAGGAAAACCTTGTGTATCGCAATTATGTCGTAAACATGACTTATGTGGCTGCTATGTCAAAATGTTGACATGGCCAAAAAAACGACATTATAGAGGTTTAAGATGTATTTTTCAGACTGACCTGAAAAATAACAACACTTGATAAATTGGTCCAAACCATCTTGAGATCAGAACTTCAGAAGTTTAAAATGTGGAGACTTATCACCACACATCTCATGAAAGGTATCAAACTGGCAGTACAATTTTTATTTCTATTAGGGTCTTGTTAGTATAAAAAAAAAAACAAACAAACATTATTCCTTGATATTGATTTAACTTGACCTTGATGACCTTGAAAGTATATTCTAGGAGACATCCATCTTGGGTATCTCTTACACTTAACATACATATCTCTATAATTACTGAGTAACTGGGGCTTTTCTTGTTTACATTTTATTAATGCATTTCAAATGTGATTTTTTAGAACATGCATTGAAGAACTGGTTTTGCAACTTCATGTTGAAATGTATCAATTTCTATCATTGGCAGTACCAGGCTGAATCACAGGCAATGCTAATGAACCCCTGTGCACTGAGTCTTAAGAAGTAGAAAATTTCAAGCTTTTTCACTTATTTACATAACAAGACCTTTGTAGAGATAGATTTGTTTGAAATGTTTTCCCACTTCTCAAAACAATCGTCACCCAAGTGCTATACAAATATCCGTTTTAATCTTCATTTTTCCTTCTATCAATATATCTAGTTTCGTGAAGACGAAAACACTGTCATGTTGTAACTGCGCTAGTTCGAGTATCCTAGTTACTTTACAGTTCAAAACTGTGCATTCGCCATGTATGACCATGACCAACAGTTAATCAAACGATTCTGTGCCGCATGTTTCACGCACAATTCAGATGGGCTTCAGCATATTGAATCTGAACGTTGTCCTCGTGTATTATCAGCGTGTCTCTACTTTCATTTTCGAAAAAAACATCGTTAGGTCCCCATCATCTAAAACGCTAGTACAATGTCTCGTGGAGAATTCTGTTTATATTGTGGTCGTTGAGCAGGAAGTCTCCATCTTGAATCTTTCTTAGACATGAGCGTTTACTTGGTTTTTGTCTAATAAATCATAGTATGACTGAAACTCAAAATAGTTTAATAGAACACACGGTACTTGATGCTCTAATTTCATCAATCCCAACAGCCACTCTGCTGTTGACAGTATGCACTTTGAACACTGGGAAAACTTACCCAAAAATCCTCACTGCCTAGACCGCCATGCAATGCTCTGTCTTCCGGCCCCGGTTATGGATATATATCAGTACAATGTATAGATATACACGTTATATGGGACAATGTTTGATTGAACAAATACTCGCGTGAAATATTTCTTAGCTAATTTAACACAGTTTCAATGTTACTAACGAACGATATACCATAAAGCATATGTGGTCTAAGTCTTCTTCTATCGCTTCAACATATGCATATCTGAAAGTAATTAGCATACGGTGACGTCACAAAGAGAGGAAAGGCTGGCTTGCCGTCTAGACTTGCTAAGGGATTTTACTAACAAAAACAGCACAACTAATTAAAATACGTATCTTAACTATGTATTGTATATTAACAATGTAGTGTAAAGCGAAGAGATCTGTTTTAATCAGGTTGGATCTCGAATTGATATCATAGGATATATGTATTTGTTGTTGTTTTACAAAAATCTAAATTTATGAATGTCTTTTCTTTCATAAACATGTTTGGAAAGAAAAAAAATGTTTTTTAAACGCGCTTGCAGTGTAATAGTGTGATTTATTCTTCTTGTGTTATAATGGATACGCAAATTTTATAACTGCATTAAATCGATACATTATATCTGGCGCGAACTGGATTTCACAATATTAATGACATCTTTTCTTTTTAATTTTCAAGCATGACCCAAACAATCACATGAAACCAATTGTACGGATTTGACGCCATGTCCAGATTTAACGACATAACGTTGAACTTGTGATTTGAAAAAAAACCAACAAGTAAATGCTTTTCATTCGTACATGTACGTGTTCACATAGACTGGATTTAGAGTCGCTTAGAACGTTCCCAGAAAGCCATGCTCACATAACGTCATACAGTAATCCTGGGACAAGATTCATGCAATTATTTCCTTACAATAATAATAGCAAATTCAACAGCATTCTAAACCAGGTGATATTTTTGAAATTGAAGTTTTCATGAAATAACTTTTAATATTTAAATACTCGTACAATCAGCTTAAAATTTGACTGGGAAATGTGTATCTACCACTCTATAGTATCGAGAAAAACGACTATTGTTTAAATTTTCAACAAAGCCATTCGATAACAAGTCATGATTCCGCGAAATTTGCACGAGATAAGGTTTTGGTCAACACGATTCCTTTCATTTGATTTAAACATATTTATTGTCCCAACATTGAGAAGAGGATTAGGCACAAGTTATTTCAACTTATGACCGCCTTTTCCTTTAATACAATACATTATATTTTTACATGATAACAATAACAAGGCATATATAATTTATTTAACAGTTAGTACATTTTACTTAAAATCTGTTGCTGGATTTGATGAAAATTTGCACGTGTCTGAATACTTCTGTATTGGTAGTTAGGGACAGATTTTCATTTCTAAATAAAAATAGATGTAAATTCACTTGATCTATATTCAACATGTTTATACTTTGAAAAAGCGTTATTCTTACTCTATTATAAAGCTTACATTCTAGGAAAAAATTACCAACATCCTCACAGTAATGTCCACAAGCACACGGTGGGTTATCAACAATCTTAACACGGAACAAATCACTTTTCAAAGAGCTGCACTGATGTCCGAGTCTCGTATGTGATATATTTAGATTACGTTCGCCAAAATTATGATAAGATGGGGGACAAGAATTAGCGTCATTAGATAAAGAAGATTTAAAAGCATTCAAAGATGGTAATGTTCTTATTGAACTGTCTAGCGAATTTCACAGACGTAAACTTGATGGCAGAAAAGAAGAGCTACCTAGGGAGAGTCTGAAAGAAGGAATGATATAATCATGTTGGTTCCGTAAATTATACTGATTGTTATAACCCACTGTGTTTGGCAAAAAGGGCCGATAAATAAGAAGGGGTTAAATTATTTATCATTTTGTATAATACATTTAACTTACGTGTTTTCCTTCTCTCTGATAATGTTTCCAATCCCGTTTCAAAATATAGTGATTCATTACTAGCATACGAAGGTAAACCTGTTAATATCGAGCCGCTTCTCTTTGTGCTTTCTCCAATTTCTCAGAATCCAAAACAGAGCAACCATCCCATACCTCACAAGCATATTCAATATTTTAACAGAGAATCTCTTTTTAACAAGTATTTCAGTTTTCGTAAAACATATTTTTTTTTCATACCCGAACTATAAACTGCCTCAATATGACTCCCCAACTTTCCATTTGAATTAAAATTTACTCCTAAGTGTCTGTGAACTTCTGTAAAATTAAAAATTATTCCGTCAAAAAATAAGTCTAGATCCCCGTCAGTATTGATTGAATTTGAAATAGAAAGAACATCTGTTGTTTGAGGATTAAAAGAAACCAACCAACGTTTAGCCCACTGATTTAAAGATTCAAGGTCCCTGTTGAGAACAGTCTGTAATTCGTAACATGAGAAAAGCAGAATGAAATAATGATGTATCGTCTACAAATAACCTAGAGGCTTAATCAAGAACATCTGAAATGTCATTGATATATAACATTATTTCCAAATGTCTTTAACCAGGGTGATATTTGTGCTCAAGTAACATATCGACCCAGATAATGATTGATGATCTTCTTTACATTTACTGTTGATGTACGCACGCACCGTTTTGGAAAGTTTTGCATTCCAACGAGTGAAAGAAAAATAATCTCATTTAAGAAACATGAAACACACTACACATTGCATTTTTTTGTACTAAGCAAATTTGACTTGTAGTGACACTGAGGTAGATATATTGCATTACGAAGGTTCAATAAGCAAGTATCAGCATTGGCCAAACGCTATCAAATTCCAGAAATGAAATTAGCTATTGCAATAGAAAAGCTTGACGTTGAATCTTAAAATGACCGGTCTATTTTGGCAAGGGCAAAATTTAATATAATTTATATAAGTGTAGTGTGTAAAGCTCTTTAGAACAAAAATGCATACTGAATACCATAGTGGCCGCAATGCGAAAGTGCGACAAAAGTACCACGTCAACATCGACAAAAAATATGCCGCGCTATCGATGCACTGTTGTCGCTGTGTTGTATAGATTGCGTTGCGTTGACGACAAATATGAATGGCCTCTTGTGATCTGTGTTCTATCCTACCGAGTGAGGGGTATATATTTACCTAAAATAATCCTCTTATATGCTGATTGAAAAAAATAGACAAAGAAAAACGAAAAAAGCATAACAGCTCTCCACATTTACGTCACACTCCCCTATCACTGTCCTGAACACTTATTCACCACTCTCCTATCACTGCCCTGAACCCTTATTCACCACTCTCCTATCACTGCCCTGAACACTTATTCACCACTATCTAATCACTGGCCTCCTCCTTTGTCACCCACTCTCCTATTATAGCCCTCCAACCTTACTCTCCACTCATATATCACAACCTATTACTACCCTCCACTTTATTTATCATTGCCCTATCACTGTCAACCACCTTTCTTCTTTCTCTTTTGAAAACACTCCTTACTCACTACCTTCCTACCACAGCCTTCCACCCTTACTCACTACCTTCCTACCACGGCATCCCTCCCTTACTCACTACCTTCCTACAACAGCCTTCTACCTTTACTCACTACCTTCCCACCACAGCCTTCCTCCCTTACTCAATACCTTCCCACCACAGCCTTCTACCCTTACTCACTACCTTCCCACCACAGCCTTCCTCCCTTACTCACTACCTTCCTACCACAGCCTTCCTCCCTTACTCAATACCTTCCCACCACAGCCTTCTACCCTTACTCACTACCTTCCCACCACAGCCTCCTTCCCTTACTCACTACCTTCCTACCACAGCCTTCCTCCCTTACTCAATACCTTCCCACCAAAGCCTTCCATCCTTACTCACTACCTTCCTACCATAGCCTTCCACCCTTACTCAATACCTTCCCACCACAGCCTTCCTCCCTTACTCACTACCTTCCTACCATAGCCTTCTACCATTACTCACTACCTTCCCACCACAGCCTTCCACCCTTACTCAATACCTTCCTACCACAGTCTTCTACCCTTACTCAATACCTTCCTACCACAGTCTTCTACCCTTACTCAATACCTTCCTACCATAGCCTTCTTCCATTACTCACTACCTTCCCACCACAGCCTTCCACCCTTACCCAATACCTTCCTACCATAGCCTTCTACCCTTACTCAACACCTTCCTACCATAGCCTTCTACACTTACTCAATACCTTCCCACCATAGCCTTCTACCCTTACTCACTACCTTCCCAACACAGCCTTCCACCCTTACTCAATACCTTCCCACCACAGTCTTCTATCCTTACCCAATACCTTCCTACCATAGCCTTCCACCCTTACTCAATACCTTCCCACCACAGCCTTCCTCCCTTACTCACTACCTTCCTACCATAGCCTTCTACCATTACTCACTACCTTCCCACCACAGCCTTCCACCCTTACTCAATACCTTCCTACCACAGTCTTCTACCCTTACTCACTACCTTCCTACCACAGCCTCCCTCCCTTACTCACTACCTTCCTACCACAGTCTTCCACCCTTACTCAATACCTTCCTACCACAGTCTTCTACCCTTACTCACTACCTTCCTACCACAGCCTCCCTCCCTTACTCACTACCTTCCTACCACAGTCTTCCACCCTTACTCACTACCTTCCTACCACAACCTTCCACCCTTACTCACTACCTTCCTACCACAACCTTCCACCCTACTCACTACCTTCCTACCACAGCCTCCCTCCCTTACTCAATACCTTCCTACCACAGTCTTCTACCCTTACTCACTACCTTCCTACCACAGCCTCCCTCCCTTACTCACTACCTTCCTACCACAGTCTTCCACCCTTACTCACTACCTTCCTACTACAACCTTCCACCTTACTCACTACCTTCCTACTACAGTCCTCCACCTTTACTCACCACTCTCCAACCACTGTCATTCTTCCTTACTCACTACACTCCTTTCACTACCCTGAACCCAAATTTTTCACTCCCCTTCCACAGCCTTCCGTCCTAGATCGTCATTCCTACCACATCCCCAACACTTACTCACCGCGTGCACTATCCCATTTCTACCGCCAATTTATTCCCCACTCTCTATCACTGTCATCCACCATTGTCCCGAACGTTCTTATCACACTTCTTCTCTACCTTTACTCGTCGCTGTCCTACCACATCCCCAACATTTACGCACCACCTTCCTACCACAGCCTTCCACCCTTACTCATCACTCCCCTATCGCAGCCCAACCTTGCTCTCACACAGCCTTCATCCTTATTTAATTACTTTCCACTCCTACCACTGCCCCCAACCTCCACCCTTACCACTCTTGTATCACTGCCCTCCCTATTTACCATTCCCCAGTCTCCTAGCAATACCTCCCAAACTTTACACAATCCTACCACAGCCTACACCTATACTCTCCTCTAGATCTCCTCATTGACTCATCTCTCCAGCTTTATTCCTCTACTCTCCTATCACTGACCCCAACCTTCCTTTCAACTCTCCTTTTAATGTCCTCTATACATATTTCTTTCAATCGTTTGACGAATCTCATACCACAATCCCCTCCTTACATAATTATCCTTTCACTTCTTCCTGCTTCACGTGTTCCTTCTGTACCACTGCCTTTTAGAAATATTCATGGCTTTAAAAAATACGATATAATCACGGACTTAGCATCTTTTCTAAGTCCTACGGTGTTGTTATGGCGTGGATGAGGTGTGTGGTGGGGGAGTGAGTGTTTGCATGAGACGGTCCGTAAAGTGAAAATAAAGCATTGAAATAAGTCAACTACAGTCGATAAGATGTGTTCGCCTTTTTTTAACCGATCTGAAACGATAAGCAAAATACAATGTGCGTAATGCGACATAATCAAAGTTTTTTCACGTTAAGAAAAAACATGTTTTCATTGCCCATGTTCATATTGTTCTAAATATATCAACGAAGTGGTATGGTTATATACAGCAAAATTTAGAACTACTTATACGCGTTTTAAAACTATTGTAATCGCGTCGACCATCTTTGTGAAAGTATACTAAACATCCGGCTATTTTATCGCCTAGTTTAACCTGATTAATTCGGAACCGGCTGGTTATTGTTGTTGCAGGTTGAAGTCCATCGGAAAGTCTACAGTACAGATATAAGTTCACGATGGATGACATGGCCGAGAAGTTTTGTAAAGCGTCTACCCTGGTGCCGGTAGGCCTGTCAGCGGCAGCATTAGGAACGTTTATGTTTCTCAAGAGATTTGGTATCCTGTACCAGCTCTTCCACAAGGTGCGTCCACTTGACAAGTTCTAAATCTGTTTAAACAGAGAATCTTATTGTGCACGTGTTTAAAAACGGTTTGAATTTGGTTAATTGGAAGGAAATGAAAATCACTTGCAGGTATTAAGAAACACACATAATCAAGAATATGTCCTTAGGCCTCCACTCTTTTCCACCCTTCACTGTCCACTACGACCTTCCACTCCTCTCAATTTTTTATAATTACCAACTGGCTAAGTAAGATGACCGGTACTTTTCACCTTAAACTTCTCCCTTCATCAACAGTGATGAATACACTCTATCAAAAATCAAGTATTGTGTGCATAAGGGTTGGGGAAAGGATTAATCAACAGTGATTGTTCATTTTACAATTCTGTGCAGGTATAAGATGAAAAGAAAAAAACTAATGAGCAGCTTGGTGGAACATATTGTATATAAATGGTGTAATTAACTTCTTATTGATAGAAGGATTTCACACACATACTCATTCTTTGTTAGTTTTTGTGGTAATTTAACCATTTTTTTCTTTTCTCAGGTTGACAAAAACATCAAAAGGAATGGTGGTGATATAGTTGGTGATGTTTTGAAGGTAATGATTGTCAGAACATTATTTACACATTTGTCACTTGTTAATTGGTAGCTATGTAAATGTGATATAATGGTTATTCTACTCTCACTGACATTTTTTATCAGGAATGTATGAATAATGCTGGAGAAGAAGATTTATGTATGATAATTGATTTTCAAAGCAGATTTTTTTTCAGTTGGTTTAGGATTTACCCTAGCTCTCCACTGATATGTGTGATCAGATATGTACTGTTATTCTGTCAGGATCATGTGTCTTATGTTGTAGGCTCATGGTGTGAAATATGTGTTTACTTTGGTTGGAGGACACATTTCTCCCATTCTAGTGGCCTGTGAGAAGATTGGTATCCGTGTAGTGGACACCAGACATGAGGTAAATTATCCCTGTTCTGTTTATTTTTATTGCTGTTTATGTTTGATATATGATACCAACCAAAGAAGGCAGCTTCCTTAGTTTAATTTTAATATAAAAGTTTTATCTTCCATATGACAACACAAGGATCTCCATTTGTATGTGTTTATTTTTTGCAGTTAACCTTCAGTGTTTTGATAAATTGTTTTTACGTTTAGAAAGATCAGTCTCTAATTGACAGATTTTGTGATGTTTATTACATAGGTGACAGCCGTATTTGCTGCAGATGCTGTTGCCAGAATGTCAGGGACAGTGGGTGTGGCTGCTGTAACAGCAGGACCAGGTAGGTTAGGTGACACACCACCTCTGTGAGTGTCTGTCCAGTTCTCTTCTTTGTCCATCCTTCTGTTGTCTTTTTAAGTAAGGTGTACACACAAGCAATTTTCCGTTATGTTCCTCCTTTTCTGTACTTCTGTCCTCTTAAGCCAGGTGTACAGATTTACTTTAACTGTATGACCAGTTCTCTTCTTTGTTCTCCTTGCCACATTATTCAGTTGAACAGATATGTCCCTGTTTCCTGTCCAGTTCTCTTTTTTGTTTGTCAAACTGTTCACTAAAGCCAGGTAGACAGACAGAGGTGTAATATTGATTTTCACTCTACAGGACTTACCAACACAGTGACTGCTGTTAAGAATGCTCAAATGGCTGAGTCTCCAGTATTGCTGATTGGAGGGGCTGCTGCTACACTTCTCAAGGTATGATTTTGATTTTCTTGTATCAGTGATAAACTCTTGAACTTGACAATGCATTCTTCATTCATTCCTTGGATTTACATCTCTTAGGAAGAATGTCAGTTTCACACGGTTTCTGTTTTGAAAGAAGGCTTCAGAGAAATAAGTTTCGGAAGTCATGTACTCTATTCATCATAAAACAGAAAAACAACCTTGTATCACTGATTCATGAAAGAAAATATGGGAAGCTGTCAGGAATCATGAAGATTGAATGTAAATTTGATGCAGATTTGTATAAAGTTTAAATGTAACTGGAGTAAGACTATAATATGTTTGAAAGCTTTGAGGAAGATCATTATAATGATGAGAAGTTCAATATGGATTCATTTTAATAACAGGTTTACCATCAACATGTTGTAATAATTTATCTGTAACTTTTCATAGTACAATTAAATCAGAACTGATTTTGACATTGAATATTCCCAAACAGCACTCATTTTAAAAATCAGCAGTACATGAAGTTAATAAAGTAGCGATATCTGTTAGTTTATTTTACAGTAGACTTCTGATGCTGAGCTATTTTCAACTGTGCCCATCACTGGGAAGAACTGATTTTTGAAGGAGTTACAAAGACACTTGACCATTTCTTTTTCACTTCTTGATCTTGTTTGTTTTGGGAATGAAATGTTCGCACAATTTTTGATAGGAGAAACGACCTAGTTTTGACAGTAAAGGAGGACTGACTGGTACCATAGTGGTGTTCCTTCTTTTTGTGTTAAAATGTTATTTTCATTTCTTACCAATAGTTGACTGAGTTTTGGACTCATTTCCGTTGTCTTAGGTTTTCATGATAGGTGTTGATTGCTGAACTATTTAGTTTTGAGCAGTATATGTAGGTGATTGGTTTTGATGAGTATCCATTCACATTTCGGTGGCCAAGGGTTTAGGTATCTGACTGTCTTTATCGCTGTATTACACCCTTGGTTCATGGGTTCAAGGCCTACAAGGGCAGCAGTTAGGTACTGGCAATAAGTCGGTGGTTTTTATCTGAGAACTTTGGTTTTCCTCCACCATTCAAACCTGGCTCTTAAGGAATACAACATTAATTTGAGGTTCCTGGAAGACATTGTTGATTATATTGGAGATAATTTTTTGGGGATATTTGGTCTTATTGTTCTGTTAGTTATTCTTCTGTATTCTTTAAATCTTTAATTTTTCATATGTTGAAATTGTTTAAACAATTTGGAGGAAGTTTCATTTTTTCATTATTGCTCACATTTTGTTGTTTGAGATGAAAAGTATCAAATGCAGCATATAATGTATATAAGACAATAAGCCTATGTTTGATAAAGAGTGGAATTGTATCTGTAGCTGTTTAATAAGACTTGTAACAAGTACTATTTCATTGTCCTACAACAAGTGCTACTTTGGTTCAAAGTTCATATGTTGGCCCCCAAGGTTCATAACAGGATAGATATGGTTATAGTAAATCAAAGACTGTCTTTATGATAGCAGAAGAGGAAGAAGAGAATAAATGACCATGTCAGGATGTCTAGTCTCTGTCTTTAATAGCTATACTGTATCTATTTTTAGGGCAGGGGAGCACTTCAAGATATTGACCAAATGTCACTTTTTAAGCCCCTGTGTAAATACTGTGCCACTGTAACGAAGGTCAGGGATATTGTCCCCACACTACAAAAGGCTCTACAGGTAGCCCAGTCAGGAACTCCAGGTAAGTAGAAAGTCACAGATCCCTGTGTAAATACAGCAATTTGTCCCTACTCCATAGAAGGTTCTAAAGATAACCCACTAATGAACACCAGATAAGTTCAAGGTCAGAAATCCCTGTGTAAATACAAGAATTTGTCCCCATACCATAATGGGTTCTATAGATAGCCCAGTCAGAATCACCAGTAAAGTTCAAGGTCACAAGTCCCTGTGTAAATACAGGTATTTGTCTTTGAGATATTGTCCCCATACTACAGAAGAACCTATAATCAGCCCAGTCAGAATTTCTTGACAAAGGTCGAGATCGTAAATCGTTTCGTAAATACAGAGACAAAGGTCAGAGATTTGTCACCAGACTAAAGAATGCACTACAGAAAGTACAGTATACTACTCTAAGTTGAAAGTTCAAGGTCCCAGTCTCCTTTGCTGAGGTACTGAGACTAAGATCTAAGATTTGTCACCAGACTACAGAAGGCACTACAGATAGTGCAGTCTGCAACATTTGGCAAGGTCTAGGTCACAAGCCCCTTTGTGAATACTGAGACTAAGGTCAAGGATATTTTCCTCAGACTGCAGAATGCCCTGCACATTGTACACTACAGCGTGGTACTGAAAGTAAAGTCAGGGTCACATTACCATTAACATTTGATTTCATTTAGAACTCGATTCATAGTCTAAATTTTTAATAACATCGGATAAGTTACAAGATGTATATTGTAATACATATGGTCTAGTGTGGAAATCCAGATAAGGTTAAGGTTATCCAGTCTTGAACTGTAGGATCAGGTTTAGTCTAGAGCTATGGGGTATGTCATGGTTTGTCTGGCTTTGAATTTAAGTGAGATTATAATCAATCCTAATTCCTGACTACACCATCATGGTCAGGACTTACTTGGAAATGTTATTTAAATTCCCAAAACACTAGAAGCAGACGTCTTTCTTACACATCTGACGTATTAATCTGATTCTGTTAACCCAGGGCCAGTGTTTGTGGAGTTTCCTATCGACAGTCTGTACCCATACCAGACTGTTAGTAAGGAGATTGGTATAAAGGAGTCGGGCAAACTAAGCCTAATGCAAAGGATCACAAACTGGTAAGAAACTCACTAAAAATTCATTTATTATTGGTACTTATACAGAACAACATTACATTATCAATTATCTAAAAGGAAGTGTGACGTTGGATCTTAGTTTGTGGATTAAATTGACATAATTGGTTGTTGTGATTACCGATCATGAACTAAAGATTTCTCATTTATTCCAAAGTGAAATCTGACAGCTACATGAACATTTTTAATGTATGACAGTGGTTGCGACCAGATATGATATCAGATTCTTTAAGTTTTTCATACTTTTTCTTCCAGGTATCTCTCTAATTACTTGACCAATTTGTTTGCTGGGGCCTTTGAGGAAAGAGATATGAGTCCATTATTAATTGACATAAAGAAACCAAGTTCTTCTCAAGGTGATTTATTATTATCTTGTTTCAGAATTCTGAACAGTTTGAAGTTGTAATTGATATAGAGAAAAATTTACTGATCATTTTATTTAGCAATATTTACAATCTTTGTCCATGTTTCAGCCAATCAGAACACTGTAAAATTGCAATTTTTTGTGGGGGGTTTCAGTGTTTTTTGTAAAATTCGTGGTTACTCTGAGTCTATAAATTTATGTGTCCAGGAGGTCACACACAGATAAAAATGACATGGGTTATAGTAATAACGGATTTCTTGAGCAAGATTTATCCACAAAATCAAGTGCCAATGAAAATACATGTTTTTGTAATACAATATATCGTAAAATTTGAGCTCATTTTGGTTGTCATTGATAGAAACCAGCGAGAATATTGATAAGGCTATAGATTTCATCGTTGGAACTACAAATATTAACTTCTAATTCTATGTGGATTAATAATTTTGAAGTTACAGAAAAAATTCTCATTTGATGTTAGAAAATCACATTGAATGTTTTGACTCCCTTTGTATTGTGATACCGGTGATATTAGTAACCAACCTGTTATAATCCTGTGTTTTCACCTCGGTCATCACTTCTGAAGAAAGGCAGTTGCAGTAGATGAATTGATAATGTAAGGAGAGGACTTTAATAAAGATCAACTGAACAAAATATTTGATAAGAAACTGTAAAAATGAAAACAAATGCACTGTCTGCAATCAGACTAGAAATTACTGTTTATAATTTTAAATTCTGGCTACTCAGCTGTGATTAGAACCTACCCTGTCTTTCTTAATTTTCTCAAAGAGGGATTATTTTTATTATACAGTCCAGAAAGGCATAGAGCTGCTTTCCAAGGCTAAAAAGCCAGTAATCCTGATTGGTAGTCAGGCAACACTTCCCCCAGTTCCTGTCGAGGAGTTAAGGAAGGCACTCGAGGTAAAGTACCAAGCAGTCTGGCTTAGTGGAGAGATTTAGGTGTAGGAGACACTGAAGGTAATGTACCAGGCAGTCTGGCCTTGTGAAGAGATTTAGGTGTAGGAGAAACTGAAGGTAATGTACCAGGCAGTCTGGCATAGTGAAGAGATTTAGGTGTAGGAGAAACTGAAGGTAATGTACCAAGCAGTCTGGCATAGTGAAGAGATTTAGGTGTAGAAGAAACTTGAGGTAAAGTACCAGGCTGTCGAGCTCAGTGAAGAGATTTTGGTGTAGGTTTAGTTACAACATTTGTAAACAGATATGAAAAGTATTAACATATAGTTCCTGTGATTCTGTGATGGTGACCTATTCAAAGACAATAAGAAATGTCAAAGTACAGCATTGTAGAATTGACAGTAAGTGTAACAGGACTGTGAAATGCTTTATATAAATATACTAAATACAGAAATGATATACTAAGTATGGCCAGTTTTGGCTTATTTTGATTGTAAGAAAATATTTTAAAGAATTAACAAGTAAATTAAGATTTCAGTGATAATGGAAGTCAAGAAAATACATCTGAATTATCTGTGAGGATGTGTATCTGTTGTAGGATATCGGAGTGCCCTGTTTCCTTGGAGGTATGGCAAGGGGACTTCTAGGTAAAAACAGCGCAATACAGGCACGACAGAAGAGGGGCGAAGCTCTCAAGGAGGCTGATGTTGTCATCATGGCAGGTGGGACTACTAAAATGTTAAAACAATATGTCATCATTGTAAGATTTACTGACAATTAATATCGTTATGGCAGGTCAGACTACTTAACTGTTTAAACAATATAGGTCATCATTGTAGGGTTTTATTGGCAAGTAATATCATCATAACAGGTAGGACAACTTAAATGTTTAAACAATGTCAACATTGTAGCTTTTCACCAACAAATAATGTCATCATAAAAGGTAGGGCTACTGAAATATCAAAAGATGTCATCATTGTGGGGTTTTATCAATAAAAAAATGTCATCATGACAGGATGGACATCTGAAATGTCAAAAGATGTCATCATTGTGGGGTTTTATCAATAAAAAAAATGTCATCATGACAGGTAGGACAACTGAAATGTCAAAAGATGTCATCATTGTAGTATTTTGTCAATAAAAAATGTCATCATGACAGGTAGAACAACTGAAATGTCAAAAGATGTCATCATTGTAGGGTTGTCCTGACAAATAAAGTCAACATGGCAGGAAGGGCATTTAGCCATGCAGTACATACAGGCAATCTGGCTCAACTAAAGAGTTATACCATAAAGACTTATTCTATGATTGTAGGTTCTGTAGCAGATTTCAGGTTGGGTTATGGAAGGGTATTGAGCAGGAAGTCCAAGATAATTGCCATCAACAGAAGCAAAGACCAGCTGTACAAGGTAGGGGACATCTAAATCAAGATTTGACATTGTAACTATTGTAGTTCGTATAATTTATTTTAGTCTCCTGCAAGTTACACTTTACGGTGTTAGAACTGGAATATGTAATTAATGTCATATTTTTGTCATTTATGAGCAGGAATTGAAACTATGTAAATGTTTCTTAATAAATGTTGCTAGTTCAATATACCACACTGTAACCTGATCAGTCCTTTATTGGTGTATCATCTAATGTGGATGTCAGGTCTAATACAGCAAAGGTTGCTAATCATGAGACTTCTATTTTTGTTATTTTGGTAATAAAATTTGCAAACAATAGACACTTGGGAATGAATTTAAACAGATAACCAAACTTGTACTGTAAAATCATTCATCAGTGATTTATTTTCATTGATTTTATGGAAACTCTCAATAAATAAATCAGTATGTACATGTACTGTTGAAATAAGTATAACTAGATTAATTGAGCTGTATTTATCCATAAAATCAAGAGTCCACAAACTGAGCACCTCAGAAGTATATGATTTTACAACAGTCTGTATTTTGACCTCCAAATAACACCTTTAATGCTCAAGCCTTTTGTCAAGATGTGAAAATTTGAATGTCAACACATTTGAGTAACATGTACATTTTCATTGTGACTGACAGAACTCTGACATGTTCTGGAAGCCGACAGTGGCAGTAGAAGCTGATGCAGCAAGCTTTATCCTGGAACTTTCAAAAGGGCTGAAAGGGTACAAGTGTGATCAAGACTGGCTGCAAAAACTCAAGGAGAAGGACGTTGTTAAAGAGAAAGCTAACCTGTAAGTGTTATAACCTGTCAAAGGGAAAGCTAACCTGTAAGTGTTATAATCTGTCAAAGGGAAAGCTAACCTGTAAGTGTTATAACCTGTCAAAGAGAAAGTTAACCTGTAAGTGTTATAACCTGTCAAAGAGAAAGCAGCTAACCTGTTAGTGTTATAACCTGTCAAAGAGAAAGCTAACCTGTAAGTGTTATAACCTGTCAAAGAGAAAACTAACCTGTAAGTGTTATAACTTGTCAAAGAGAAAGCTAACCTGTAAGTGTTATAACCTGTCAAAGGGAAAGCTAACCTGTAAGTGTTATAACCTGTCAAAGAGAAAGCTAACCTGTAAGTGTTATAACCTGTCAAAGGGAAAGCTAACCTGTAAGTGTTATAACCTGTCAAAGAGAAAGCTAACCTGTAAGTGTTATAACTTGCCAAAGGGAAAGCTAACCTTTAAGTATTATAACCTGTCAAAGAGAAAGCTAACCTGTAAGTGTTATAACCTGTCAAAGAGAAAGCTAACCTGTAAGTGTTATAACCTGTCAAAGAGAAAGCTAACCTGTAAGTGTTATAACCTGTCAAAGAGAAAGCTAACCTGTAGGTGAAGATTTACATACTGTTTAAGCCGTGAACATTTGTATTTCATGATTTTTTAAAATACATCTACAATCTATAATGCAACACATAGATTTTAGTTTTCTTTTATTATTAAGTAACTTACTTCTATATTTAGGGAGAAGTCCACAGAGGTAACTGACGTCCATCTTAATCCCTTAAAGGTCCTTCACATCACAGAGGAAGTGATGGGTGATGACACTGTGATGGTGGCAGATGGCGGTGACTTTGTTGCTACTGCCTCATACATCCTAAGGTAAAAAATCTATTTTCCTTTATTGGTACAGTTAAACCTGTCTAAACTAAACTCAATGTGTAGCCTGTCTTTATCAAATAACATAAGAAAACTGTGAACCGAATGTCTTAGTGAAATCAGTCCTACTCAAACACCAAGATACACCTTCTCGTAACTGAACATTAGAATTCAATCTCTCTAAACTGAACACCAAAATTCAACCTGTCTGAACCAAATACCAAAATTATCAAATCTCTCTTAACTGTACTTTACAATGAAACTTGTCTGTCATTAATTGAAGTATATTTTGATTTTGTGCATTGCAGGCCCAGGGGACCTCTTCACTGGCTTGACCCTGGAGCATTTGGAACTCTTGGTGTTGGAGGTGGTTTTGCATTGGGAGCCAAACTGTGTCGCCCAGACTGTGATGTGTGGATTATCTATGGGGATGGTTCCCTTGGATACAGCGTGGCAGAGTTTGACACCTTCACGAGACATAAAGTAAGACAGTCAAGATTGTCCAGTAAATGGTCGCCATGTTGTAATTATATTTATTATAAAACTGGGAAGAAATGATAGACATTTGTATATTTTACACTAAATAGTTATGACATGTAGATATTATATCTTTATAAAGAGGAAGCATGTTATCTTGGAGAATATTCACAGACTGATAGTTAAACTTTACCAGTAACATCCTAGACAGTTCTAAAGGGAACAAATACATGGGGACTGGCTGTAGTAGAGTAGCCATGTCAGTTTGAGTAATGTTAAAGTTATACCAGCTGTGTACTATTTATTGATCAGTCTGTTGATATTAAAACATTTTGGTTTGTGTGTTGTTGATTACTTTGGTATAGTATGTATGTAAGGCAATAGCAGATAGATACAGTTACCATGGTATCATATACAGTAATTGTATATATTTTCTAATAAAATGTACTAGAGATGACGCAGTCCTTGACTATTGGACATAGAGTCCCATCTAAAGTGAAATGTTGTGTTCTTTTACAGCATTTTAAAAAATATCCTAAAACTTTTCCCAGTCATATGATTCTAACAGATTGTGTTTTATTCAACAGCTGCCAGTGATTGCGTTGGTTGGTAATGATGCTGGCTGGACACAGATAGAGCGAGAACAGGCACCTATGTTTGGTAGCAGTGTTGCCTGTAAACTGGCTGTGAGTTAATTTTGATATATAATCTGATTCTGCTATTAATGTAATAGATAAATCATATTCCCATTATGGATAAAGATGCATGATACCCATGAATTTTGTTTCCAAAAAATTACATTATAAACTAGATAACTGAGAAATTCTGTATAAAAGATGGTTTCATTTTTACTGTTTGAAGTGATTATTGATATATGGAGCAAATATTAAAACATCCTATCACAAGAGACTTTTTTCAAATTATACATTTTATAGTTCAAAACTTGTGATTATAGTGGTATACATATTGAGAGGATAAAAAAAGAAGATATGTCAAAATAAGCATGAAGATTATTTAACATGAAATGAAAATTAAATCAAATACAGTTTTTGAATAAAAAATACAAGCTATTCTTTTGTGAATATACTGATTTTATTGTTTTATTCAGTTCACTGATTATGAAACGGTTGCCATTGGATACGGTGGAAAGGGCCTACGACTGGATAGATCAAATGAGGACAAAATTAAAGAAATACTGGAGGATGTAGTGAAGCAGAGTCGAGATGGACATAGTGTATTGGTGAATGCTCTGATAGGAAAAACCAATTTCCGAGAAGGCAGTATCTCTGTATAATACTTCTTGTGGCTGATTTCCAGGCTGAGACACTGATTGGGTATCTATATGAAGATAAAGACATTCCTGTGATATTTTTAGAACTTTTCTATTTCAGTCTACAATGGACGGCAAGACACACTAAATAGCAATGATGTGGATGATTAGTGATATTTTCTTAATTTACTTGCCCCTGGGGTGGGATTGTTTTGTATACTTTGTTGTAAGGGGAGGTAGAGCATGTGAGAATCAAATGTCAAGAAAAGTGTAGGGGAAGCTTACTAGAGAACTTGATCATAGTATTGATAAAATGATTTAGGGTTCATTGTGGCAATGTCAATGTTTGTATACTTGAGGGTTCATTGTGGCAATGTCAATGTTTGTATACTTGAGGGTTCATTGTGGCAATGTCAAGGTTGTATACTTGAGGGTTCATTGTGGCAATGTCAGTGTTTGTATACTTGAGGGTTCATTGTGGCAATGTCATTGTTTGTATACTTGAGGTTTCATTGTGGCAATGTCAGTGTTTGTATACTTGAGGGTTCATTGTGGCAATGTCAGTGTTTGTATACTTGAGGCTTCATTGTGGCAATGTCATTGTTTATGTACATGTACGTTAGGGTTCACATTGGCAGTGCCATTTTATACGCATGTCGAAAGACAACGTATTATGGTATGGCGCTGTCCGTCCATCTGGCGTCCGTTGTAAACTTTTATTTGTCCGGAGATCTCCTCCTACATTTTTCAGCCGATCTTTATGAAACTTGGTAGGCTTAATCACCATGATATGAAGTTGTCTTGTCCTGAATGGGGTTTTGATTAGACAATTTGAATAAGAGTTATGCTCCTTTGTTTATTTCACTTAGAAATCTTGTCCTTTAAACAACTTCTACTCAATAATGACTTGACAAAATGCTTTGATATTTGGTTTGAATATTCCTAGGATGAAGTCCAACAAAGTATGTGCAAAAAAATGACCTTGACTAATATTCAGGGTCACAGGGGTTAAATTTGTTAAATTATTTAAACAAATTCTTCTCATGAACAAAAAGGCATAGAGGCATGATAATTGGCTGGTATGTTCCTAGGATGGAATGTGACAAAGTTTACAAAAATAAATTACCTTGACTGATATTCAAGGTCACAGGGGTCAGATTTGTTAAAACATTGAAACGACTTCTTCTTATGAACTGAAAGGCCAAGAGGCATGATACTTGATGAAGCATGACAAAGTTTGCAAAAAAGAAATGACCTTGACTTATGTTCAAGGTCACAGGGGTCAAATTTGTTAAAACATTTGAACTACTTCTCATGAACTTAAAGACCTAGAGACAAGATATTTGTTTGGTAAAAATATACCAGGTGAACGATGCAGGCCCATTTTGCCTCTTGTTAGGTTGTATATTATCATAATGCAGCATGGATGTGAAAAGAATAAATCAACTGTAACCATCACATTTTGAGAAGAATATATAATAAGATATCTATTTCTCAATAGATATGAAGATATGTTATATAAAGATATTACGTAACACACAAGCTTTATACATAAAATCCATTTATTGTACAATAAAAGTAGTCACAATTACATATCATATCCTTAGTGTAGATGGAGAGAAGTCAGTTTGCTTTACTGTCCTGGACCTGTGGGAATTTCCTTGTGGTCAAGCATTACAGTGTCTGTCTGGAGACGGCAGTGGTCACAAGGGTTTTTCATTACTCATTCCTATTACATAATTATCTGGTTTGTTAGTGAATTATGTACCTATATAGATAAACTTTTTTGTCCACCTCTAAATGTTCAAAGAACAAACTATTCTATATGCCTGTATTTACATATGTACTTTTTGTAAAAGTCTTCTCTATATGTTATCAAAGAAATATTTGAAATATGATTTTACATTTACCTTTTCTGTGTGTATGTGATTCTACCACTTCTGCATATTTAAGATACGTATGTCCTACCTGGAATACCAATAAGGGATAAATTTATCCTACATGGTGCACTCATTGACCTTTGTTATCATGTTGTCAGTCACAGGAAAGTCTCAACTGTACATTTTAACCCCATAATGGAAAGCTCACCAAAATATTGTGTAACTGCACTTAGCAATCTTGCTATCAGTAATTGAAATCATCTCATGAACAAAAGGAATTGAATTTTCACAAAATGATGTGCTTTTCTTTGAATTTTACATATATCAATAGACCATACATGTATTAGTTTTTTCATGTTCTTTCTAGGTGTGGTGTTATTTATGTTACTGAGAAACTTTTCATGATATTAACATATGAAGATATATTAATGTTTCTGTTTTATAGATGTTGTTGGGGTGTAGTGAAGATGTAAAAGTGGAGAAAGGAATGAATTATCACACTATGTGGAATTGGAAATGCTACCCATTAGTATATACATTTGAGTTCAGATTTTCAAATGTAATCCTTTTCCACATACACCTACCCGTATATATTACTTAATTTCACGTTGTTTTAGTACAAGATTATCATCAAGCAGTAGGTACTATTTCATCTGCAATGGCTAAAGAACGATACATCTGTTATGACAAGTTTTAAGATATTTGAATTAGGAAGTACCAGTTCCACACAGAAAGAAGGACAGAGTGCTCTCCCTGTAGTAACATCTACCAATTTTTTCGCAGAGGAGTGAGAATGCAGAAATATTAGACAAGTTGTGGAGTGTTGATTTTTATGTTGTAAAGTAGGGTTGGACTTTGCATTTCTCATGTAAATTTAATGTCCATTTCCACGCTTAACTTTTAGAGAAGATTAATGGCCTTCACTCATTTCTATTATTTTCTACACTATAATGCATCATGTCACAGAATTAGAGAATGGTTTGAGATTAAAACCTTTTTTTTTTCAAATTTATTGAATTTTTGTTCTTAATCATGGTAATTAGCTGAAAGTTTCTAAATGTACATGGATATTGGAATGTTAGTACGTCTGTTTTCTGGACTGAGAATCCCTCCTAGTCATTTTAACTGAACTATTGTCCATATTTTTTGTCAGCTGTGAGTCTATTACCTCAATAATAACATTTTTCATAACAAATTCAAAACATTGCTGGCAAAAATCATCTAGTTATTAGACATGGTGTTGAATATTTATTGTTCCACACTTTATGTGAAATTTCTTACTGAATAGATTTAGGATGTGAACATACAGTGGGGACTGATGTTAATGTTTGTAGCTGGTCCTTTTATTCTTCCAACATTCAGTTTCGAACAAATTTATCAAAATACCCTGATCCATAGATGATGAGTTTTAAATAATTTCACTTGCTGGGCCGAAATTTTCCCCTTCTATTGATGTTAAGCAGTATTCTTTTCTCCTGATTCACCTGATGGTGCTTTCAAACATTTGGTCAAAGTTGTGTAAAGTAACAGTTGACAGAATGATGGACAACTGATTCTATGCCATGACTTGCTGTTTCTTTTGATCTGAAATAATGTTGAATGTCAAAGCCAACTAATACCAAAAGTAATCTTGGATTTTTAAGTCAGTCAGAATCAAGAGAATAATTTATGTGATGTTGGAGGGCTAGTGGTCCAAAACAACAAGAAAATACCAACATGTCAATACAATCATGATCCTTACTTAAATTCATTAAAACTAAGGTGCAATAATACTTCTGAAATAAATACAATTAGAATAAGACCATGTGTTCCGAAAGAGAAAGCATCTTCTGCTTCATCAACGACATCCACCATGTAAACCTTGGTGAATCCAAGTAAGTAATGCCACAATCTTAAATGAGAACAAGGTATTTAACAATGGAATCAACAAGCAAAGAAGTAGAAAAATTCTCAATCAATTTGTTCATCAGTTGACAACTTCTTGCATGAAAATTATGATAATGGGAACAGGCCTTTGAATATTGAATCAACTGTAATATGTAAACACCCTAGGTTGAGGATTGGCAATGCCACTACATAAACTACTGTAACCAGAAGGATGTGTAATGTGAAGGTATCAGAAATGACACCCTATCCATTGTTATTTATATTATTCTTATTTCTTCTACTTCCTTCTACCAGTGAGGTTTCCGGCGCATTTCTCAAACACTATTGCATGGAATTTAACAAAACTTTAAACACATATTCATACATGCAAGGCGGAGTGCAGGCCACTTGAATTTTTCCAATCAGTCATCTGAGCTGTCAGCTGTGGTCTAAATTTGGCCAAATTTTAGATATTGTCTGATTTTCGTGAAAATTGGTATATATGTATTAGGTGGCACTAGGAGCAAAATGGCGCAGTCCATTTTTCATTCTGCCATCTGGCCGGTCAGCTGTGATAAAAATTTAGCCTTATATAGGTATTGTCTGGCATCAGGAACACAATGGTGGAAGTCGTTTATGAAGATTCTTTTTTCCAAGAAGTTGTTTTCCGGCATTTTCTTCCCCATTTCGGATGGTGGACACTTCTCTTTATACCAAACTAAAAGCATCACCATTTCCTCTTTTCTGATGTTTTAAAAATTTACGTTCTCATTTCCATTCAAAATTGATGTGTTCATGTTTGGCATGACTGCAGGTCTGATTATTGTGATCATTTACTGCTGAAGGGGTCGTTTAGTGGACATTTGTACAATTAGTACTTGTTCATGGTAGTTTGATCTACAAGTTTGAGTTACAATCTACATAAATCAGCAACACATAAACAAAATGTACATGAATTTATATGTATTATAACTGACAGATTTTTATAGGTAAGCATACCATGTTGTACTAGCTGACATGTTTCCCTGCATTGCTCTGTCATTTATAATGACCATAAATACCATAATAAAAAGTATACTCCAGAGCAGTAGTATTAATAGTAGCAATTGTGAAACTACTTCAGCAATTCCTTATCTTACTTGTGTATTCTTGGAAAGTTTCAATTAAATCATTTTTTTTTGAGAAAACATGTTTCATTTTTCAAATACATAGGATTTGTCAATAATGTCTCAAACTCTAAACCAGGACAAACAAGAGGCCCAAGGGGCCTTAACGGTCACCTGAGGAATATATGTCAATAATCTGGGGATTTTAAAATGTTGCAAAAATGTAACAACACTTGTGCAGGACCAAGTGTAAAACATCTGTACCAAGTTTGAACATGACCCACACAATGGTTCTTGAGAGGAAGTCCATAATGTCTTAGCCAAACAGAGGCCAGGGTGGCCATCTTGGATTTTGAATCGCCACAAAAAGTTAAAACACTTGCCAGGACCATGTGTAGAACATTCATATCAAGTTTCCCCTTTTCCCCCCCTCCTGGGGCCACGCTCTTTTTCTTCGCAAACGTGAAACGGCTTCCCATGGGGATGCTTTGTGCCAAGTTTGGTCAAAATCCATCCACTGGTTCTTGAGAAGTAGTCATTTAATGAAGGTTTTTACATATGGCCTTTTTACACCCCTTATGGGCCCCAAAGGAGACATTATCACTTTTTTCAACATAATTTCATATGTCCTTCACTAAGGGATGCTGTCTACCAAATTTGGTTGAAATTGGTCAAAGTTGAATTTTCGATCCTTTTGAGCGCCCCCTAGTGGGGCTGTTTTTGACCCGATTTTTTTTTCATTTCACAAACTTTGTAAACCTTGCCATAAGGACCCTAGATATCAAATATGAATTTAATCTCACTGTTGGTTCATGAGAAGAAGATTTTTAAAGATTTACCTAATTTTACCCCCTTTTTCCCCCCTCCTGCGGCCCCTATTGGGGCCACACCCTTTTTCTTCGCAAACTTGAAGCGGCTGCCGATGGGGGATGCTTTGTGCGAAGTTTGGTCAAAATCCATCCAACAGTTCTTGAGAAGAAGTCATTTAAAGAAGGTTTTTACATATGGCCCCTTTTACACCACTTATGGGCCCCAAAGGGGACATAATAACTTTTTTCAACATAATTTCATATGTCCTTCACTAAGGGATATTTTCTACCAAATTTGGTTGAAATCGGTAAAAGTTGAAATTTTGACCCTTTTGAGTGCCCCCTAGTGGGGCCGTTTTTGATCTGATTTTTTTTAATTCGCAAACTTTGTAAACCTTGAGATAAGGACCCTAAATATTAAATATGAATTTAATCTGACTGTTGGTTAAAGAGAAGAAGATTTTTAAAGATTTACCTAATTTTACCCCCTTTTTCCCCCTCCTGGGACCCCTATTGGGGCCATGCCCTTTTTCTTCGCAAACTTGAAGTGGCTTCCCATGGGGATGCTTTGTGCCAAGTTTGGTCAAAATCCATTCAGTGGTTCTTGAGAAGAAGTCGAATATGTGAAAAGTTAACAATGCCCGACATACGACGCACGACGACAGACAAATCATGATGGCAATAGGTCACCATGAGCCTTCGGCTCAGGTGACCTAAAAATATAGGAAGACTTTATTGAATTGTGACCTTCAATACTTCCACCAAGTTTTTGCAAATTTGTTAAGTATAAAGAATTTTAAAGATGTATTTTTCAAGGTGATATCAACAACCTTCAATAAAACAAATTCTGAAATCTAGTCTCAATACAAACGTGTTCTGGAGAAATAACAGTAAGATTTCCAAAATGGCAGCCATCCTGAATGTGACAGGGCTTCAACTCACTAATGGATCAAATTATTGTTACTGTATTCCAATTTCTGGATGAGTAGTAACAATATTTTCAAAATGGTGGCAATGGTGGTCATCTTATATGTGACATGTCAGGTTTTGAATTCCATATCAATTTCCTTTCAGAAGGTCCACTATAGAGTTCCGGTCTTTAAATTATCAACCATACAGGAAAAGAAGTTTTGTTGAAATATTGTTCACAGACTGACAGATGCCAGACCGTTCATATGATGTCTTACGATCCTTGACCGGCAGAGCTAAAAAGAACTAGCAAGAGGCAATGTTGAAGGAAAGATTATTTATTCAACAAGGAAATCATGTCAAATATTAAACTCACACCATTTAAGTAGTATATATAAAGTAAATTAACCTTGAATTGTCCATACACTTATAAATCAATACAGGTAAAATAATTGTGAAATAGATACGAATGTAACATGGATAAAATCCAGGTATCACACATTGCTGAATATAGAATACATTGCATGCAGTATAATTCATAAATATCACAATGTAATATCAGTAAAATAGTTTTCATCAATTCTTTCTTGTATCCTGTACTGAGGATACACAATTTTTACCATCTATTGTGCTCAAAATATGTGACTCAGTAGCTGTGTGTAAATTTTTTGAGCAAAAAAATAATGACATGATGAATATAATAAATATCTTATAGAAGATTAGAGTGTGATGTTTCGATGACGGCACCATCATCTTCATACAACAAATGACCAGTGGGGAGCATACTAGCACTGACGTACGTAGTGTATGAGATGGTTTGTGTTTTAAGAATTTCTATTCTATTGATATTACCAACCTGAAGAAAATATAGAAAAAAAAAAAACAAAACAAAAATAAAAGAAGTGATCAGTTCAATCTCTTTAAAAAAAAAAAAAGATAGTGGTAATTGTCACTGAAACACTATGTTATTGTTTCTTATTTTAAGAGGACTTATTTCTACCAGGTATAGAAATCAGAGGTTGATTTTAACAAAGCATTAAAAGTCTTTCCACATGAGCTGATTCTCTATCAACAGGTAAACCAGGCAACAACCTGATAATGATCTGTAAATATTTACCAGGAAGCTCTAGATCAATTTAAACTGCTGTGTCTATATTGGAACAGGTAGAGCTTGAATTAAATATCCACTCTGATTGTACATCCAGTCCCCATCCTACAGTCACTTGTCAACTGGATCAGCTATATCTAAAATTTAAAAGCCTGTAAATTCAGTATGATCTGTTTGAACTTATGGTTATTGGCCTTCTCCACATATCTAAATATGCCCTGTGCTAGCCGAAGGCTAAGAGTGATATGCTCAATCCTGTGCCAGCTAATGAATTTAAAATATATGAAGGTGATATTATTGGACTATGACAGCAGCCAGGGTCTTAAAGTCTTTGGTAATAGGGAAAAACAGGGATAGGACCCAAACAGACTAATTACATTAAATACATCTAGGGATCCACACAGACTATGATAAACATGTCTGGGAATCTACACAGATTAACTTTAGTAAACAGGTCTGGGATACACACAGATTCACTATAGTAAACAGGTCTGGGAATCCACACAGATTTACTATAGTAAACAGGTCTGGGAATCCACACAGATTAACTGTAGTAAACAGGTCTGGGAATCCACACAGATTAACTGTAGTAAACAGGTCTGGGATACACACAGATTTACTATAGTAAACAGGTCTAGGAATCCACACAGATTAACTGTAGTAAACAGGTCTGGGAATCCACACAGATCAACTGTAGTAAACAGGTCTGGAATACACACAGACTAACTATAGTAAACACATCTGGGAATCCACACAGACCTACTATAGTTAACACATCTGGAGATTGATATTCATTAACTATAGTAAAAATGTCAGCGGATCCACACTCACTATCATATACAATTTGGGGGATCAAGATTGAAGAATTGTATGATATATTTAACACATCAGCAGATCCACGAGGACTATCATTGAAACAACTAGAACCAAGTGAAGACCAACCATAAGACTAAGAAGACCCAACCAACCATAAGGAATACAGACCTAAAAAAAATTAGGACTTAGTAGACTCAATCAACCAACCATTAGGAATACATAGACCCAACCTTAAGTAGACTCAACTAACCCACCAATAAGTAAACCCAGGCAACAACAATGACTACCAGTTAGTAGATTATAGATGGTGTGTACATGCACATCATGTAAAGTAACACATCTAGAGATCCAGAGAGGTGGACATGATTGTGACTTAAAAACTCAGAACACAAATCATTATTTATCAACTAAGCAAGAAAACTAATGATGTCTACAAATATATGTGAGAAATAATTACAGTGAAAGCCTTAATAAGAAAACACAGAGAAAGCATAATGATCATTTTTTGAAAATTTACAGAAAAGAAAGTATGGTAATATTCTATATGACATAAAAACAATTCCATGCACAAATTCTATATATTATTAACCACGTAGTATAGCTTCAAAGAGAAAACATTTTTTGTTCAGATATTTTATCAAAATCATAATATGTGGTATGAAATAAACTGTAGGAGCACTTCTAAAGAAACACATATTTTGACACACATCTAAGTATTTAGTAATTTGTTCTGTAAACACTCTAAAGAATACTTCAGCATGAGTTTCTCAAAATCATGATTTGAGAATTGAATATAATCTTCCTTCCAATTTATTCCACTGTGACTAGCTGTATCTAATTTGCCTAAGGTCTATCAGTATCTATCCTAATATCTAAAATGTCTAAAGTTTAAACTTACATTTCAAAATGTGACTAGGCATATCTAATATCTTATTTCATCAGTTGTTGTATAAACAATGATAACAGGTAATGCCCTTACGAATGATTTGGCTATACTGGAATGGAGGTATAGTGATACAGATATTACAAGTACTAAAATCTCCTACACAGGCAAGATATGGGGAATACAGAGATACTAAGAAAAGATGGAAATCTGTTGTCAGTTTCACACTCTTTGTCAGGAAATAGTTGATTCCACATATATACAGTTCCTACTTAAAAAAAATAAGCAAAGATTTTGTAAAGTTTTACCATTTTCGTTTCTGAGATAAGTAATATCTACTCTTTGAACCTACTAAGATTTGATGAATGTAAATATAAAGAGAATCTTTCAGATTATCTATTACATTGGTATAAAACAAATAAGAGTAGATTATACATTTTGTCTTGGGACATCTTAAAAACACTGATTAACAACTGTTAAACACAATTTGATCATACTTTATATCTTTGGAATGTCTTATTTTGATTAATTTAATGTAAATAAAACTCACCTTAGTTTACAAATTTTTTCTATCGTCTATATTGTGTATCTTTGCTATCTAACATGGACTTGGCACAAAATCCAAACCTCACCTTCTGTGCCTTATACATACATACTCAGAATATTGTAAGCATCACACATGAATCATGGGGTTGATAATTTGTGTCAAGACATTTGTCACATTCGTGATCTGTACCGGTGAGTTATTAATCCATGATTTACCATAATACCAGGTATCAAAGTAAGGTATGACAATTATCCAAGATGGCTGACTCTGCTCACAAATAAGCCACCTCCCTTTGTTCAGTCAATATTTTCTCACTAGGGGACAGTGTTTATTTGTGTTAAGATATGGTAAGTGTAATAAGTGTACCATACATATGATATATTTCTATCTAAACCATATACCATTCAAACTAAAGGTGTGACCGTGAAACATTAATTATCTGTTAAGACATGTAAAACTGTTTCAAATCAGCTAGAACAAATATGAAATGAAAGCAACAGATTTATCAGTGGCAATATCAGGCCAGTAATCCATTAAATTGATTAACTCTCTCTAGAGAATTAACCTTATTTTGTTTGGAAATTTGCATAGTGCTGTCTCTGCTTTATGCATGGCAAACAAAACTGAATTTGAGACAGCATAATCATGATATACCTTGACATATCTTAAAACCAGGACTGTTGGGGCATCCTTTTTCTAAAGACTAATTCATTCTGATTTTTACAATTAAAAGCTCAATAACTCAAAATATGATAAACATTTCAGGGTCACTCTATTGTTCCTGACATCAGTGTCCTGACATATCCGGACAATCAGAGTCATTGTCATCTTTAACAATTGTCATCCCAGTTAGACAAATATTTATCATTTCAATACAGAATTTATCTACAAAAGTTTAATAAAATATCATATTTTAAAAACCAAGATTTGGACACAATGAATATTTACTGTACAGAATTCTTTGTTACAAATTGAATGTGCTGACTATTGATCTTTTGTGTCAAGCAGACCATGTGAGGTAAATCCAACAAAGTAACAATCTTTAGAGCTAGTTAAATCATACACATAACTGGTAGATACTTTTGATTTCTATTTTGGTCAAACGTTTTTCACACTTAAATGAATTCCCGAAGTCCTTACAAACAATTCTATTGATTACATTTAGTTTCATTAATTTAAACATAAATTTCAATCTTAATGTCACAAATTTTAACTACAATACTTTTTTCTACTAATTGTTTTTTGTTTAATTAATTCCAACCTTCATAATAAAAATTTATATCAAAATCTAAAATTACAAAGGACTGATTACCTTGTTTACTGTAATTACACAAAATGCACAGATATAAAGCACCATCACCATCAATAAATCAGACATGTTAATTATGTGCTGGTGGATAATGTACATCAAAATGTAAAAAGAGGGCAAAATTGGCATATATGAATTAATTGACAGCACCACACACAAGTTATATAATTATATATATATATAAGTCAATATATTAAAAGTAACAATATGTAGGTTAAGTCATAAAACTATTTTTAGGAACAGAAGTCTAGAAATTATTATTAGTATACACAGAATCCAAGATTTACTAACTACAATTAGGAAAAATGACCATACACTAACTATCATATAGAATAGGTATTTCAACATGTGAACTGTCAGCAATGTTTTTAACAATTATTGATTTTTAAGATTCGATTACCAATTAATTATAGATTTTTTCCATTTCTTCAATAAAAACAGCAAGAAAATTATCATCACTTTAAACCAACACAGTTGATTTCACACATACGGTCAGTGAGACAATGCCTAGCAATAGGTAGAATCAAGAAGACAAAAAATTCTGTAATCAACCAATCATCTTATTTTATGGAAATTTTCTACTAATAACTACTAATTTCATACTTCCATAAGGAGACATTGTAAATGTTACATATAAGTTAAAGAATTTGAAAAACTAGCATCAACCCAGTAAATAGGAACTAATTATGAAGGTAAACATTAGTCTACCCCCACCGGTATATATTACTTAACACCAACATATCAAAATTATATACCAATAATAATTCCTGATAATTTTCAAGACTAGTGATAGACTACATATTACTGCATAACTAATACCGGATTTTAAATATCTGCTGCATGAAGCATGAGACAGACACCCTTTTTCTCCGACGTTTTACTAATGTATCTGGATACCAAAGATTGATTCGTCCCCTTGAGGATAAGAGGGGGATCTCAACCCAAGGAGAAAGATCGCAAAAATACTAGTTTGCTGGGTTTTTGCAGCTTTAACTTTTCCACAGGTTGATGATGAATAAGATTTTTTCTAATCCTGCTGATTAAGTGACTCTCATGATACAGAACTGTTCCATTTAATGTAATATAACATAGATAAGGCAACGGTTTGAACAATGTTACTTTCAGAAGAATTTCTTGAAATCTCTTCATTCATTTGTTTGTTTTATCATAAAAAAAAATTGATTAAAATTGTTCTTTTGCACCAACATGATTGCCATCATCCTAGGCTCCTTGTCTTTTCATACATTAATAAGTAAAAAAATTGATGCCATATAAATTGAACAAAAACAATGGACAGAGCACAATAAGTAACTATACCAGTGTCCTAAACCCTGTCATTCCACATAAGTGAAATACCACATAACCAAGACATAAGTAATAATGATTATGTTAGAGTTAAAGTTATCAGTTACCTCCAACCCACCCCACACTCCTCCTCCTCCTCATTCAAGATAATTTATTGTTTGGCCAGAGTAAAAAAAGACAACAGTGGCGAGCCTTTTGTTTAGATAAATTTTGTAAAAACTCTAGATCATTATCCCCTCCCCTTTTTTTAAGTTGCTATGTGTTGTTGGCAGTGATGATGTATTGCAGTGTACAGAATTCAGTGGAACAGAACACAATTTTTACATTAACTCAATACCTTTTGAACAATGGACAAGAGGAAACCTTATCAAAGACAACACAAACCAATTTTATACTAAATTTTTTTTTAACATAAATATGAAAATCAACACTGTACTTCCTGAAATTTCATGCAAGGTGTACAAAATACCCATTCCAAACATCAGTTTTCAAAACAATAAACAAACAAAACAAATCACAAATCAGCATCACAGAGTGTAAATGCAAAAAAAGGTAACAAATAAATGATGGTAGCCTACACATGTAGGGATCTCAGAGGTATTGGTAGGAAATATATTGCGTAAATCTGTATAAGGTTTACACATATGTCTTAACATGGTAAAAACCATCTTTACATACCTGTGCCCTATCATATAATCACCTGTATTTTGCAAGTCACAGGTATATAGTATGTAACCATACTTCATGATTTGCGTAGATTTAAATTGAATCAGTAGTATCACAAAAATGCACCTGACGCAGAACAATGAAGACAATGCATAGACTAGTAAGAGCTGTGGTCATACACACACAAAATCTATAAGAATAGCATTAATCTTTGTATACAGTTTGTCATCTCATGTCTTTATATTAAACTTACTATCACAATCTGGTTTCCCCTTTTTTATATACATTCATATTCACTTAGAATTTCAAGAACCATGAAGATATGTTTCCAACAAAAGACTTTGATCAACAATCATTAAAAGATTAGACTCTGAAATGTAAAATCAAAACAACAAAACATTAGCTTGAATATTAAAAGCAAAATAAATAAATGCAAAATGACCTTTATACAGTATCAACTTAACACAAGCATTTTGTTAAATTACAGTTACTGCAAAGGTAGATGATATCCAGTCATAATGAATCTCATTAAAATCGAATCTCTCATTTCACATCATACCTCATAACATGTAACAAGTTGTATGGTGTGAAGAAGTGAGAGATCTGATTTCAATTAATTACATCGCAATCAAAAGAAGATGGAGTCCATGCTTAGTTAATACAGCCATTAGAACTACTAACATTAACGATTCTCTTTACATTAACATGTGCCTATGTCATTGCATAGAAAAATACAACTCATTAGACATTCACCACTTAATTCAATAAAATAATTACACAAACTATTTCTTTTTAATTTGTTATTATAAATCTTATTTCAATAATTAACACAGTGATAAATAAGAATAAAACAAAAATTCTTGCACTAGAACTTATACATATATATATATATACCTTTATTGTGATGTGATTACCAGTGTTTAACCACAGACTAACCTACTTAACTTGCTACACTCTGACTAGTTAATTATGTCATTGTTTAACCACAGACTGACCTGATTAACTCGTTTTAGTCAGAGTAGTTAATAATACTAATGATTAACTTAAGACTAACCTGATCAATGACAATGAATAGTTATTATATATACCAGTAACAAACAGACAAAATAATGTTACTATTTAACCTCACATGCATTTCCATCAATATTGAATTTGTTGATCAAAATACTCATTAAGAAGTTCAGTCTTGAGTTAAATGTTAAACAATTCATTAAAACCATATCATACTGTACAGCTGTAAAGCCTCATACTGATTTAGCATTTCTACCCTTCTTTTCAAACTGACTGATGAAAAATTATTTCATGTTTAGCTAAAATATCTCTGTTTTAAGAACCAGGAGAAATCTGATGTATCATACAAAACATTGATCAGAAATAAAGGAAATATTGAGCCTTTTGTTTTGAGAAAAGTTAAACCAGTGTTCATCTTCTTTTTTAGGATTAATTAGAACAGCTATCTACAAAGTCCATTGCTTCTCTTCACACACTGTAAGATATTTGCACCACCAGACCATCCCTTTAGGTCTTGTCTATTGTACCTTTCAAATAAAAATATGACTAGGGATAGTGGCACCTTTGTTACCACTTGGTTATTTATTAATGCTGAGTAAATGGTTATAATGTAACACACATAAATGCCTATCAACAATATAAGTTGGGTGGGAAATGTTATAACTTCTGTTAATATTTTTTTATTACCTACCTGAAGTTGGTGGAAATTTTATATAGACTGTTAAAAATACAAGCTTTGAGTAAGAAAATAAAAAAACAATTTCCTAGGATAATGTTAAATAATGCTGAGACTGTCCATACATTTCCCATTTGATTATAAACTAGTTATTTCAAAATTAGCCAACGTCTAAATAATTTAAATTACATTCACCGGGAATGTTTTAAACATATTATGACTGCAATATATTTCTAGCCTTTCCATAACACCTCTAATCCAAATCTCTAATAATCTTTTATGGCATGCAGAATTATAAAAAAAACTTATCAAACTTGATACACAGAACTAATCAAGACTTCTTGAAAAGTTAAAACTACTAAACTTTGTTAACAAAAAAAGGGGAGAATGCTGTAATAAAAATCAAAACTAGTAATTTTATGGCAATTTGAAAAATTTTGGTGGATAACATACCAATGAAGAGTTCAGGTTTGTCCTCCGAGGAATCAGAACCAGCAAAGCTTGCATAAGTTGGTGGCGTGACGATGAATATCATAATTATACACAACGAGGGACTCTCAACAATACGATAAATATAACCAGTTAAAACAACAAGGACAAACTTCAGCCTCAGAAAATATATACGGAACAAGGGAATTTGTCGTGAACATCTTCCACCATACAACATCAGAGTAAAGTCTTTAACATTCATAACAATCAAAGCCGTCAACAATGGAAATATGGAAGATTGCTTGTGATATAATACTATGTGATCCAATTTTCTTCATTTGAAGAAAAAGGAGCTGTTGAATTATATATTGTTTCATCGGCTTGCATGACTGTATTCTATTCCTATTAAATATATTAACTACTCTATTGCTTTTTACAGGAATATCTGATATCATAATATCAAAAGATGTCTATATGACTGATCTACCATCATTACGCTTTTCTGCATTACAATGCATGGTTACATCTAACATGCAGGCTGACATCTCTATGAGAGAGGTCACATCAAGTCAACAATAGCAAACATTTTGAGATTTTGCACTAAGCTTATTGATTATATCCGAGAGCGAACAAAAATACCAGACATATTGCCTCTAGCTAGATATCATGTACCTGCTATATATCAATTAAATGGAAGTTTCTTTTTTTTTTAAGTTAATTTCTTCATATTTATCCGTACAGGATGAACTTATCTACTGACAAGTAAATTTGTGAGTGCACGATTAGTGTAAGGTAAGAGTTAAAGTTGATTTTATGTGTTTAGAGATTCACATAAACATTGTAATGTTGATTCCCCTGAATCAATTGTGGTAACTATACTTGTCCAATAATAACTTATTAACATAGCTTTTATCTCTTCCTTTAGGGATTTGAAGATCCTGATGATTCATCTCACAAAACATCAACTTTTTCTTTCACGTGGTTTTGACAGGGCATGACTTTTGACCTGTTCAAAGGTTAATAGGTCGTGATCCAGGGATGTTTAATCTCCAGTCATACTCATTGTATTTTATGTTCACTCTTCCGACACTCTGTAATTTTTGCAGGATGACATGGGCACGATCTGCTTTACTTTTCTCTAGGTATGGCATGGTCCATCTAAAATCAGAAAATATTATATTACCAACATGGAGTCATGGACATAAGATAATTCTGCTAAACTTTCAACTTTATAAGTTTCTTGGCTTTATTTCTCTGGAAATTTTAACTACAAGTCCCCATGTACTTCTCTCTTCAATATTGATACATCAATGGGAAGTGCTTCATGAAAATCTGTAACACTAACATAATACATGGACTTACTTGATGACATCGACCTCTGTCGTACCAAAGTCCAGCCTGTACCACTGAAAAATGCGGGAGAGCCAGATTTCATCCACCTCATTAAACATGGACACCTCCTGTATGCAGAAGCTCTTGGTAGCAGAGTCCAGGGCAGTATCAATGTTAGCCTCAGTGTAAACATTAATAGCTGGACAGGACTGGTGAGAATTAAAACAGAATGTTAAGTACCTTTATAATCATCCAGGATCATAGACATGTAGCTAAAGTTTAACAGAGTAAACAGAATGTTAAGTACCTTTATAATCATCCAGGATCATAGACATGTAGCTAAAGTTTAACAGAGTGTATCTACTGTACCAGTAAACAATAAAAAGGTTGTACTCTCTGGATCTATTAATAGTTTACACCATGTTTAATCCTACGGACATGCTTCTTATCAAAAATTTGAAAATTCATTAATTTTGTTATTTCAACTACAATACACTTACCACTGCTCCACAGACCAGAGCAAAGTGAATGCGAGGGTCTAGTTGTTTTAACGCATATACAAGTCTGGGGTCATCAGCTTTGAAGGGCTTGTCTGTAGTGGCAGGGTGTGGTCGGTTACCTGTCCGTAAATTACAATAGAGATTGTAAAATAGAAACCAGGATACATCAAAATCATCTTTGTCTACAAGTCAAATTCACCAACAGATCATTTTTTCTTACTGTTGGCAAAAATTAGGGTTCTAAGTGACGAAGAAAAAAATGATCATTTCATGTTCTTGGTAAATCTCTGCCTACATTTGACTTTAATTTGAAATTAGAGAGGAATGAAAATTATGGCCTAGGACCGAAAAAATAATTTTTGAATATCAATACAATGTTCAATACTGATTTTTAAAGATATGATTGCCTTAGTTAGTATCCAAACACAATTTTAAAATGCATCAGGGAAATCAATGCAATGTAATGGCGTTACCTCTGAGAATGCCATGTTCCATGTTATCAAGGCTGTAAACATGCTTTCCAATCTTGTAGCATGTTCTTTTCCAGAAATGACTGATGTCAAGTACTGAGTTGGGCAGGGTGTCCAGTACACTAAGGCCGTGTATAGTCAAAGCATTATATAGATCTACAGGTTAAGGTGATAATGTCTAGGAGGCAACAATATTACATAAACTTTTCAGTTTACTTCACAATATCAGCTGATGACTGGATAGAATGCTTGTCTAATGTGTAAAACAGTTGTCAAACAAAGTTGTTAGCAAATTATAGGGAAACTGTCAGGTAAATGAAACCGCAGTCTCTCAAAAACAAGCATCATTATAGTTTAAACAAAAGCTTCAGTGCATTCTTTTCCTAAGTCAGTTTTTTGTGTATATATCAACAAATCACGATTTATTCTATTATTGTCAAACAAATTTGAAGGGTAAGGGTTCTAAACATGTCAAAGCTGGTTTTTGTACTCTCAGACAGATTTTAAGGACAGGAGTCCTAAACATATCTTTTTTTTTCGTAACATCGGATAGGTTTAATTGTACAACAATGATTAATTTGGCAATGGTTAGGAATTCAACAAATAGCAGTAACCATATAGTTTGACAGGTAAAGGATACTGATAAAGAAGACTTTTTTCTGTGAATCTGTCAGTTCTGACAGATCAACATTATGCAGCTGAGCAAGCTCCTCCTTGTATGCAGTGAAACTTGGAGAATCTTTGATCTTGGAATAGTCTACGCCTTTTCCATCCTCCTGCATACACTCACCCTTCAATCTAAAAAGGTATTCAATAAACATTAGAAATACACAGAGCTAGTCAGAATTCCTCCCTATACAAAATTATAGGATTTTAGTGACCCTGCCAGGGTTGGCATTAAAGCTCTGTTTTATAAGATTTACAACAGCATGATATACATTATGTTGTAACAAATAATAAATCAATTAAAAGATAAAACATTTTTTTCTTGCATATATATCAAAGCAATCACACAATGTAAATGGAGTATTTCCACTCATTTTTCTATACATCTTCCCTTTCCAGTATATTTTGCTATGACTGCCACTACAAAATCTCTCTCGTCTTGTCTTGTAACTCTACCAAAAAGTCAACTATTGCAAGATTGGTAGCAACAGTACGTTTACAAGCACATGGTGCAAGTGAATGTATGAAAATTTTAGCTATCTACCTGTCTCATACAGTACAAAATTTTTAGCGAGAAAATTTATCATATGCTTAATTAAGTTAAAGTAAATGACATTGATACAATTGTACCATGGGTCTTATCTCCCGGTCCAATCTGCCAGGGAATACAAAAATTCATGATAAGTTGTACTGGATTTCTCTACCATGTAATTGTAAGGAATACTTGTAAATGTTGATGCATGCGATTTTTTCATTCTTAAAAAGTCACTTCATACATTTAACTTCAGGTAGGACTGTACAGGAAGAAAAGTGATAACAAGCCATATTTTAAAGATGGATGCCATGGCAGCCATCTTTAGCGTGGAGTGAGTCTCAATTTCAGATACCACCAACTTTGGATTAAACACAAGTCATCAGTGGAAATCCTGTCTCAATATGATTTTTGATCCTAGAGAAGTATAGTAATTGATAACAAGATTCATTTTTGTGGATCCAAATTTCTTTTAGGACAATCTGAGGACCATACATATTTGAGCTGAAAAGAATAGCAGACTTGGTATTGGAATACTTGTTAAATGTATTCAGATGGTATTCAAATATTCAAATGTTTATTTCAATGAAGTAATTTTTCATATACTCAACTTGGTACTAGTTATTTGAACACACAATGTTGCTTGTTATGAATGGAAAAAAAGTATATTCAAAGTTTTATGTTTAATTTTAGTAAAATAGATCTTCAATAAGAATACGAAGGAACTAGTAGTAAAACAAGACCCAAAGTAGATCATATGGCAGAAGTCTACCTGAGGGCCTAGCTGCTCAACTTTGTTTTGACATCAAAACAGTAAAGACGGAAGGATAAGTCAAGGTAATAATTTTGTTTTGATGTTAAACTCATTCTGAGCTGATTAATAAATCTGATCCATTCATTTGCATAATGACTGTGTAACATGTACCTATACACTGAAATAAAACAACAGTACAAATGGCTCACATGGTGAATTTTCTTTTGTCAGTTGGACACTTGTAGCCAAGTATGCTAAACTTTTAAAGCAACTTTGTTATTCTGACAATACATTATGATATCTTAAGTGAAAAGATGTTTGGCCCATGATAACTAGCCATATTTGATGTTCTGTCTTTGTGTGTTAAAACTACACAGCATCTTTAGATCCAATCTGAATTCAACTGGAAATATTTCCAAACCCAGTTTGAACATTTGTCAGCATTTGCAATAAGGGCCAGGGTAGGTTAATCTTATTAAATATTAAAATACCATTTCACTATTTACATTTTCTGGAAATAAATATTCTTTTGCAACTGTTTGAACATTCATTTCAGCTCTAATACATGAACATACATGTAAACACAACCAATGCATTTACATGTACAGGAATGTTTTTGGAGTAGTGATTTAATACCAATTTATTTGTTAATGGTTGATGGATGCTGAAGAACTTTAGCAAGAAAATCTATACTGAAAACTTATTTATCTAATGGAAAGCACCACTTATGATGTTGGCAAATGTAAAAAAAAAATGCAAATGTGTAAGGGAGAGGGCTTGCTAAGGCATTGCCTACTAACCAATTCCCAATAAATCTTTTCAATTTAGTAAAATGTGCAAAACGAATGGATGAATGAAATGCTGTGCAATAACTGATTTGGTTCAAATAAAGTGAGAATAACAGATAAACGGCCCATGCATATACAATTTCAAGAATCTAAAATAAGGTGCCACCTTGGACATATTTTGTGATATAACAATACTTTGACACATTTCTTATTCAGCTTATCACTGATTCGGTTTACCTGGTAGGAATAAATAAACTTATTTGCAGATAATATTAATAGATTTGATTATTTCCTGGAAATATTTGTGATTCAACACTGAACAGTCACGCATTATTTATTACTTACAACTTAGTCACATGCTATCAATTATCTTTATACAAGAAATAATCAGCTTCAGAACATTATCTCTTGTTGCCACTCACTGCAAAAAAGACTTTTATCTCTTTTAAAATCGGTTCTGGTGACTTACAAATTCAATAATTAAAATGAGTTTTTGATTATTTATTTTATCAGTTAAAATTCCGTGTACGATCTTGAAGTGAAGAGGTTACTTTAAGCAAAAAGGTGACCCGAGATGTTTTGACATAGCCCGCATGAAGTCACGTTTGGTTGTCAAAATGTTCTGCCTACCTTAACATTAATTTCTGAAGTTTCTGGGATAACTTTGTAGCGGAGACACTTTCCGTGCCTTTCTTGGGAGGAGGATCAGGGTTGAGTATCATAATCTCATCTTTTCCTGTTGTCGCCATGTTGATTTTAATGATGTGAGCTAGCGTCATGTTGTTGACAGAGGAGTTTCGTATATTGAAAATCAAACGATTTTATAATACGCCTCCAACCCGATTACAAATAACCGCTGTTTAAAAGACATAATATTTAATTGTTTAAAAGGTGTGACGTTAACCATTGGACATGTCCAGGTAAAATTGCGAAATACGAAAAAATTGAAGGTGCGGTAGCTTTCGCCTACGCGGTTGAAACGGTTCGTCCGCCTTATTAAACTTGCAAGAGAAAAGCAAGATAAAGATCGACAATTTCGTTTATTCCGAAGACTCCAATCGATTGCCGATTTTGTTGATTACTAATAACCACGTATGAGAACGATGTGCATCATTTTTCATAAATTTCTATTTTTAGATTATCTTAAAATAGAATTATTCCGGAGCCGGTGTGGGTGAATTTGTAAGCCGTTCCCGGTCCCGATACCCGTAAAACGAAACTAAGAAATAAGTTATGTCTCGAGAACAAAATATCTAATGAATCTCAAATTATCTACTTAAATGTTTAAAAAAAAATCGTACACTTCGAATGAATTAATTTAGATATCGAGATTTTTTTTAATCGACGATTTGTTTTATTTCAGGGTGTAAAAAACATGTACTCCGCACTCAACCATGAAATTTCCGACTTCCTTTTTATCAAATTTTAGCTATAAAAAGATTTGATATTAGATTTTTGAAATTTCAAAAATATTTATACCTTTCTGATTGTAAATATATCAGTTTCGTTCAGAAAAGAGGCATACTTCACATCGAATCGGACCCGTGCTAGGGGGAGGTAAATGCTTTAGTCTGTGTCGTAACATAAGATTTTGATTTGTTCTCAACTGCAGTCCTTCTCAGATCTACACGACCCTAAAATTTGTATGCCTTTCTGTACGTAGTGTGAAATATACTGTAATCAGTGTTAGCGATCTTGATGCGACTGGCACATCCAAATGCAGGAAAGGTAAAACCTGTACATGTGGATGATCAATATTAGAATCACCTGGTTGTACAATTCTGAGCTAGTATCTTGGTTTTAAAAGCTAACCATCTAACGATCTAACAATAATGAATTAAACAAAATACTGAATTTTATGTTTTATTTCTTCTCATATTCTAATATTTTCTGTATCTATCATTCCTAAAGGGGTTATTTGAAGTTATTTAATGACGAGATACTAATTAGCATGAAAGTTGATAACGCAATGATTAATTGATGAGTGAGCACCAGATTATAGATATTATCGGGATATATTCAGGACGACAAAAACGTGAAAACGAACTAATTACATAACGTGTGAGAAAGGGTGATACAAAGGGTAAAAGACTTTTCAACGCAGGATAACAGGTCCAGTTACATAGAGTTATTCAGTATACAGGGGATGAAACTATTGTTGTTCCTAGAGGTGTTCAGTATACAGGGGATGAATCTATTTTTGTTCCTAGACTTGTTCAGTACATGAGGGATGAAACTATTTTTGTTCCTAGAGTTATTCAGTATACAGGGGATGAAACTATTGTTGTTCCTAGAGGTGTTCAGTATACAGGGGATGAAACTATTTTTGTTTCTAGAGTTGTTCAGTATACAGGGGATGAAACTATTTTTGTTCCTAGATTTGTTCAGTATACAGGGGATGAAACTATTGTTGTTCCTAGATTTGTTCAGTATACAAGGGATGAAACTATTGTTGTTCCTAGAGGTGTTCAGTATACAGGGGATGAAACTGTTTTTGTTCCTAGTGTTCATGGAAATGGTTTAAATGATTACAGGAAAACCTTTCCGTCCGTTTTGAAAGCAGGTTAAGGCATTTTGTTCAGTTGATAGCAAACCATCTTCCGTATTTAACAGGAACCAAACTTGGAATCAGGTTAAGGGAAGTCTATAGGTTAAAGGTAACCTTAGGTCGCACTAACAAGTTTTTATTCGTTCACGATAAGAAATCAACTCGGATTTGTGATTATTTTTGGCGATCTATCGAATTTCTTATTCCTAATTTATTGGAAGGTTTTCTGATTATTGTTACCGATAAGAAATCTGCCGTTAAGAATTCTTTAGAAGTTTTTCCAGATGTCCAAGTAGTTTTATGTTTTAATCATATGCGTAGAGACTTAAGATTTTGGTTTAATCAGCATAGTCCTGTGATATATAAATTTACATGGATGATGTTATACAGCTTTTGAGATGCGATAGTCAAAGTGAGCTTAACAAACGGGGTTTTCGTTATTGTTTACATGGTAGAATTGTGTTTCAATGGATTCAGGTGAACACAACAAGAATTATATTTTGACATAGACTGTATGAAAAGGTATTTCATAAAATTTCCTAAAAAAACGAGTAAGTTTAACAAAACTAAAACTATTCAAAATTTATATATCGATCCCTTTATTCATTGTGAAACAGAGGGATGTCATATTTCAAACGTTGTGCCGACATGGTGACTTGCAACGCTGATTGTAATAGCCTGATTTCCTAATAGATGTGTCAGTGATGAGTCAAACGTAAAACTACCAAACGTATGTAATAAATGATAATAACGATAAAAAGAAATCTCGCAAGACCATGTAACATTCTTATTTCTTATACGTATATAGCTGTAATTTGCGAAAAATCGGAAATTTCATTGCTGAGTGCGGCGTACAAGTTGTCGCCCCCTGAAAAAACAAATCGTCGATATCTAAATTTATTCATTGAAAGTGTCGGATATTAAAACCATTTCAGTTGATTTATGTAGAAAATTTGAGATCTGTTAGATTTTTAGTTCTCGGAATATTAATTATTCCTCAATTTCCTGGCATGGGTGTAAGGGCCGGGATCGGGAATGGCGTACACAATACACCTCCACCTCCGGAACCCCCATTTTCATTCGATACATTTCGTGAGGTTTCTGCAGTTGAAATGAGAAACGAAGGCAGTATAGGAACAGAGGTAAGCCGGAGAGGACACATGTGTATATACACCACAGTTAAGATCACGTAAGTGTCATTGGTCATTGTCAACACGCCATGGTCGGTAATTTAATTTAAAACATTTCTAGATACTGTTGCAACAATTGTGTAAAGGTGATATGACGAGACTGATTAAACCTCACCCCATAGATAGCCACTATTTCTATTTTATCAAAGTTACAACCATGAATGGCATGAATCATGGTACCGTTCAGCCAGTCACAGTTCCTATAGTTCATATTACATATGTGATGATTTATAAACAATAATTGAGAATCTACAACTTGATTGAACTAACTTGAAACTTCCAAACATTGCTGTCTTGCTTGGAAGCAACCGCTTTAGAACTCTTTGGTTTTATTAATACATGTTTATTTTACTAGTATCATTTTCAGTCCTCTGGGATATTTGTATTACATTGTATTTCATTTTCATTGGATTAAAAGAACAAACCAATTCAGTCATGGTTTTCACCTTGGTTAATATTGTAGTCGAAAATAACTTCATCAATAACTTGTCTATGACATGCAATCTGAACTACGATACGACAGCAATATTATATACCATAATTTGCACTTTTCGTCTTCAATGCCACAATTTGTTCTGATGATAGTAGACCTAGCCTACCAAAGCATTTAAATAAAAAAAATCTTCTATAACAAACTCCTGTGTGTTAAGGCTCCTTTATATACACTATTGAACTCATCGCTCTTGTTTAGAGCTCTGTTCGAATATCCTTGTGGTATCTTCCTTGGAATCCTATACCAGACAGACCACTGACCATAGGAGGATGGATATCCATGACATTTTTGTTCCACTTTTTCATGTGTAATGATAATTAGAATTTTTAAAGAATGGTATTTCATTGATAACAAGATAGTAATACAGTAAAGGTTGATCTTTTATTCGTTTGTTTTTTAAGGGGTTTTATTTTTTATAAATTCTAAGGACAAGATAAATCTGAGTAAAAAAATAAATACCATGAAAATTAGATAAATATAGGAAACTAGCCAATTGATTAATTTCTTTAAAAAATAAATCTTTTTATCATGTATTATGGCTTAGTATTATCCATCTGATTGGTAGTCTCAATCACCAAGGCATGATGAGTTGTCTTCCTGAAAGGTAGCTTGATTAATTACCTTGTGAAAAAACAAATTCACGATATTTGTGTAGTAATCTTCTTGTATAAAGTGTCTTCTGAAGAAATTATTTACACAGTTATTCCAAATAAAAGGAATCATTGACATGTTTGTTGATATAATAGGTTTTCTTCACAACATTTTTATATATAAGAAAATGACTAAGATTCAGTCGCCTTTGAAATATGAAGAGGCTTGTGAAGTTTTGCTCACTTGAGCAGAGTCAATGGTGCAGCGTTCATGGTTCTTTAAAATCTTCGGAAGAGTCATTGGATAAGCTTCTTAAGATGAAGCAAGCCAGTCATTCCTTTTTAGCTCATTCTTCTCAATAACCAATGAACCAAATGTTTTGATATTTTGCTGGTGTGTTCCTAGGGTGAATGTAGACAAAGTTTATGAAAAGAAATGACCTTGACCTGTATTCAAGGTCACAAGGGCCAGATGTGTTAAAACTTTTAAATAACATTTTTTCATGAAGTTAAAGGCAGAGAGTCATGATATTTGGCTGGTATGTTTCTTGGATGAAGCCCAACAAAGTTTGCGAAAGTAAATTACCTTGACTTATATTCAAGGTCACAAAGGTCAAATTTGTTAAAACCTTTAAACGACATCTTCTCATGAATTAAAGGGCATAGAGACATGATATTTGACTAGTATTTATATACCAGGTAAGAGTTGCAAACCCATTTGACCTCTAATTTTTTTGTAAAATTTGTCCAAGCAATATATATTTTTTTTTTTTTTCACAAACATGTCATCTTCCACAAATAAGAGATCCTCCTCACTTTTTTGTCTTGTAGAAACAGGGAGGGTGGTTGCTCGCAGTGAAGCCTACCCTCTCCCACCAAAAATGAGGTAAAATTTATTGGCATAAGGGAAAAAAGTAAATTGTATGAATTTTGTTTCCTAAGGGTGTATGACGATGGTTCTACTTTTGATACCTTGATCTCTACAGGTTGTTATTATGGAGACCAGTATTAAAGATGGTTCACTAGACAAAGAAGATCTAAAAGTAAAGCGCTTGAAAACAAAGGGAACAGAGTTGGAAGAATTTGATTCTGTATTCAGTTATTTGGTAGAAGGACTAGTAAAACAAGGGAGACAACACAAGGAAATATCAGCAGCAGTTGACTGGTTTAAAGAGGTAAGATTATGTTTACATTAAAAGGTTAAGTTGTGAATCTGAAGGTGTGTGATACATTTAGTTTTCAATTTTACTACAAAGTGATGTGGTAATAGTCTAGTGAGATTCAATAGCAAGGTTAACGACTTTGCAAGATTTAGATAATTTTCACTAGCTAGTCCCAATTCAAAATAAGTACACTGGATGATGAGCTCAGATAAATGGTATTCCATAGTGTCATTTTCCCAACATCAGAGTTATGTGTGGTACAAGGGATTTAACTAGCTGCAATACACTTCTCAGTTAGAGAGAACTTCTTCAAAGTTTTCAGATTAGTGTAGTCTAGTATGCGAGAGGTTCAGGATTCCAACCATATCGGACCTAGCATTAGAATAAATAATGACCTCAAAGTGCTAATGTTAAATGTTTCATCTTAGGAATTACATTGATGAGTAATTAGAAAAAAAACTTCGTAAATATTCTTTTAAACAATTCTGTTTTACTATTTTTTCAAGTTTTGTTTTTGATCCCTTTGGGATATTTTCTGTATCGTACAGATAATTTTAATTAAACAATTTTTACAATACACTCATTATGTCAGAGATACAAATATACATTGATGTTTGCTTTAGTGTGAATGTAACATAGACTATTATCAAACGGGTGCATTTTGTGTGTAACATAAACATAATCATCGTCAGGTGTGCCTTTATAATGTACCATTTGGGAAGAAGACCCGTGGCCTGTCTGTGGTGATGGCCTTTAAGAGGATTCATACAAATGCCAATGAGAACGAGATTCGACAGGCAAGAATACTTGGCTGGTGCATAGAATGGGTATGTATCATAACAGAGACTTGTAAAGTACATTATCAGATGGTTGGCAGTTCAAATTGCCCTTCATCTGTTGGCTGTTGTCCAGCTGTATGTTCATCCATTCTTAAGCAATTCTTGTTTTCATAGAATTCATATGTAGGTTTCACTTGAATCTCTTGTTGTACAAATCCCTTGTCGTACGAATCCCTTCTTGTTCCTGACTGACCTATTGTTCTTGTTCTTGATGTTCTTCTTCTCGCCATCTTAGTTTTAAACTTTTAAACTGTAAAAGTCTTTTATTACAAAAAGTGCTTGTAGGATTGATATGAATGGGCAAAATTACTTTCAGAATTTGAATAGGAGAAAAAGATACATCAAACAGATATTTCAAAATCTCTTTTAAAGCATAATTATTGTAGTCTGTAGGTAAAACAATATATTTTGTATTCACTTTGAAAGGACACAAATTAAAGCAATATGAATCTTACAGAGAAATCAAACTTATGCAACACCTGTATAACGAAGTGATAATGAAACCAACATCACTCATTATCGCTGATACCTTTTAATTCTTATACAAGATCTCACACTCTACAGGTAATGTTAAGTATTAAGACGATAAAAAGGGCATTGTAAGATTATTTTTATTTCAGTTACAAGCCTTCTTTCTTGTGGCTGATGATGTGATGGATAAATCAATAACTCGCAGAGGAAAGCCATGCTGGTACAAAAAGGTAAGGCTCAATAACTCACAGAGGAAAGCCTTGCTGGTACAAAAAGGTAAGGCTCAATAACTCACAGAGGAAAACACAGTACTGGTACAAAAAGGTAAGGCTCAATAACTCACAGAGGGAAACACAGTACTGGTACAAAAAGGTAAGGCTCAATAACTCACAGAGGGAAACACAGTACTGGTACAAAAAGGTAAGGCTCAATAACTCACAGAGGGAAACACAGTACTGGTACAAAAAGGTAAGGCTCAATTACTCACAGAGGGAAACACAGTACTGGTACAAAAAGGTAAGGCTCAATAACTCACAGAGGGAAACACAGTACTGGTACAAAAAGGTAAGGCTCAATAACTCACAGAGGGAAACACAGTACTGGTACAAAAAGGTGAGGCTCAATAACTCACAGAGGGAAACACAGTACTGGTACAAAAAGGTAAGGCTCAATAACTCACAGAGGGAAACACAGTACTGGTACAAAAAGGTAAGGCTCAATAACTCACAGAGGGAAACACAGTACTGGTACAAAAAGGTGAGGCTCAATAACTCATAGAGGGAAACACCGTACTGGTACAAAAAGGTAAGGCTCAATAACTCACAAAGAATCTTTTCTGGTACATTAGATTATGACTATTAGATCTAGACAGGGTGAATAATCTGCTGAAAAATGCTGATACTGCTACCATAACTGTTCAGGTTATCCAATTTCAATCTTTTCACAAAATTATTATGATCTTAAGTTTAGGTAAATAGGATATTGGAGATAACAGTGTAAATTGTAAATTGTGATACTTTAGCATGTATATATTGTTTCAATTTTCTCAACATGATATCAGTGATAACATTATAAACATACCATGTATGAATTATAATTTATAAGTTACTATGATAAGAATTATAGAAGTATGGATCACTCAAATGATATATAATTGTATAGTGGATTATAGATCATGTAACATATAGTGATATTTCAGGAGGATGTTGCTCTAATAGCTGTCAATGACGCTGTGTATTTGGAAAACTGTGTGTATGCTATCTTGAGAAGACATTTTAAACAAGAAGATTACTACACAGACGTTGTGGACTTGTTTCATGAGGTAATAATGACAAAAATTGAGAAAGTGAATAAGTCCTGCATCTGAAGATGGAAAGGCCGTACTAGCTATAGAAGAGAGTCATTGTTATATGGAGGATGAAATGTCAGGAAGGGACAAAAGGTTAGAGGGGGTATACTGGAATCAGATTGTCTGTCTGTCGAAAACGTTTGTCCAGAAAACTCCTTGTAAACTTGTGGAGCAATTTCATTGATACTACACAGTAATGTTGACCACCATGTGTAGATGTGCATTTAGGGTGTCTTTTTCTTAGAAATTTGGTGTGCTGTGGTAACCAGGTCACTATAATCAGGGTTTATGTAGTGGTCGTAACTCATCCATATTGGTCAATTTTATTGAAACTGGGTAAAGTAGTGTAACATCTCAATGCCTATAGTTTGATTCATCAGGTGTTTCCAGAATCGTTACAATGGAAACATGATGGAGGCTTCTAATTAGACAGAATTGAGATATGAACCGATGGTGCTGAAACTGAAATATAAGGGTCTTGAGGGAAGGCAATTTTAATGGTACCATTTTCAAAGATCAGATGTCATTTAGTTACTATGGTAACCACATAAGTCTCACAATTAGACAAATCATTTTCAGACTGCTCCTGACTTTGTGGACTGATGTTAGGATGTGTTGATGTGCAAATGTGCAAATGTGCATGCAGATTTTTCTTTTGGCAGAAATTAGGGTTAATGTGGTAACAAGGTCACTATACAGAAGTTTTCATATTAAGTGCCATAACTCTTAGTTTTTTTATTGAATTTAATTAAACTTGAACAAGTGCTACAACTAATTATATCCTATAATTTGACATATTCGGCATTTAAAAACCATTACCATGGAAATACATTGGAGGCTTCTGATTGTTTGAAATTAAGAAATCATCTGATTAAGTTGAAATTGGTATAAAAATCTTTAGGGGGATGACAAATACAATGATATTGTTTTTAAAAGAAAAAAATGGTTGTAATTTGTTGCCATGGTGACCAGTTGAAGGCCGCTTAGAGGAATATCATTAGGACATCCCCTCCAATCCCAGTTTCTTTTGTCTCTTACAATTGTAAAGTTTTGTGTGTGAGTAACACCAGGATGATTGTAATGCACTAAAATCTAACCTCTTTGCCTGGCTTTATGCAGAGTTATTGCCCTTTGTTTACAATATGTCACTTTCTTTGCCCTTCTGTTTTACAAAGTTATCATCCTACGTTTACTGTATATTATTTTCTTTGTCCCTTTGCATACAGATATCACTCTTGATGACAGTAAATATTTTCTGGGCATGTTTGATATGATGTCACTTCTCTTTGACATTTCTTAAGGGCTTGAATAAAGAGTATATTAAGATGCTGGAGGTTAAATTAATCAATTAGTCAGTGATGTTATGGAGTTACTCATTTTGAGAAAAATAATTATTTCAATTTTGACATTGATATGAATAAAAATGTTCACATAACTTAATTTTGACTAGGCTCTTGGCTGTTGCTTTCAGTGAGAGCAGCAGTGGGAGCATGAATGCTTCATACACATAATTAGTCTTGTGTTAATTTCTCTTTGAGAAGTTAGAGGGTCATGTACATCAATATATACAGAGTTGTGACCCTTTGTTATTTTGGTTACTAAAGTTTTATAATGATGTCAGAATGTTTTAAGGATGAGTGGAGGATATTTGGTTTGGATTGAGTAAGGATGTGGTGGACAAAAAATTTCTTCCAATATTCTGTCCAGTATAAATGCAGTAATTACAATGGCCCAAAGAAGAAAGAAAAAACAGGCATTATTTCATCTTCAGTAAACAAAAGGAACTCAGTGTAAGAACATACAACTGATTTTTTCTTCGTACAGCTGCAATGGACAATCATTAAAATTAATCAATTACCTGTTTATGATTTGTTTTAATTACAGACAACAATGCAGACTATCACTGGTCAGTGCCTGGACCTGGTTACCTCCCCTGAGACATGTATAAACTTTGATGAGTTTACTCTAGAGAGATTTACTGCTATTGCTAAGTGGAAGACAGCGTTTTACTCTTTTTATTTACCTGTGGCCCTGGCCATGTACATGGTAAGCTGTACTGTTAATTCTTGTGGCCCTGGCCATGTACATGGTAAGCTGTACTTCCAACTCTTGTGGCCCTGGCTATGTACAGTGTAAGCAGTGATTCTATGTTTGGTCATGTACATAATAAACTGTTATTTTGGCTCTCTGTGACTCTGATCATGCACATTAGTTGTTGTTTTAGTTCCCTTTGGTGCTGGCCATGTACACAGTTAAAAATGCTTTACTTCACTGTGGTTCTGGCAGTGTTTACTGTGTAAGCTATGCACACTAAGAAAACATTTCTCATTCTCTGACTTGTATTTATATTTTCTATGATTCCATTCATAAAACAGGGTTTTGGCCATGATTTATAATCATTCTGTTTCAATTTTTAAATTAATGCAATAATGTATACTTGTTCTGCCCCCTTTATCTTAGTCTGGTAAATATACAAATTTTGCAAACAGAACCAGGTCACATCATGCATGATGTCAAAGTGGTACATCATGATAACAACATATTTACTCAATAAGACATGCCCACATATGTCATGCCTTGCCCTATCTTTGTTTACATATGTTAAAAATTGCTTTAAATTAAAACCTACCTTAGTATGAGAGTATTGTTTACATAATGATGTATGGCGGCCAAAAAAATTGGATACACTCTTGTCAACAATACCTCAGAATCATGACCAATATATATAATATGAAATCTTCAGGAAAGCAATTTTTTTTCTGTTTCAATATATGTTCTCAGTAATGATTAAAGTACTAAATTTTGAGATCAAATCAAACTGAAATTCAGATTCTCCAAACAATCCCTTCCAGACAGATAGCAAAATGAATGAGGATTATAACTGGCGGCACTGTTTAGCCTCCATGTGTGTAATTAGCGACGGGTATGTTCAGGGGCCACTTTTTTGACATACACAACACCTTGCCCCACTGGTACAAACCTAAGCACACCATGTGCATTCATCATATTCCTTGATATAGAACAGCCATTTCACCCTGGTGTTTGATATCTGTTTAATTCTGATGTTTACGTTTGGATTGTTGATGCACATACATATATACCTGTTTAATACATTTTCAGTGTTATATCAAAACTTTTTTTCATAACAAAAACAGCTGTTCTAAGCACAAAATTTGTAACCAGAAATGTACATACATGTACACTTGAATATCACGGCCAATGGGCCTTCGTTGTGAATTTTGCAGCTAATTTCTTCTTATTGCAACAATTTTATTTGCTCAGGTTTGTATAGAACATATTATTCTCAGTCAAGGTAACCCTTTGACGCCATATGCACCATGGGACTGATCACCTCATTGTATTTCTTACTTATGCCTAACAAATAATGGGACATATTGGAGCAATACCATATCCATGATGGTGCTTTTATGATGTAACAGAATTGAACAAAATCCAAACTAGTGGCCAAAAATACTTTAATCAGACTGTACATGTAAAATACATTATGGCACTGCAATATCTCAGTCTGACGGAGTGTTGGCCTACATAGTCTCTGGGGAAAATATTTGGTTTGTGGTCCAATACTCCCTTTTTTGTAACGGTTTGTGTTTCACAGAGAAATGGACTGATGTGTATTGCTGTGGTTGTGTCTCTATGCAAGGCATTCAACCCCAATGGGCCTCCCATATAATATTTATTGATATAGCGACCAGCTAAAAATAGTACAAAGAGGTCTCAACTCAAAATTACCCAGATTCTTCATTTGGGAATATATGCAGTGCAGAAAGATCCATTGATCTTCATGGATACATCTTTACAAGTACATTTACTGACATCAGTCTATCTAGTGAAAGTCACTGCCGCCTGTTTTCTACATAACTAAAGCTGATTTTACTCCATTTGTGTGTTTAGATTGTAAACTAACTCCAACTCCATATTCATTCTTCTATAAAATATATCATCCCTGAGCGTGAGTGAACCTCAGTGAAGTGTTGATCTTTATGGTATAAATAAGGTGCTATGATAAGTCACATGTATATAAATGTAGTTCATCAGTCTGTGACTTTACTATTGACCTTTATGGTATAAATAAGGTGCTATGATATGTCACATGTATATAAATGTAGTTCATCAGTCTGTGACTACACTATTGGTCTTTATGGTATAAATAAGGTGCTATGATAAGTCACATGTATATAAAAGTAGTTCATCAGTCTGTGACTACACTATTGACCTTTATGGTATAAATAAGGTGCTATGATAAGTCACATGTATATAAATGTAGTTCATCAGTCTGTGACTGCACTATTGATTTTTATGGTATAAATACGGTGCTATGATAAATCACATGTATATAAATGTAGTTCATCAGTCTGTGACTACACTATTGATCTTTTACTGTATTTTACCTCATACAAATTCCAGGCTGGAATCAAAGACACAGCCACACATGAAGCTGCCAAAGAGATTTTCCTGAAAATGGGAGTATTTTTTCAAGTACAGGTAAGACTTAAAATAAATAGTGTGGTCAGGTGATGTAGTGGTAATGCACTCACCTTTAGCTTAGCTGTTCTGTGTTTGATTACAAGAACAAACGTGAAAAGGGAAAGGGTGACCTACACAACCAAGTGGCGTTTCCCTTGGTACTGTGGTTTTCTCCTGCAATTGACCCCTCGCCTGTTTACATCTTGAAATATCTTGTTTAGCAGTTGTTGTAAAATAAAGTTTATAAACTAATAATATGCTGTAGATCTATTGAATGCAAAATAAATATGTGACTGTAATTTTTCTGACTTTCAAACTCTGTTGTGGTATGGTTTTAATTAATGAAAACAAATCTTGATTTGTAATTTTTTTGCATATAATAATTATGGTTTAGAGATATATAGTTTAGAGATGGTTTCTCAGAATTCTTAATACTCTGATGAATGCCATTAATGCATTGTGAAAGTTCTCTTCAATAGCTTGTAGGTAACCTTTTAATCTTTGTGTTAAATGAGACTATATTTCATCCTGAACTTTAACAGATGTCACATTATTTTACAGGATGATTTCCTTGATTGTTATGGTGACCCGGCAGTCATGGGAAAAATAGGAACAGACATTCAGGACAACAAATGTAGCTGGTTAATAGTGCAAGCTCTTTCAAGGGTTACCCCAGAGCAACGGCAGACCTTAGAGGTAACATATATGTAATGTAACTAGACACATGCATTTAATGTAAAGATTGTTAGGTCAGATACATAACTTTATTGTCACCCAAAGGTCATTCAAATTAGAGTTACTGTAATGTACAATAATAATTTTTTATGCCCTTAGTCAGCTTAAAAATATCATTTTAAAATTTGCGAATAGTAACGAAGACAAAATTGAAGAAACAAAAATTCTGAATAAATGAAACCTGTATCGAGAGTAACTCTCATCATGGATTCGATTTTTTGTGTAATTTGTGTAATTTTTGGTACTATAACCAGGAGAATTATGGACAGCCAGAGGAAGACAAGGTTTTAAATGTGAAGGCAGTGTACAAGGTTTTGGACTTAGAACAGTTGTACCAAGACTATGAGGAAAAGAGTTACAGAGAAATCATCCAGGACATTCAGTCATTCAAGGGCCAGATCCCTAAGGAAGTGTTCACAGACTTTGTCAGCAAAATCTACAAACGAAACAAGTGACATATCACCTATGTCAGATGCTATCTACAAAATGATGGCACATGTGTCTCCTTAGCCAGATAATCTCTACAAAATGATGGCAATTGTGTCCTCTTAGCAAGATACTCTCTACATTAGATGTGTGTCTTCTCAGCAAAGTAATTTCTTCACAATACTGGCATATGTGTCTTCCCAGTAAGATGATCTTCACACAATTAAGCAAACCTGCATCTATAAATGAAGCTGGCATCTGTCTTTTTTGAATAGCTGGTATATCAAATTAAATGCTTTGTACTTGATGCCTAAGGATACTGTGCACACTGTAAATGGTTTGAGGTGAAGTAGAACATTTGACATTCCTTTTTGATGTATATTTCATATAAAGCATCACACATAGGTGAGAGTAGCTTTAGGCATTTCAAGTAAAGCCTTTTTGCATTTAGCACCAAGAAAATACATTTTTATGATACACTTACTAGCTTTCCATTGATTTACTAACCAGATTATGTCTACATGATACTCACAGATGTGGAATGTGTTATTCAAGGGGCAATTGTATGTGAAATCAAGTCAGACATGCATTTTATTAATACCATCTGATAAATACAAACGACAAGTGGATCTCATTACTTGTCTCTATATGATTGTACATTTCCTGTAGAATTCATTTGATATTACCAACATTTTCTAACTTAATACAATTCCTTAGTGCAACTAATATAAATCATGTAAACGATTTGATGCAATTCCATTTGCTTGGATCTGATTGAAAGATTTTATTTCGTTTCATAACTCACATCAATTACACTGTACAATATCCATGTATGTATAAGTGAATGACATAACTATTAATGGTGTCACAATTATGATATCATACGAGTGCCATGTTATCATACGAGTGTCCTACAGATTCATTCATATAGTCCTTTACATGGTAGAATAGGCTGGGTGAGATAAACTATATCTTTGTGATGCATTTTTAAGATATTCAGAAAGATTAATGACAATGGACTTTAGCGAGGATAATGCCATTAAAATGTAATGTTGGGTAATACTTTATCACAATGATCTGGTCTGTATAGTTGGGAGAGAAAACTTTTGATGGGTTTGATAATGGCATTTTGATATTACTGTAATCTGTACTCAGTGTTTATTTGTTTAAACTGTTACACTTTAAAAGTGAAAATTGCAATGGCAATATAACAACCAAATTCTCTGTTTACTCTGTAATTTGTGTTGAGATATTTTGTGTTCTGTCTGTTAGAAGAAAGTGTGTAACACTGACAGAAATCTTTTTACAACACTGCGGGATTAGATGCTCTGTCTCTATACTGTTTTATAGGGGAAGAGATGATCCTCTGTTGTTTTGTATCTTGTCAAGTTCTGTCTTGTTCTAGTTGTTGTTTAGTAGAAATGAATGATCATGTTTTTTATATACAGGTGGAGTGTAATTGTGGTCTGATGGCATCTGTGGAAGCTGTCTTAGAAATGTATTAGTGTACTTTTTAACTTGACATAATTTTGACATATTTCATTTTTACTGCACCGGTTCAGGGTGTGAATTTTAAACATTTTTATGTGATCAATCCATCAATAGCTTGAAGAGTGACACAATATACTTGTATGTTCTGTTGTATGACCACAACTTTTGAGAGTAAATTACATGTTCTGGTGTATGACCACAAGTTTTGAGAGTAAATTACATGTTCTGGTGTATGACCACAAGTTTTGAGAGTAAATTACATGTTCTGGTGTATGACCACAAGTTTTGAGAGTAAACCACAAGTTTTGGTGTATGACCACAAGTTTTGAGAGTAAACCACAAGTTTTGGTGTATGACCACAAGTTTTGAGAGTAAACCACAAGTTTTGGTGTATGACCACAAGTTTTGAGAGTAAACCACAAGTTCTGGTGTATGACCACAAGTTCTGGTGTATTACCACAAGTTTTGGTGTATGACCACAAGTTTTGGTGTATGACCACAAGTTCTGGTGTATGACCACAAGTTTTGAGAGTAAACCACAAGTTTTGGTGTATGACCACAAGTTTTGAGAGTAAACCACAAGTTCTGGTGTATGACCACAAGTTTTGAGAGTAAACCACAAGTTTTGGTGTATGACCACAAGTTTTGAGAGTAAACCACAAGTTCTGGTGTATGACCACAAGTTTTGAGAGTAAACCACAAGTTCTGGTGTATGACCACAAGTTCTGGTGTATTACCACAAGTTTTGGTGTATGACCACAAGTTTTGGTGTATGACCACAAGTTCTGGTGTATAACCACAAGTTTTGAGAGTAAACCACAAGTTTTGGTGTATGACCACAAGTTTTGAGAGTAAACCACAAGTTCTGGTGTATGACCACAAGTTTTGAGAGTAAACCACAAGTTCTGGTGTATGACCACAAGTTCTGGTGTATTACCACAAGTTTTGGTGTATGACCACAAGTTTTGGTGTATGACCACAAGTTCTGGTGTATAACCACAAGTTTTGAGAGTAAACCACAAGTTTTGGTGTATGACCACAAGTTTTGAGAGTAAACCACAAGTTTTGGTGTATGACCACAAGTTTTGAGAGTAAACCACAAGTTTTGGTGTATGACCACAAGTTTTGAGAGTAAACCACAAGTTCTGGTGTATGACCACAAGTTTTGAGAGTAAACCACAAGTTTTGGTGTATGACCACAAGTTTTGAGAGTAAACCACAAGTTCTGGTGTATGACCACAAGTTTTGAGAGTAAACCACAAGTTCTGGTGTATGACCACAAGTTCTGGTGTATTACCACAAGTTTTGGTGTATGACCACAAGTTTTGGTGTATGACCACAAGTTCTGGTGTATAACCACAAGTTTTGAGAGTAAACCACAAGTTTTGGTGTATGACCACAAGTTTTGAGAGTAAACCACAAGTTCTGGTGTATGACCACAAGTTTTGAGAGTAAACCACAAGTTCTGGTGTATGACCACAAGTTTTGAGAGTAAACCACAAGTTCTGGTGTATGACCACAAGTTTTGAGAGTAAACCACAAGTTTTGGTGTATGACCACAAGTTTTGAGAGTAAACCACAAGTTCTGGTGTATGACCACAAGTTTTGAGAGTAAACCACAGGTTCTGTTGTATTACCACAAGTTGATACTTATTTTCTCACCAGTGAAAATCAGTGTTCTGCTTGTGTGTGGTTTATGAAAGTAAAAGTTTTTAGTTTGTCATGTAACATGTATGATAAAAGTAATTTTGTGAGTATTGCATCTACAAGATAATAAATTCCAGTCAGTGTGTCTGTTTATGGTTTTATTATTAAATGGTGTTGATTTTCAGAGTACGTTAAGGCCTGTATGTACTGGTATATGGTCCTATGTCTGTAGATTTCATAAAGGCCTGTATGCACTGGTATATGGTCATATGTCTACAGAGTACATTTAGGCCTGTATGTACTGGATGGTCCTATTTCTATATATAGAGTACATAAAGGCCTGTATGTACTGGTATATGGTCATATGTCTACAGAGTACATTTAGGCCTGTATATACTGGATGGTCCTATTTCTATATATAGAGTACATAAAGGCCTGTATGTACTGGTATATGGTCCTATGTCTATAGGGTATATAAATATCTTTAGTTGAGAATGTCACAATTATTTATCTTAGCTGTTAAAGCCCAATCTTAATGCTTTAAACACTAGCATCATGTGATATGTGCAACTGTCAAGGTGATCTTTGTCTTTCATTTTACTGACTGTAGCTCTATTATGATATTTTGCTTTACTAACTTAGAACAGATTTTGGGACAGAAAGATTAGCGATACTTCACTGGGGCATGTAGATTTTTTATGTGTACCACAAAACTATGTTAAGTAAGCTTATTATTCCCTCATAGAAACTGCATAGGGGGATGTAATGTTCTGTTCGTACATACATATGTTCACTTTTTGTTGTCATTCTAGCAACCCCTTTATCCACCGGCTTTAATCAAACTTCATGTACTGTTCAATAATCACAATAGCTCAAGCTTGTTTGTATTTCAGTGTGCTAGGTTCAACATTAAGGTCACTGCTACTATTTATAGAAAATCTTTGTCATTCTCATTGGATTTTGATCAAATGGGAGTAAGGAGCATTGTATAGCTTGCAATGCCTTGTTTTTTTTTTTTTTTTTTTTCCGTTGTCATCATACAGTCAGTTTTTCTGTGACCTTTATTTTCTGCTTCACTAATTCAGTTAGACTTTGGTTTTTGTTTTGCTTCGTTTCAGTGTGGAACCGGGTGGAGATGTGTATCGCATTGTACTTTTCATACGATTCATATTTTTTTTTCTTATTTGGGAAAATCCTTGTTTAATCATCCAACATTCTAACATAATAGAGACAGGACTGCTGAACAACTTTTTCATTTACTTCACACATACATATTAACATACTCGTAGTAAGCATTGATCATCAAAGAAACTATAGACAGCTTAGGGATATGCTAGTTCATTTGTTATTTTCTAACTAGTATGCTCGGATGTGTGTAAATAACCATAATCAGAAAAAAAGCTAAAGCTGACACCAAAAATTACTATGTTTTGTTCCAATTAATTATTAATGTAGTTTTGACTACAGGGCTGACATGTGTTAGTATAGTAGGTGATTTATTTTACAGGAAACTGCACCTAAAAGGACTTGCAGTCAGGTATTAATTTGTGTAACAGATAATTTGAACTTGAATCTTAATAAGACTAACCTATTTATGCCATTCATTTTCAAATTTAACTTTTGCTTTATCAACCTTACCATTAGCACTGTATTTTTGAATGGTATAAGTGCCCTTGGTTATATTTATTTGATCAATGATATTTAAAGAGATAGAAAGACATTTTGTTTTGTATATACACTGCTTCATTATTAGAATAACTTCATTATCGACTCTTGTAAGTACTTATCATAAGAAATTCCAGCAACAAAAGATTTCTTGTTGAACAAGAAAGGAATATACAGAATTTTTAAAAGTGTTTCAAAATTTTGTTACAATTTTTGCACTTCTTGACATTCCAATAGTATATGTATAACTGTTTCTGGTTCAGAGTTACTAAGTGTATAGACAGGGGAAATAACTGTTCTAATTTTAAACAAAAAGGAGTTAGAAGTTAGTATGTGGTGAACAGCACTGTAATGGAACCACTTAAGGTTTTGTATTAATGGCGACAAGAAATGGAATCTTATAATATTTCCCCCATGTTTGTTTGTCAATGATCTCAGATATTCCATTCTTTGGTTCCTGATGAAATGTGATTAGACTTTTTTAGTGTTTTTTAGAATTTTTTTTATCCTTTTCTGTCTTTAATAAAAGGTTCTAAGTTAATAGGAAAGTAAGGATAACATAATGTAGGTCAGGGGAAATGTATGTTATGTGAAGAAATATATTTCCTTACTGAGGAGAGAAGGCTCTGATATTGTAAACGTTTGTGTTTACATTAAATTTTCAATAAATTTGTCAAATGTGTAGAACATACCAGTGCTTGTGTCTTTAATCAAATCATTAATTACAAAACCTGGCCCATAGCATGCTGGCATGGAGCCCTACAAAGTTTGTTCAAATGAATGATGGCCCACTTTCAAGGTCACAGGGGTCAAATATGTTAAAATATACAAAGGACTTCATCTCAAATTGGGTCTGTAGCATGCTGGGAGGAATTTTGTGATAAAATTCCTTATAACACTACCAAACCAGCAATCTTTATATCCTTGTTGTGCCACAGTGGTATTTAAAGTAATTATTCTTGAAAACGATTACTTTAGTATGTGGTGTTTAAAAGATAACATAATTTGAGTACATATGTTCAAAAATTGTTTTTACAATTCTTTATGCAATTGTCAATATATTCGCTGCCACAGTTTGGAAGATTTATAATGTTGTAAGATTTCACAACATATTGCCATTTACCTGTAGTTTGAAAAAGTGTTCTTATCCATGTTAGCTTTATAAAGTTACAGAAAGCTGAAACATTAACCATTCTTAAATTCCCATTAGTATAATCTGCACAATTATCTCCTTTTTTATTTTATCAGGACCCTCATTCCATAGCTAATAAGAAATATTGAATTAAGTATAACAATAAAGGCATTATTAGGGTTAGGTAGAGAAATAAAGGAGTAAACTGTGATATAAGTAATATCTTAATGATATTGCATTATTAGGGTTAGGTAGAGAAATAAAGGAGTAAACTGTGATATAATTTCTTAATGATATTGATTTTTACATAAGGAGTTAATTACCTCTTTTCAAAGTATTAAGTGATGTTTTAGTAATTTTTTGTCAAAATTAAGTTTAGGTATCTCATGGAGGTTTACATTAAACTCTATTCCTGACAATGTAAATTTTCCTTACCCTACTGTGCTCAGTTCAGGGTCAAGATGACTTGTAGCCTTAGGTGTTTCTTCAGTAGTTGTGGCAGTCTGAGGTAAACTTCCCATTCAAATGATTTCTTCTCAATAACAAGCTGGCTAAGGGTACTAATATGACGCCTGTAGCATGATGGGATAAAGGGCAATCAAGTTTGTTAATATGAATGACCTTGACCTATTTTCAAGGCCACTGGGGTCAAGTATGTTGATATCTTTAAACAACTTCTCCTTAACCAAAAGGTCCAGGGTACTGATATTGGGCCTGTAGCATGATAGGATAAAGGGCTACCAAGTTTATTGATATGAACGACCTTGACCTACTTTCAAGGTCACTGGGGTCAAATATGTAGACATCTATAAACAACTTCTCAACCAAAAGTCTCAAGGTGCTGATATTGGGCCTGTAGCATGATGGGAAGAACGGCTACCACGTTTATAAATATGAATGACTTCGAGTTGCTATTAAGTCACAGAGGATCAAACATGTTAAAATGTTAAAACGTCTTCTCTATAGCCGAAATGTCCAGGGTGCTGATATCAGGCCAGCTGCTTTCAAGGTCACAGGGGTCAGATATGTTAAAATGTTTAAACGACTTCTTCTCCATAGCCAAAAGGCCCAGGGTGCTGATATTGGGACTGTAGCATGATTGGCAGAAGGGCTACGTAGCTTGTTCATATTATTGACGTAGACCTACTTTCAAGGTCAAAGGTGTCAAATATGTCAAAATCTTTAAAGAACATCTTCTCAATAAGCAAAAGGTCAATAGTACTGATATTATGTCTTTTAGCAGTTGGGATGAAGGGCTAACAAGTTTGTTAAAATGTCAACGACTTTGTGAACCAACCATTGTTATTGTATAAGTTGAAGTGTAGTTGAGCAATTTATCTTATTCATTCATATATAGGTCTTTATAGTCGGATGACCCACAAGTCCCGCGGGTCTCTTGTTTCACTTTTTTACACGCGACTGATTTTAACACAGTTTTTCATAATACCTCGTCAAGTCTTTTACATTACATTTCAGATACCTTAATTATGTCTGAATAGCTGTATTTACAACGAACCGCAATATTTTGATGTTTGTCGCTTTAACAGCGTATGTACCGTACCCTATTCTAAACCAAATTAACATCTTCATTCTGTAAATCTGACAGCTTTATTTCCAAAAAAATAAAAACAACGATACAGACAATACGTCCAAATCGAAGAAGAAATATACAGAGAATGAAATTGTAAAAAGTTTTTCTGGTTGGCAATATCTTGGTGAGTTCTGTAGTAAAGGAACAAACTCTGCCTCTCGCATGGCTGTCTATTGAACACCCCATAAAAATTAAACGTAGTGTTGACCATGTCCGTCGTATATACCCACAAGAATTTGATATTTCCAAAATACCAATAACCAATAAATTGTGCATTTTCCAAATCTTTACAGAACCCCTGATTCCACAAGTACATGACGTTTACATGTCGCTTTTGATCCGATATTCAAGGCCTTGTTCCCAATGTCACAATTTTCCTGTTGTAACTAATGTCACATGATTTGAAGACATACACGATAATAAAGTTTATGGGTAAGTTTTATGGTCGACATGATGATTAGGGAAGATGGGCAGGTTCGATTTACCTTATTTTGTGTGTCTGTTGGTTACGCTGTTATTTACATTGTTCTCGTTTGGGAACGTGACATTACTTGGTTGATTGATCACGATAACACGGCGCTTACTTTTATTTTCCCTTTACTTATTTCTTGGGTGTCCGAGTAAACTGTTTGTTCATTTTTGCCCTAGTTTCGTCGAGTGTGACCTAATACCTACATTACCGTTACATATTTAGAGTTACCGATGTAATTGACTTTATAATTAACCTCTCTAATCTTCAGCATCATTATACACCGATAATGATTTCTCTCGCGTACGTATTGATGCGAAGTTATGAATGAAATTCGTCCGAGTATATCGGGGATTAGATCATGGATATTATAAAAAGAGGCGTTACATTAGATCAGATTCCGTTGTCATTTTATGATAATAGCTGCACAGTCTGTTTTTTTATCCTTCTGTGTGACCATGTCGGTATGTATATCATGATTGAGGCTCAACCAGTACTTGGATAACTAAAAGACATAAATTCCTGTATTTTTTAAAATCCATTTTCGATTGATTGATTTTATTGCGATTAAATATTTTTCACGTTATATTGTGTATTTGAATTTGAATTTAGAGCCTTCCATTTCTTTTCTAAAGTATTCGTCAAACATTTCACTTTGTGCAACTGTAAACCACTGTTTCCATCCCCCGACTTCTCCTGAAACGTTAGATAAAGAGAGATCAGGTATCTATCTACAGGTTATTGGATCATATATCAATTAAATATGTTATAAAAATCACGAAACTCTGAAACTCAAGAAAGATTGAACTGAACTTTGTCGTATTTTATGTTTGTATGAACGCATTGGAATACAAAAATATGCATTTGAATTGTGGTAAAGTACAAATTTGGTGATAAATTTATTACACTGTTATGCTGAACTCATATCTTTATATACATTTCGTAAATTCCAAAGTATTGTTTTAACTACTATACTTTACGGTTAAGGAAAATAAGCATAATACCTAAACATCTATCTTTATAATGATGCAACGAACTTAACAAAATGATGATTAAGTTTTATTAGATTACATTTATTTAATTTTACTATATAACCTAAAGCACGTGCAATCGTAATTTGAAAAGCAAAGAGAAATTCCACACAATGTGTATAAAAAGAAAATCCGAAGCTGTAACTAAAGTATTTTTTAACAGAACGATGAAAATGATTAGGACAAGGTAAGTTCGAACCTGAACTGGTATTTTACTATAAGATTCCTGGGAACGCCACACAAACGAGCTATCTTCAGAAAAAAACCACAGGGACTTGATACGAGTTTCCGACCCATGGTCCATACGCATGTATTATAGTTAGTATAATGCATGTATATATATATATATGGACCACTGGTCCGAGATTCGTGCCAAGTCCCTATGAGAACAACTAAAGAGATTTTATTACTGTATCTTACTACTGAAATGGTATATTCTCAAGTTTTGAAGGTTGATAATATGCAGCGTTATCAATCCAAAACTACCCTGTGTAGATAATCACATCACTTGTTCTATGATAATTATATAATGTTTTACCTTTCCTATAGAGGAAGTGCCACATCATAGTGTCAGATCGACCGGTTTTACCCTTCTTCAGATTTACAAATGAACATTTGTCAACAACGTCCTGGACGAATGAATCGGTACACGTCACATTCAGATATGATGCCAATTTCTTTACTTCTTGAACAGGGTTCTGTTGACAATATTAATAAAAATCAAATCAAATCAGGGAGTGAAATATAAGCATAATACGTACTTGTAGTATAGAATAATCTTTTTAAAACCTGTAAGCCCGTTATGTAACGTAATAGAATCACTTGTTTCAAATCCTGTTAGCTCATTGTGTGACGAATGGTGACTCATTACAATCACCTGTTTCAAATCCTGTTAGCTCATTGTGTGACGAATGGTGACTCGTTACAATCACCTGTTTCAAATCCTGTTTGCTCATTGTGTGACGAATGGTGACTCGTTACAATCACTTGTTCCAAATCCTGTTAGCTCATTGTGTGACGAATGGTGACTCGTTACAATCACTTGTTTCAAATCCTGTTAGCTCATTGTGTGACGAATGGTGACTCGTTACAATCACTTGTTTCAAATCCTGTTAGCTCATTGTGTGACGAATGGTGACTCGTTACAATCACATATTTCAAATCCTGTCAGCTCATTGTGTGACGTATAATGACATTATAGAATTTCTCGTTTCAAATCCTGTCAGCTTTTTTTATGAAGACGTAACGGGCTCACCTGTTTTAGATCCTGGTAGAACATTATGTGACGTATGATGATGTTATTGACTCACCTGTTTGAGATGCTGGTAGAACATTATGTGACGTATGATGATGTTATTGACTCACCTGTTTTAGATCCTGGTAGAACATTATGTGACGTATGATGATGTTATTGACTCACCTATTTGAGATGCTGGTAGAACATTATGTGACGTATGATGGACT